ACATTCCTAACAAATATAAGACAACTCCTGACGAATATGCTAAAGAAGTTGAAAATGACGACTAAGCAATTCTATACCATGCGTAAACTGTCATGTAAGGTGGCATGTATTCTTTACTTTGTCCCGTTGTTTGCGTATATCCTGAAACGAAATGTGTATGGTTTCCATCTCCCTGAGTGTCACTCCAGTAACAATTTATAGCAAACTTAACGTCGTCTTTAACATCATATCCTTTACCTTTTGTCATTCCTGACCAATCCCAATATCTATGCTTATGCCAACCTGCTTGAGATGTACTTAAATCTATGTAGTGACTGTGTGCAGGTAAATTTTCACCTGAAATCGTTTTACTTCCACCTGTTTCCTTTGAAGAGTTTGCACAATACAAAAACCTGTCGACTATTTGAGTCCAAGTTCCAAAACCAAGTACTACTTCTGGTCTGGTAGAGTTCATTGACGTATAAATAGAACCTATAGGATATAATGTTTGAAGTATTTCTGTCTTTAATGTTTGAAGCTCTTTTTTGTCTGCTTTTTTATCATATAAATCTTGAGCAGTTCATTGAAACATATAATGAGCCAACCGGGTAAATAAGATTCGGCAAAATTTGTTTAAGCGCATTGAGTTCCTGTCTTAGATGCATAATGTCATCTAACTTTTCTTGAAGTTCATTTACGTCATAGATGTTATGTGTATGATGTTTTTGTGGGTATGTTCCTTCTGTCCATGCGAAAATATATTCTTTTGTTGCATCTACATATCCAGCTATCCATGTCGAGTCTGCTTTTGTATTCCTTAACTCTGTAACACCTTTCTCAAGCTCTTTCAACTGTTGTCCATCTTCCATTAAAGCTCTGTCATGACTTGAAACCGTTTGTGCCAACATATCTACAGTTTCTTTGTCAGCTTTGTCATCTAACTTTTCTTGAAGTTCATTTACGTCAGAGATGTTATGTGTATGATTTTTGTCGGCTTTATTTGAAACATCTATGTCAAGTCTTTGCAAATGGACACTATCTTCCATTAAACCTCTGGTATGACTTGAAACCGTTTGTGCCAACATATCTACAGTTTCTTTGTCAGCTTTATTTTCAACATCCTCTTTTGTTGCATATGTTGCATCTGCTCTGTCATGTTCTTCTTGAACTTTTCAATGACATATTCTTTGTCAGCTTTTTGTCAACATCTGCTTTCAAAAGAAGTTCATTTATAGGTTTCTCGTTTAAAGTTCCTTTTGTTGGATTTATACAGACAGTATGGTTCTTATTGTCTTGAAACAGAAACTCATCTGTCATTGGTTTAATGTCAGTTTTAAGTTTTCCTTCTTTCAATGACTCAGATATCTTAGAATAGTTTGAAAAGTTTGTTGTGTTCTTATTTAGAGCTTGCATAATGAGTTGTCGGTTGTGTTGTATTTCTCTCATAGACGCTGTTTCATTTGACATTTTTATTATAGATAAAATATGCTTCCAATAGAAAAAGAAAATTCAAGAGTTGCTACAACAAACCATTAGATGAACTTTTTACTAATGTCGGTCAAAAGTTTGAGACAGATACCGTAAAGCATGAAGGCTATCGTTTTGACTACCCATTAAGATGGTTAAGAGACCCATCGGTCACAAAAGCTATTGGCTTTCGTAGAATAAAGTTCATTCAGAAGCCATACATGGTTTCCCATTTACGGTCGGTTTTGAAGTTCGATACTATAACAAAGAAAAAACGTATGTATGAGAAATTTGAACAAGGAAAACTTTTACAAGTGAATTTGCTTATAAACTTAGAAACAACTCTTCATGCTTTTCAAAAAAAATAAACGATATCTATATTGAATATGCAAACCAGTTTAACATTGACGAAGGAAATACCATCTCGATATTATTTATGACAGGAAAAATGCAACTGTTAAAATCAATAAAATAGAAGACCTTGGAGAAAACGTTTATATTTCTACAAAATATAACAACTTGGCATGGTATAGATTTATGAGGATGTTAAATCAGCCTGCAGCATATCCAGTACACCCGGACTATTATGAAGTCGAAAACTCTAATGGAACATATGAAAATATTTTCGACCCAGATGCTATTATTGTTCATGCTTCATTTTCTGGCGCCCAAACTCTTTCTTATGTCTGATGAATGATTTTTACGAAAAACCTAAAAGTTATATGAACCACCAAGTGGAAGTATTTCAGACTTTCAAGTATGGTTTACTACAGATGAAGAAAAAGAATAATTCCATTATACCATGCGTTTTACTTAGAACTTAGTTTCATATACAACTACTATCGAACGATAAAAATATAACTTTTTAATACGGTTGAGGTGTTGGATTTGGTTGCCAACATAGACTGTGGTGGCAGGTTCAGGCTGTTGTATTACAGGAGCTTGCTTCTTCTGGTTCAGGGTCTTTAGGTATAATACCAACAAACTGACCTACTCTTTTACCAATATTTTTGACACCGTTCCATACTCCTCTTCCGACAGATTTTATTCCATTCCATATACCTCTTCCAACATTTCGAAAAGAAGTTCCTATCTTACTGAAGAAACCATTTTACTATATGTAAAAATCTAATGTCCGCCTAGTCTTTTACGTTTCCTGTTGAGTTCCATAGCATTCTTTAACTGGAGCTCATACATTCTGTTTTCCTCTGGTAGAAACATATTCTGGTCAACTCCTGTGTTCGCGTCATCTGCATAAAGTTGTTTATATCCCACTTCAGGGTTTGTATAAAAACTCTTTCCATCTCATATTTGCATACCATGGTGGCAAACCTAACGCAGCGTCATTTGACATGGCAGTTTGCATTTGTACATCTGTTGGCACTTGACCATAGTTTGCCATTGCAGTTTGTATTCTAACTTCATTTGGAATATTCTCTGGGTTTGGTTGTCCAGGTTGCTGTGCATTCGCTAAGTTCTGTGCGTCCATTTAATATTAGATAAAAATATCTCTTACGAAGTACATATACTGAACATTTGCAGGCATTGGTTCATCTTCATATTCTCTGTACTTTTCCTGCCACGTCCAAATAAATAAATGACACAATGGAAAAAACCTAAAACAAGTAGTCCTATTTCAAACCACATTTACTTACTAATAAAATTTCTTTATTGTGACACTTTCTCCAGTTTATAGGACCTCTCTCATATTCTATCTTGTCATATATAAACTCATAGTCATGTATGTCCTCTAACCATCTCATAACGGTTTCCAAACCACTTTTATCGGATGTAAAGTAAAAGCATGGATGGTTATATATAACGTCTAAAGTTTCTAAAGAGTCTCTCAAAGTCCAGTCTACTTGGTATTGAAAATCCCATGTGTTATAGAACGGCGGGTCCACTATAAAGAAAACATTTTCCTTGTCTTTATATTTTTCATACAACTCTGTCCAATGACATCTCACAAACTCTATACCCTCAATATATTTTTCTATGTCCTCTTTGAAAACATTTGTATAGTTAAGATATAAAACTTTTGACATGAGTGTTTCAATGTCATGAACTCTTATAGCACCACTATATAATAGTCTAGCAGATATACTATCCCAGTCTATATATTCTGCTTTTTTCAAAACCTCTCTCACAATATTTTTCTTATCTAATGGTATACGTTCCATCTTACCTATAGGTATCTTTTCTTTTAACTCTTTCAATATATTGTTTGTGTCTGGAATATGTTTGAGACGGTCCATATAGTTGTCGAAGTCATTGCATATAATCTTTGAGTCTGGGAATATTGTATGACATAAATGGGATATATAGAAACTTCCACCGAACAAATCTACAAATGTTAGACCATTCGGTAGTTTCTTAAGTTCTCTCAATATAATATCTTTACATCTACTCTTATTTCCAAAGAACGGTAACGGTGGTTTTGTAAAATTCATTTATATATAATAATAAAAATGTTTTTACCCGAAAAGTGACAGAAAAGTGACAAAACATGAAAACATATATAATTTGTGAAAAGTGACACATTATATAATGTTTTCGACCCAGAAGAAGGCTTCTTCCCAGAAGCAATGGAGGAGGAAGAAGAGGAGGAGGAAATACAAGACTCTATCCAAGAAGAGTCCTCCGAATTCACACCAGAAGACTAACAATTTTCCGAATAAAAACTTCATTTATACTAAACATCTTCGGGGCTAGAGGGCGCAACGCGCCTGGAAGCCCCACTCACCTGACCTAAGTAGCCGCCATTCGGCCCCAAAAATGGCGTATTATTCTATTTTTAAACGGTCATGGCGTAAAACCGTCGCATCCCTAATGAGATCTACAAGTGAAATTGTTGAAATATTAATTTCTCATGATGCCGAAATCAATCCTTTAATGAGTGGAGCTACTCCTCTTGATCTCGCTATTTTGCGCGAAAAAACAGATTTTAAAAAATATCTCGGACTCAAAGATTATCATGACCCCTCAAAAGAAGCAAAGAAAATACAAACTCTCTTAAAATTGCATGGAGGTAAAACTAATTTGAAATAGACTCTATAAAAAATATAACTAAATGTTGTACATAGAAGCTTTTCCAAAAAAAAATGAAACGTATTTGATTATTTGGAATATTTTCAGTTAATGGTGCACCCTTGTTTAAGGTTTTATTTTCTATGCCTCTTCACGCCCGTATATCTCTTTTTGAGAGAGTGTCAGAAAGTGGTAATTGCACCCTTAAATTGAATAAACTTGAAATCATATTCTTCGCATGTAAACCTTTGAGGGAATTGAAAGGTCCAAATATCAAGAATACATTTGCATAAAAATTAAGGTTAATTTCAATGACGCTTCACGCCAGTTGTCAAAAATTTGAATCAAAGTCAGATGGGCGTAAGTGCAGCCTTAAAAAAATTAATAATAATATAAGTTTTAGTTGAAGAAAAAAAAGTATCTACACCATAATTAAAACTTTCCAAAGTTGGTGTTAATATATAATAATTCTATAAAAAAATTCAACAATAAAATAAAAAATATATATATAAAAATAAAAATAATTCTTATTCGAAATCCTTGACCATGTAAGCGCCTTCCAATCTGTATCCGAGCTTCTTGTAGTAATCTCTGACACCGATACCAGAAATAACAGCGAGTCTCTTTGATCCGTGCTCTTCAACAGTGATTCTCTCTGCTTCTGCCATCAACTGAGCTCCGTATCCTTTGTGCTGGTACCTGGAAAGGTCCTTTTGGTCGATAGGAACAACCTGTCCGTACACGTGTAATTCTCTGACCAAAGAAGCTCCTTGTAACTCATCTCTGAATGTGTCTCCTGGTGCTCTGAGTCTTACAAGGCCAATGAGGATGTCGTTGTCTGTGTCTTCGTATGAGAGAACTGTTTCCCAGCCATCGTCGGCCATGAAGTCTCTTCTGACCAATTCGACCTTGTCTGGCTTGATTTTGTCTCTGATTTCGGTAATGCCGACCTCTCTTGCGCGGACATCTCTTGCACGACCGCCTCTCTGGAGCAATCTCTTCATGGCGATGTCTCTCAAGTTGCCGTTCTCGACACCGGCGGAAACTAATGTCATTGGGACATCTCTTTGGATACGGAAAACTCTGACCCATGGTGGAACAAGGCGGAGGATCTCTGAGATCAATGTAATTAACTCGTCTGGATCTAATGGAACGTATGTCTTGTCAACCCATTGATCGTATAACATTGTTCCTCTCATAACGAGAGTTGGGTAGAGCTTGAGTCCGTCTGGACGCCAGTATGGGTTTTCGAATAATTCAACGAAACCATCGATATCGCGTTCGAAATCTGTATGTGGAAGATTTGGCATCATATGAGCCGTAACTTTGAGTCCGGAACGACGGCAATCTCTGAAGGAACGAGCAACATCGTCGCCACCGTGTCCTCTGCCGACATACCAAAGAACATCTTCCCAGACAGTTTGTAAACCGATTTCAACTCTTGTTGTACCGTAAGTAAGCATGTCATCGATATGTTCAGCGAAACAGTAGTCAGGACGTGTCTCAATTGTGAGTGCGACGGCTCTATCTGTTGAGCATTCAGCATATGTTGTTGCTTCCTTAACAGAGTGGGCTACGTGACCTGTAACACCAGCGTACATTCCGATGATGAAGTTGTCACGATATTCCTTTTCAAGAGAAAGGAAAGTACCACCCATCAAAATGAGCTCGAGTTTGACAGCAGAGTGTCCAATACTGTTCAACTGGGCGATTCTGCCTCTGATCTGTGAGAATGGATCGTACTTGGAACGAATGGCACGCATTGATGTTGGTTCATAACCTGTATACGACTGTGATGAGTAATCAAAGTCAGAGTCTGGGCCACCTGGACAGTATGAACATGGATATCCGTTTGTTTCGACGTGTGGGCATCTATGTGGCTTGCACATGAATGCAATAACAGCGACGCCTGATGCTGTACGAACTGGTTTCTTTCTGATGAGTGGAAGGATACGCTCACGGTATTCGAGTGGAATAGCTTTGATGATTTCTGATGATCCGAGACCTCGACTTAAGTGATATTTACGTGCGATTTTGAATTTCTCGCGTTGTAAGTCTGGCTGATATCCCTTTTCATAGGAATTAATGAGATACTGGGCGAGCTCCGCGGCCGCCTTAAGGTTGTTTGGATCCTCGCTCATTTTTGATTTTGGGCAGAAATTCAAAAAAGTGACACGGTGGGAAAAGTGCAGAATTATCCCACAATTTGAAGAGCAATGACCAACTATAATTCTTGGTCAGTTTAATTCTCGTTCATTGTAAGTGCGTTACACGTTGAAGATAATAACGATTGAAGTATTGCTAAATTAGCATTATCAATTTTTTTCCCAAAATTATTTAGTGGCTCATTGGGATTTAACATTGCCATTTAATATTAATTGTCCTTCTAACTTTTGTAAGATTGCTCAAAATGTACAATTTTACATTTTAAAAAAATGAAAATTTGAAATTTATGTGCATTATATGTTTTCCATAAGAAATAATAGTGTTTTGTGGATATGTCTGTTCATATTTGTATGCATTGTTAGAAATGAAGCAAAAAATTATATAATTTTTGAAATCTGATTCTAAATAGCTAAAAAACATAAATATCTGTAATCTTTAATATAAACAATATGAACATAAAATGAACAATGTTACAAATCGATCTTAGAAGCAACAAGAAGAAATTCCTGGTTTTTCTAGTTTAATATCTGAAAGAATATCATCAAAGCGATCATTGCTTTCATTCCAGTTGTTGAGCTGCCTAATTGAAGGCAGAGAGTCATAGTATTTATGGGCGACTGTAATAAATGTTTCTTCTATCTTATGGCCGGACAATGCTGACGTCTCAAAGTACATAAATCCATTTTGCTTTGCATAATCCATAGCTTCTCCTTCTGAAACTGAGCGCTTAAAGAGATCTGATTTATTTCCGACAAGAACTTTGATTGATTCGGCTGGAGCTAAGTTCATTGCATCATCGATCCATTTTGAAAGTCCAACAAAAGAATCTCTGTTGCTGACATCAAATACAACGAAAACAGCCACAGAATTTCTAAAATATGAGCGTGTAATCGAACGAAAACGCTCCTGGCCTGCTGTATCCCAAAGTTGAATTCTGACTGGGGTACCTTTAATATCTATTGTGCGATTTCCAAATTCTAATGCGATTGTTTGCGGCTGAGCTTCATCAAAAACTTGTTCGCAGAACATTCTGCTCATTGAGGTTTTTCCAACAGCAGAATCACCTACGAGAATGAATTTAAATGTTAATGACGAACTTCCACTCATATTTTTTGAATTTTTTGTTTTCAGCCAAAGTTTACATGATTATTTACATGTCAAAAAAAATAATTATTATTTTTTTTTATTTCGGGACAAAATCTATAGATAATGTTACTATTCTTTTCATTATTGTTACGAAATGTTGATCACACTATGCTAAAAGACTACAGTGACGTCAAGGTAGATCTCCCTTCTTATTATAATTTTTTGGAAGAATATCCTGAGTGTGACTTTGGTCCGTTATCTCAAAATTGCGGTTGTTGCTATATTTTTTCAGCTGTCAAAACACTCTCACACAGATTTTGTCGTGCACTTCGACGCCAAATTTTACTTTCAACACAATATTTAATTGCATGCGATCTTTCAAATCTTGGATGCAACGGTGGTAACGAAAAAGCTGTATTTTACTACTTAGAAAATCATGGAACTCCAGAATTAGATTGCCAACCATGGCAAGAAATTAGATCCTACGAACCAAAGGTATGCACTAAATGTGTTGATGACAAACCATTTAAACTTTACCATGCAAAAATGCGTAGTACAAGAGTTATTCATGGAATTGAAAATATCAAGAAAGCAATTTACTTGGAAGGTCCTCTCAGTGCGTCCGTGATTAGTGATTATGGGTTTACATGGTATAGAGAAGGTCTTTATCGAACTCAAGTTTCCAGTGATGAATACAATGACGCTTCAAACCATACAGTTGAAATTCATGGATGGGGTACTTTTGACAATGGAACAGAGTATTGGATTGTTCAAAATGCTTTCGGACCTAGATGGGGCTGTAGTGGACTAATGAAAATGCAAATGGGTGTCAATGCAGGATATATTGAATCTTATATGCTTTCTGTCGAGCCAGAGCTTTCTGATGCTAACTGAAACACAGATTAATTTTACAAAGATAATTCCATTTGTTATTTTGATTTAATATTTTGTTATTGTATGTGTTAAAAAGAATATATTTTAAATATTTCTCGATTTTGTTCACATTCTAATTATTTTTTTATTTTTTGACATGTAAAGTGTTAATTTTATATAAAAATTATGAGTGAAAAACAAACTGCAGCACAGATTCTTGATACAGAAATTCTTTCATGCTGCAAAACTCTTGACTCAGTAACTCAAAAGCAACTCGTATCTGTTAAAAAGGACCAAGAACAAATTCTTCAAAAAATGGCTTTAATAATTTCAGAGTTCGAACAGATTCAAGGAAAGCTTCCAAAAGAGGACTTACAAGCTAGCATACAAAATATCAACAAGATTTGTGAAAGACTTGAAACAGCTAAAAAGAGGATTCAAAATATTGTTCAAAGAGCTGAAACAATGAAACTTGCTCTTGATTATCAGCCACCTGTTGTCAAAACGTCGCCATACTATGTTATGGAAACTTATACATAATTTTTAATTATTATCTTATATCAAATCTACTAGTATCTCAAAATTATAAGGATAACCAGTGATATCATTCATTCTATGAATAATTTTTTGTAAATTATATATGTTTATTCTAAACGCTTTTTCTTTTACAATTTATCTTATGCATATAAGATTTTCGCTCATTAAGCACCAATAGTATCATTCATTATGCTTTTTTAAAAGGTAGAAATTAAAAAGATGAAATAGACAATATTTACAGGGCAATTGAATAAGTGCATGGAAACATTGAATCTTGTTGGGAAATGACAATTGTAATATCCCATTTAGTAAAGCTGAGTTTAATTTATGAAATAAAATTGAATAAAATTATTCCCTTGGCTTTAAACACATTTCCCCGATCCTGTAGTAGTTCATCATTACGCATGCTGTAATTATCAATATTTCGGGTAAATGCGGATCCGATAAAGCTTTTTTTACTTCTTCCTCCGGTTAGATAAGCTTCCTACCACCATTGTTAAGATAAAAAAATTAAAACTTTTGTGGATAATGAGATATTTGAAATTGAGAGAATATAGTTTTCCCCTCAAATTTAGAAATAATTCAAAGCAATGCTTTTAAAGATTGCGGAAAAATCGTAAATATTACATTTCCATCATCACTTAAAATTTTCAACTCCAGTTGTTTCGAAAACTGCATTAAAATCATAAATATTGAATTTCCGAAGAATCTTGAATTAGTTGGTGAAAAATGTTTCTACTTTTGCCAAAATCTTGAAAATATTACATTCTTAAATAATACTACACGAATATTATCCCAAGCATTCATGAATTGTTACTCATTAATACATATTTCATTGCCTAACTCAATAACAGAAATTGCAAAGGAAACATTCAGAAACTGTGTGACTTTATCAAAAATTTTATCTCCCAAGTTCAATAACTCTAATAGATGATAACGCTTTTTATAATTGTGAAAATATCTTTAATTTTGGAAACATTATTTCAGCAGAAGTCATTGGAAATAGATGTTTTTACGGCTGTTCAGCAATCCAAACCATTGAATTTGATAGGCTTGTAAAAACTGGTTCCGAATGTTTTGCTCACTGTGTTAATTTAAGATATTGTTTATTCAGTAAGTGTAATAGCATTGATTTTGGAAAATACATTTTTCTTAATTGCATTGAATTTATAGAGTTTAGGCCTCCAAAGTATTTCTTAATAACTTCCCTGGGAATGTTTAAAAACTGTAAAACTTTTAATCGTTTGGATAATCTAACCTCATTAGAAATTATTAATGATGAAACTTTCATGGGTTGCGATAGCATTATTAAATTGAATATCAAAATAAATAAGTACATTGGCAAAAACGCATTTGCAAATTGTAAAAATTTGGATTCCCTTAAAGTGAGTTGTTCAGAAATAGGTGAATCGGCTTTTTCCGGCTGTAAATCATTAAATTATGTCATGTTGACTAATCCAATCATATCTATAAATGATTTTGCTTTCGGAGAATGTTCAGCAATAAAAATTATAAAGTTTCCAGATGACTTGGAATCAATTGGAGTTAATGCATTTATTTCTTGTACTTCATTCAAAGAAATTGTTATTCCCAACAAAGTGAAAAAAATCAGCAAAGGTGCCTTCGAAGGCTGCATTAATATTGAGAATGTTAATCTCGGAGAAAACCTTAAAACAATTCATCCAAGGGCCTTTTATAATTGCATTAACCTGTGGTCAATTTCATTTAATCCAAATTTGGAATTGATTGGGGAATCATCCTTCTATAATTGCAATTTATTGAATGAAATAAAACTACATGATAATGTGAAAGCAATACATGCAAATGCTTTTTACAATTGCACAAGTATAATGAAGCTCACTCTGTCAAAATCATTAGAAACAATTGAAAATTATTCATTTTATAATTGTCAGAATATCAAAAGTTTGATTTTGCCTGAAAATATTAGATTTATCGGTTCGTTTTCATTCTTCAACTGTTTCAGTTTGGAAAATATTAGTATACATGTCCCATGGAATGCAGTGTTTGAGAATAACTCATTTACTGGAGTTAAATCATTGAAATCAATTATTTTCGGATCAAATAACTCCGAATTTCTTCGATTTGCTGACAAAGAATGTCTCAAAGAAGTTTCATTTATATCAGACACAATGACTACTATTCCTTCCTTATATGATTTCAAGAACATACAAAAAATAGAAGTCAATAGTACAAATTCGATTTCTATCCCAAAGAATTTTGTTTGTAGTTCAAATCTTTTAATATATTTATATAATAACATCGATTTGATTGATGATCATTCATTCGATGGCTCACAAATTGATATATTTGTTTACTGTGGTGTGAAAATAATAAAAGGAAACTTCCTTGATAAGAAATGCAAAAAAGCCTTAGTCGGGAGATATTATAAGAGTAATAATATCGGAGGAGCTACGGCTGTAAAAGATGTAGGTCAGCATTTTTGTACCGCAGATATTCCTGAAGCACCTACTCATTTGCAGAAAATATTGATAATATCAATTAGTTCTGGAATAGTAGTTAGTTTGATAATAGCTATTATTATTATTATTTTGAGACAAAATAAAATTAAGAAAGATCAGAGGAAAATCTTAACCAAACAGCTACTTGAGAAAAAAGTCCTCGATGACTTTGGGTAAATTACTCTTTGTTATTTCTTTTTGTTTGAATTTAGTAAATAGAATCCTATTTATATTACTAAATAAAACTAAATATGCTTTGCATTAAAATTCTGAGGTTCTCTTTGTCAAAAAGTAAATTTGTCAACTTTCTGACGCAAAAAAATGACCTTTCAAAGTTTTCGACCTTGTGAGTTTATCAGACTTTCCACTAAAATATGTAATTTGTAAAAATGCTCAACTTTTTTTTACCTTATGTTAAACTCATTTTCCTTCATAAAGTCTCCCTATCGTTTTTCTGCCTCAATATTGAGTGAATCTCTATCAAAAATTTGAATAAGAGACTGTACGAAGGAAAAGGGGTTTCCCTAATTACACATAAATAAAATCGCTAAATTGTTCACCTTTCTTCATAAGGATACGCTAAAGATCATCTGACTATAAGACAAATGGCCAACCAGAATTGAAGTACGAAGAGTTCATTAAGGCTGCACTTACGCCCATCTGGCATTAATTCAAATTTTTGACAACTGGCGTGAAGCTTCTTTGTAATTTAACCTTAAACATCTGAATTGAAGGCCCTGTCATAGGGGCATAAGTTCACCATAACAACTACCTGACACCCTCTCATGGCAGCAGTACATGAGTTATTTATTAACAAAAAAAAGTATAACATACATATTGCGTACTATATAACCTTTTATAATGACTCCGAACTTCTTCGACCAATAAGGAATTGGGACATAAAATTGTCGAAAAAATTGAGTGAATGTCAAAAGGTTTTATCATGATCAATAAGGATAGCAATCCATAAATAAATAAAGTAAAGTATGAAAACAAACAATGTATTTATATATATAAACATATGATCAATAACAAACAAATAAAATAATAATACATTAACATGATAAAAAAAAAATAATATATTACAATGCGACAATATCAGATTCAGAATCAGGTGAATGATATCTAGTTTCTTCTTCTTTCTTCTTTTGTCTAACTTTGAACACAGTTATGACAACACCAATTACAACCAAAATAACAAATCCTGAACAAAGAGATGTAATTGTAACAATTACTTTATGTTGATTCTGGTTGTTGTTTTCTGGTTCTGTAGGAGCACAATGTGTTGGAGATGTTTCTGCAAAGTTTGGTGTCGATGTCGGAGTGAACATGATTGTTTGTATCATTGAAGAAGGAGATTTAACATTATATTCCAATCCGGAAATCTTTTGACAACTAGAAACATTAAACTTAATCTTATTAATTTTCCTGTTTGTGTTGTCTCCAACAACGAAAGCTCTTAATGATACATCGCATGGATCAGCAGAAACAGTAGTAAGAGATTGAACAGTCAATATTCCATTAGTTATTTTTGTTTCTTCAGGAATAGTAAATGAAACAAATCCTGTATTAGGAATTACACCTCTTTTGATGACATTTTTAGTGTCGTAATCAGTGATTGTCATGAAAGCATCAACTTCTGGTTTGTACTCAATGAAATATGGCCATTTTATCTCTACATTCTTCTGAATACTCTGGTACTGCTGCACTTGTTGTGTCATCTCTTTGATCTTGAATGGACCTAATCTTTGCGCCAATGTTTCTGTGGGAGATAAATAAGCGTGGATGATGAAAGTTACTTGGCTTCCTTTGGGAATGTTGTGGGGAGGATAGAACTTGTATTTGTTGAAAGTTGTTAAGTTGGGGAAGTTGATGTTTCCTGATGATGAAGATCCTTCTTTGTCTGGATCACCAATGGTGTAGAAGAATGAAATTGGAGGATTAGCTTTGGTTGACAATAATGCGGAAACAGAGAGTTCTTCAGAGGGATTAAGTTCTGATCCAGAAGAAATTTGTGGAACGAATTGGAATTTGAGATCTTCTGATGTAGGTAATTGTTTGTATTTGGATGAACTTAACTTTTGCTCAAATGGATTAATTATTTCTTCTTCAGGTGGCGGTGGTGGTTGATCCCTTCTCTCTTCCATATTTGAAAATCTTCCTGTATCTTCGATTTTTTCTTCTACAAAGTTTAATTCCGCTTTATTTTCTTCCCTTATTTTAATTTCTTTGTATTTTCTCGAGAAAATTTTCATATCGTCGAAATTCCTCTCAAATTTTCTATCGTTAAATTTTCTCACAATTTCTCTATCGTCGAATGGTCTTTCAAAATCTCTTTCTCCGTGGTCTATATCAGGATTTCTGTCTCCGGGGTCTCGATCAGGATTTCTGTCTCCGTGGTCTCGATCAGGATTTCCGTGTTCTCTTTCGTCATCTGGATCTTCGATATCTGATTTTTCAGGCGGATTTAAGTTCCATTTTTCTCTATCTTCGTCTTCTCTTCTTCTTTTTTCTTCTTCCTCTTTACGGTGTTTCTCTTCCTCTTCTCTCTTTTTCTCTTCTTCTCTATGTTTTTCCCTTTCCTTCTCTTCCCATTCCTTCCTCTTCTTTTCTTCTTCGTAGCATTTCTCTCTCTTCCATTCTACTTTTATTTTGTCGCATGGACTGAATTCTGGTCCTGGAGTCTTTTCTTCAGGTGATGACGTGTTTTCATCAGGGGTTGGGATAGGAGACATGGTTGGAATTGGTCTTGGCTTCGGTTTGTCCATTGGCTTCTTGCATGGACCAGGAAATTCAAATTTCTTCATTCCGTAAACTCGTAGATGGGTTTTAGCGATACGCCCTGTAGGAATGCAACCAGCAGCTGATATGTAAACATTCCATTTGCCTCTGGCATTTTCACCAAGGAACTGACGGCATGTAAAAGTGTAATTGTGGACTCCAGAGCCAATATTCGGTTCTGTATTTGTAGGGAAGTTGATAGGAGCTCTTGTGCCCATTGGTGACTCGATTTCTATGCAGATATCTCCGATTGTTGGATGAGTTGATGAAAATGTGAAAGAAATCGATTCAATGAACTTAATATTCTGTTTAATTGTATGTACGCAACACAGCGGTGACTCGCGACATGATGGAATGACTGGGCTGTTGTAAGAATTCTTAGATTCGCCATAAGATTCTGTCGGAATGTTTTTCATGCAATGGATGGCTTCAAGCGCACGCTTGACATTCAACCGTCCGAACCCGTAAATATTCGAGTAGTAAATGCCTGCGTTGTTTTTGACCCATGAAGAGTGATTTGCGTCGTTTACGGTTGCAGTTAGGGCTATTGATAGCTGGAGGTGCCTCCAACTTATTGTTGGATAGGCTTGGAGTAGGAGAGCTAGTGATCCGCTGGCAATCGCATTTGCTGCTTGCATTCGAGTTATCCTTGATTCTGTGCATTGACCGAAAGAGTTCTCTGTGTATACTGGGTTAGATAATGTTGCTGCATCTGTTTCAATGGATGAATCTGTTGATGGGACGTTAAATAATAAATTTGAAGATTTTGGAGAGTAAAAAGCCCTGTCACCGCGATTTGTTGTTGCAGGAATATTAATTACGAATCTCGATTGCTGGAAAATTCTGTAGTTTGGATCAATAGATTTTCCGTTGCATGTATCTGGAGTCATGATAGGAATCAAGCCGAGGCCATATCTGCCACGTAATATGGCGTTGCCAAGAAGGGAATCGTATTTATCTGAAGACTCTTCAACGAAAATTCTGTCTAAATAACATTTCTCGAAAAGAGGTAAAGAGAAAATATTTACGTTGAGAGAATTTGCCATGATTTTCAAAATTGTTTCTGTATTTGTAATGCGAGAGCGTTTTGGTGTAAATGGATAACAAAGTAATTGGCTTTCGTACGCGATTCCTGTAGTGCATGAAGTGTCTTTGTTGCCTGCAATTATTGATCCGATATCGTTAGATAAATATGGCTCGTCGCCGCCATAACATCGATAAATGCCTTCAAAAGCATAAGCGCAAGGATTAGATATACGATTTTTAAGCCCAGGTGTTGAAGAATTGCATTCTGAAGCTATAATGCCGACTTTGATATTTTTCCCGGTGAAATCCCAATCTGATGATAAAGGTAAATTCAAGTCTTCGCCTTCGACTCCGCTGTATTGACCTTTGTTTACCGCGTAAAATTGATGGTCGTGATACAAAGCGGAATCTTCTGGTGCCCCTAAGAGTTTAAAAAACAAAGAAAAAAACAAAAGCATTAATGCAAGAATAATCGTACTAATTCAAAAAATCATGAATTTTTTGAGTTGAAATTAATCGTTGTATTGGAAATAATATCAAGTATATGCTAAGTATTAAAATTTTTGAAATTGGAAGAAAATTAATCTAAATTAATTGAATTGTAAAATTTCATAAACAATTAGATTTTATTGGAATAGTGGTCAATGATATAAGTACTATCATTTGTCCGATATTTTTTATGACTAGATCGTAATGTGTCAATCGTCGAATTAAATAATTCTCTGGCAATAGTTAATTTAGTACAAAAATATTCCTTTTGAAATATAATTTTGAATTATTTTGTGGGCTTATTGAATTGGTCAGATCTTTTCTGTGTAACTGTTTTTTCCTATTCAAATTTCATTATTTCATAATTTGAATATCCTATGTATGACATATAAAAAACTCGAGAAGTTTTCTCAATTTATTGTACAAATTCAAAATTAATTTTTATAAAAATATAATTAATGATTAATTATCTTACGAAAATTAGATCGGAAATTTAAATCTTGTCGATTAATTTTAATTCAAAAATACCTTTTCTCTCAAAAGTTTATCACACAGGTTTTTCAAATTATTAAGGGTTCACCCGTATGTACGTTTATTTGAGAGGAGGGGGATTACCCTCTCAATTTTATGAAATTATGACATCGAAAAATGCATTTGCAGCTGACGCAGGATATAAGAGGAAGAAAAAAGATTCTCCAAACTTATTGCAGACTGTTACTGTCCCATTTGCGGCTGTTTTAATTATTGTGTGTGTGTTTTGTAATAATTTTCATTTTGAAGAAGAGGGGAAGTAATCATCAAAACTGTGAAAGTATGCACTCTGAAAATGTCAACTATAACGTTTAAAATAGTTCTATCCACCCATTAATTTTTGAGAATATTCATCAAAACACAGATAAGTTAAAATATTATTTATTGAAATATAAATTATTTATTCTTTTGAGTTCACAATCCAGATTTTTAAAATTCAATTTTTTTTATTTTATAAAATCTTTTTGCTTGGAACAGGGTTATGTACTGTACGAAAAAGCATTTTAAGAAGTACTCCGATTGACTCATTTGTTAAATTTAGTATATTTGGGAATTTTCTTAAATTTTGTATAAGATCAAGGAGAATGTTGGCAACTCGTTGCCTCATTCTGAATTTTTCATAGCTTGTCTCTATTATAGCAATTGTCAAAATAATTTTAAAAATTATTAGCAATTTGGACGGAGCTTGTTTACGACTAAATTGCAAACTACCCCTTTAATCGTTTTCAAATTCTAATTTTCATAAGCATTAAAAGTTCTGAAAATTTGAATGCTTGCAAACGATTTTTTAAAGGTGGGCTCACGAAAATACGTTATTTCCCCGATGCCTTGGAAGTAGCTTTACAAGTTGCCCATAAGGAACGACATTTTTTTTCCATCAATTTTTGAGAAAGTCGGCGGTCAAATTTTTTCTATTTCAGTGAAAATTATTTTGAAATGAGGAAAAAAAAATGAATTCAAACTAAACCTAGCCGGAGACAAACCGTACCAAGAATTTGTATACCTAACCATATGTATTCTACAACAGCAACTAAAAGATGGCAGGTAATTAATGATTTACAATTGTCAACATTAAGAGGATACAGATGTGAAGTAAAGAAACTTGACATGGAAATTATTGTTGAATAGAAGTACAAAACCCATAATGAGTCACTCATAAAGTATCCATCGTTAAAAATTGGTTGAATAAGTACGGCTTCTGCAAGTATTACAAAGTATGGTGTACATCCTATGAGTCCTCCATTAATGTTAGCATTTAGAATACCTATCAACAAAATAATTCTTAAAGCCCAAGTAATATAAGTAGTCATGGCATCTTTTTCGCTTAATATTGAATGTATTGTATTTGAATCAGCATACCTCTCTATTGCTGCTCCTATTCTAATTCCGGACTTTGTAAATTGAATAATTTTATCACCCCGCTTTTGGCCAATAACTGTCAGGTATTTTGGTCTCCAAAATTCTATCCATTGATTTGAAATAGTATTTTTACTGAGTTTATAGACACCTCCAATATATTTCAATCCTGAAAGTGTGAAATTTCCTGCTTCAATGTCATGAGTTAACAATGCAACATTGGAAATCATTTCATAACCATCTTCGTCGACTTTGTGTTTTTCCTTCCTTATTATCATGCCGCAATTAATGGAAACATCAAACATTGAATCAGTTATTGAAGTGTATTTGATTTTGTTTGTATGATATATTACCATTTGACCATCTGGGACTATTGTTGGATCTAATTCAATATTAATCGAATTAATTATTTCTTTAAGCATCCTATTTCTATGTTTCATTCTAGCAGAATATAATTCACAAAAAAGCATAGCATTGGAAAATGCGAAAATAAGAATTGCTTCAAAAGTAAATTGTCTCCTATACATTAAATCATAAAAATGGATATTTTATAATTTTGCCAAATGACAAAATTGAGATTGCCAGGAGCAAACTATTGATGATTATCTTATGGAAAAGTTGCTCAGCATCATTTACTATTCCAATTATAACTTAAAAGCTATTTTTAAATGATTTTACAATTCGAAGTTTCAATTTAAAAAAAATACTTCGTATATGAATTATTATAAAAAAAATTAAGATGAGATTATGTGCACACTTAAGAATGCACATATTTCCGTATGATACAGCCATCAATTATGTTGTTTAAGATTAATTTTCAATGAAGTTAGATGTCCAAAAGTGTGGTATTTTAACCTCATTGAAAAGGACTCATATTTATAAATATATCATCAAAAGCTTAACTTGAGACTTAGGAGTAAAATTGTTCAAATTTCAAAGATGAGAGAACCTGTCCAATGTTAGAAATTTGAATTAAAGTCATATGGGCGTAAGTTCACCCTTAAAAAATATAATTATAATTTCCGCTATATATATGTAAACATTTACTTTATAAAATGAAATGTATAAAATAATAATAAATATATAAAATTAACGATAAATCTTATCACGAATCATTCTTCTTTCCAAATCAGTCAACTGATAGAAATCATGTTTGTTATGTCCAACAATACTTTGGAACAAATCGTCCTTTAAGTATAATTCAGGGCATTCCCTCAAAATCTTCTTATTTGTCATTTCTTTTGGTTCGTATTTCTGCCAAGTAATTTGAGAGAAAGGTTTTGGAGATGATTGTTGCAAACTCTCGTGAACTCTCACTCTTGCCTCGCATTTCTCCTCTTCAGAGACTTGTACAGGCCTCATTCCCATCAAAGATGTTGTTCTAAACATTCCATAAACAAATGCTCTCGCTTCTGCATTAAAAGAATACTCAGAAATCTGTTCCATGGCTGCCAAAGCGTTTTCTGTTCTTAATAGTTCATCTTGTTGTTCTCTGTAGATCTGAACTAACTGGCTTTTTGCTGCTTTCATCGTTATTATGTTCGATAACTGCATAATTAAACTGGAAAACTTTCCTTTGTATCTCGGACCTTCGTCTTCTGTTTCGAACTCGTCTTCTGGGAGTCTGACAATCAAAGATGTTGGATCTGATGGAACAACAGCTGTTTCTTCCTTGAAATTAACAATTTGCCATCCTTTTTCTTCCAAAAAACGTGACAAATATTTTGTTTTTGCGAACAAACTCAAACAAACGATCAAAGTGCCTCTCAACGTGTAAGAATACGAATTCATTGCAGCGTTGTAGATAATAGATGCCAAATCCAACGCGCTGACAATCATTTCTGGTGCTTGAGATGCTAAATGGCCAATTGCGAAGAAAGCTCCTCTTTGGATGTCAATATTCTCTTTGTTGTTGCAATCATCAATCAGTCTTGGAATAACTGTTGATAACATCGCAAGACCTGTCTGTGTCTTGCTTAATTGCCCAAATAAATGTGGTGGAATGTTGATTTCTTTGTCACTTTTTTCAGAAAACGCTTTTTCTACTGCGTTATTGTACAAAGAAACATATTCAAGATTTCCTTTCGTCAGCCACCATTCTATCTCGTTATCTGTATTTGCAAGTGATAATGCTTCTTCTCTAGATAGTATTAGAGAGTATATCGCGTGGCTTCTTCGAGATAAAATCGAATGCATTTGTGAATCTCCCATAATATCGATAATACAAGCATTATCCATCATCATGATGTCGCAGAGACATGTGAGTGCTAATGGAAACATCTCTTCGCCCTTGGAAATGTCTAAATGTTTGATAAATGGAACTAAAATTTTCAGAAAAACGTTTATGTGGAAATTTGGAGTTTCTTTCACTTTTTTGTACAGACCAAGTATGGCTTCGTGCGAGATAGGATGCACTTTGGACATAAGGAGTCGCAAATACATGGGAGCTGCAATTGTTGTGCAGGGATATAATTTTATTGATTCAATTATCAGTTTTGCAACGGATAAGGACTGGATCGCAGCGATAGACTTGAATATGGTGTTCGCTATTTCCCATTGCTGTATCAATTTCGTTCCTTCGTTCTTCACAATTATTGAACATAAGAATTTGAAGACTTGAACTAAAGGAGCTGTCGGATCAAGGTTGTGATTGCATGATATGTTATGAATGGATAGAAGAAATAGGTTCTGGAGGGCGTTTGACGATGCAATAATTGCGAATCCGTATTCCCTTGGTAAAAGGAAGTCAAAGAAGGAGTATAATACATCTACAATTATTTTCTGTTGGGAAATGTTGATCGTCATGAACTGATTCGTGAAAAAGTTCAATAATGAATCATAAAAGTTTCTGGAAGCAGCTGCTAAGGCCATTGTCTCGTCGTATGGAAGGACTCTGAGTATGAGATTGTGAATCTGGGTCCAATCCAATTGTAATGGGTCTTCATTTGAAACTAATGAAAGAATATCTTTCGATGGAATGCCAGTAGAGAAAATATTGAATAGTGTAAACAATTCTGAGGAACTTCCCTCTGGATCTTTGACAAATGAACCTTGATTACTTGTAAAAGTCGTTGGAAGATCGTCGATTTGAGAAGTTTTAGTGCAAGAAAGGCGAACTAACTCGTTAAGAAGCTCTAATGCATCTTGATTACTTGAAACAGCAGAAAGAGATTCAATAATGTTGTTTTGAATTAAATATGAAATTAAATAAGAGCGATAAGGGGTTAAAATGGAGTGCTGAAGCGAATCTAGCTTGAGTATTCCCTTAATAATAGAAACAGAGATTGAGGGATCTGAAGGAATCTGTAAAAAGATTTCTGGCAAAATATTTTTTTCAATTCCGTAGAAAAAAAAGCCAGCCCATGAGTGTAAGATCGATATAAGTGAATCTCTCGGAACATCGTATTTATGATCAAAAATCGGAACTAAAATCTGTGAAAAATAAATAGAATATCGCGCTGGTGAATCATAGTCTTCGGCTTGCTGTAATAAATAAGGAATAATCTTAGTGGAACCTTCTCCGAGCGATTCTATGAAAATATAATTGATTTCATTGAAAAGTGTATTCATTTTTGAGGCAAACATACAATGTTGGGCTAAATACGATAGAATAATAGGTTTGTAATTATGTTTTGGTACATAGTATAAAGAAATTAAAGCGCGAATGATGGCTTTTGGTAAATAATGTCTAATATGAAGCATTACGCTAACTATACTGAAACAAACTGATTTTTCGTTATCACAATCTGTAAATGTGTCCGATACTTTTTGTTCTAAACTGTTTGCTACTAATTTATCAAAATTATACTCTTCTACAATTGAATCATGCGATAATATTTCGAGTTCGAGTACTATTTTGAGTAATTCTGAGCGGATCAGTGGATTTTGTGAGACAAATAGTTGATGAATATACATAGCTATAATACTTAAATCAAGTTCATCAATATTTTGATTCGGAACATCAAGCGCGAGCGAAGATATAAGCTTGTATAACTCCGTTGGCTTTAAATGTGATTCATGTGCTTCCTTCAGTCCGCATGTGAAGACTGAGGAAATCATAAATGAAAAAAATTATTCCAAAATGTGTTGTTGTTATATGATATTGGATCTATATTTACCGTCCGATTTTTAAAAAGAGTAGGGGTAATTTTAGCTAAAAGTGACACGCTTGTAAAAAGCGACACACCCGTGAAGGGTGTGATTACCGATCGGTAATTTCGACAGTTTAGAATTTAAAATTTTTTATGGAACTGTTGCGAGTTTCATAAAGAATTTAAGGAATATAAGCAAAGATTTGAATCAAAATCTTAGACCTAAGCCGCTCGATTCGCTCGCGGCTTCCGCGAATTACAGATCAGCAAAGATTTGAATCAAAATCTTCGAACTAAGCCGATCGCTTCGCTCGCGGCTTTCTTTATTATTTTAAATTTGCATATTTCCATCAAAAGTTCATAAGGTAAAAAATTTCGTTTATTTTTACTAAGAAAAAAAAGGTTTTTGATAATAAATTTATTTTATTTCGAAAAAGTAGCAATAATCGTAAAAGGGTATTGATAGGCTTGCTAAAGTAACTAATTTTAGCTGTCAAATACTTTTGTATTTTGAAGTAAATTAGTATAAATTTGTTTTTACTTTTATTTCGAAAAAGTAGCAATAATCGTAAAAGGGTATTGATAGGCTTGCTAAAGTAACTAATTTTAGCTGTCAAATACTTTTGTATTTTGAAGTAAATTAGCATAAATTTGATATTATTTTAACTCCCTTTGAAAACCTCAATTTTCCATACAGAGGGAACGGGAATAGCATCCAATATTCCCTGAGAATGGTTGCGCATTCTCAGTTCCCTCTATATTTCGAACGAAGCTCTCATCGGTCTTTTTTTTTAATACTAAACGTTTTTTTTTCCTGTCACTTTTAGCTAAAATTTGGGTTTGCCTTTTTAAAAATGACATTTATCAGAAAAAAAATTCAATTTGACAAATCAACCTTATCTTGGACTCTCAAAAAAAAATTGAAACGAATACCGCGGCTTCAAAAATAAAATTTTCCTTGAAATTATAAATATAAATAGTATAATCAAAAATGAATATTTCTATAGCTTTAAATTTTTTGTAAAACTGAAAGAAAATTTTAAAAATAAAAAAATGATAAAAATAATTGCATTTATTCAGCATTGTTTTTGCATTTGTTTATTTTCAATATGTTTTTGATCATAAGTTAATTCTACTACTAACTGTATGAGCTACTGATTTCATCTGATATCAGTCGGGTTCACAGACTTGTATAATGACAATTCTCTGAATATTACAAATTTCAAGAATTTCAAATTATATATAAGTATATCACATTATAAGAATTTTCTTTTGTTACAAAGATTTTTGATTAGTCTTACATTTGAATGGGAATTGAAGAATCAGTTCCCACAATCGATCCAAACTCACGCCAGTACAAACTCATTAACCAAGGAATTACTCAAATAACAATAAAAGTCCCATCAAATGGTAAATTACAGCAAGTCATATTAAATGGTAATGCAATACGAAGTCTTCCTCCGAAATTCGGACGTATAACAAGCTTATCTCTAGCTAAAAATGGACTTTCAATGATTCCGCAAGAAATGATTGATGCAATTTCGACGTATTCTTTACTAGAATTCATTGATTTATCATATAACAACCTTGAAAAGCTTCCTGTTCAGTTTGAGGCACTTAAAAATCTAAAATCAGCAGTATTATTCGGAAACAAATTAAAAGAATACGTATATACTGATCTTCCCTTAGAAAATCTTGATTTAGGAAGAAACTTATTTACAGAAATACCCCATTTTAATGCAAAATTAACAACTCTATCAATGGATTCAAATCGAATTCAGACATTAAATGCAAAACTTAATAATTTGATCAAACTTTCTTTACAGAATAATATAATCGAGTCCATATCACAAGATTCATACTTTAGAATGCTAGAAACTCTTGATTTATCATATAATATGTTACGAGAAGTTCCAAATTTAGCTAAACTAACTCCAAGACTTAGAAGAGTTGATTTATCTCATAACTTCATTACATCAATCCCTCAGTTACCTAGATCCCTTTCAGTTCTCTTAATTTCTGATAATTGTTTGACATCTTTGCCGCAAGACTTTTCTCAGCTCCCATACATTGTCCACATGGACTTTTCAATGAATAAAATTACGAAAGTCCCTCAATTACCACTTTCTATTCAAATTTTTGACATTTCGAATAATTTAGTGGAAGAAATACCTCCTTCCGAGACACCAGACCTTGTAGAGTTCTTTATACATCACAACAAACTCACAGAACTTCCAAAACTCAAGTCAAATCAAATCAGAGACTTCAATGCGAAATCAAATTTAATTTCTTCAATAGATCCAACAATTTTCTGTCCAAATCTATCAACACTTGATCTATCATACAACCAACTCACAGAAATACCTGAAGAAATCTTTACTTTCGAGTCTTTGATGGATTTAAATTTATCATTCAATAAATTAACAACAATTCCTGCAAAAATAGTTGATTCAGGATTAATATTCCTAAATCTCAACTATAATCACATTGAATTCCTTCCAGAACTTGCACAAACCATTGAATATCTTCATCTCGCAAGTTGTGGTTTATCGGAACTTCCTCCATCGGTTTCTTCCCTTAATGACTTAGTTTATTTGTCATGTCCCAACAATAAACTGTCAAATATCCCTGTTATTCCGAATTTGATCAAATTAAACGTTTCTAACAACGAATTAAAGATGATTCCAGAATTACCATCAACACTAACTCATCTTAACATATCCAGAAACTTGTTAAAAGACTTGCCATCAAATCTTCCTGATTTGACAGAACTCGACCTCTCATTTAACTCCATTTCTAATTTACCTATCCAATACAGTTCGAATTCCCTTAAAAATTTGAACTTAAGTGGAAATTTCGAGTTTAATGATACAATTGACCTTTCACACTTCCCAAACCTCGAAGTTTTGAATATCTCTGGTACAGAATCAAATATTACAGGCGATTCTTCAAGGTTACAGATAATATTTTTGGATATTTTCGCAACATCAAGTTCATGTATCTTACAAACGACAGAAAAGACATGCTATATGTCTTACAAAGGAATATCAACACAATACTACGATATTCCTTACGTAAAAATGTCACTTTCCCAAGATTTATCTTTCTTCGGAATTATTCACGCTCACGAAGATAGAAAAGCCACTCATGATGCTAGTAGTCTCCTTAACTCACTAGTTAACAAGCATAAAGACTATATTGACGGTGACATTTTGGATAATATATCCGAAAAGGTAATGGAAGTCGTTGGATCAACAGAAACGTACAAAGAATCGTCAATGACTATTGCTTCTCTTCAGAGTTCAATGCTTACTGTCTCACAAAAAGGATTTATTAGAGTCTGTATTATTCATGACGACGGATCAGTCCAATTTACAGCTGCAAACAACGCGATTAAGTCAAATATTAATGAGCCATTTGTCGTACGTGATTATTTGTCTCATTTACGCGATTCAGGAAGAGAATATGTTTATGGTTGTAAAGAACCGATCAAAACAGAGACAATTTTCCTTGAATCGGCTAAATTCGTAATTATAGGTAGTGAAAACATTATTAATGAGTTTCCAGTTGAAATTTTATCTGAATTTGGAAAGAAATACGATTCTGCGCAGGAACTCGCACACGTAATATTTAACATCTCATTTAATTATAGCAGAAAGGCCAATGCTTCTCTTTTTGTTGCATATCTGAAATAATTTTATAAAATGTTTTAAAAGTTTTGTTATTATATTATATAACTCTCCTAATTTGCTATTTTTGTTCAAGGCTTCTCCTTCAATAACTAATCCTTTATGAGATTTTTTCTTATCAATTTTAGATTGAATCTGATTTCATTTTTCTAATTCAATGCCCATAAAATTCTCGGGATGAGTAAGTTCCTCTATGCTCATTATAAATAATAGTGTTAGTCGATTCACTGCGCTAATCATTTGGATTTCTCATAAAAAAACTATCTATCACCGGCTAATAGGATATCTCAAATTCATGGTACGCCATACTCACATGTTTGGACTAGTAAACTATTTGAAATCATGAAAAAAATTAGAGTGAGAAATTAATTATTCGGAAATAATATGAAATTGCATAAGATAACACCTAATAAGTTGTGTTCTTTCTTGTTTCATTCATTAAATAATGTTTGCATATATTTCGTTTCCATCAAAAAAAATTTTTTTACATTTTTTTATTTTTATAAAAAGCATAACTTCTAAGGAATTTAATTCTTCCTAAAGAATGAATCTGACTATTTTTGAAGAAAGTTATCGAATTCTTTTGAATAATTTTGCCAAAAATATTTATGCCAAATATATTGAACAAAATACTGTTTTCTAGCTATTGTAAAAAATCTAACATATTAAATTATCCATTGTGTCAAATGTATTTCATAACTCAAAAATAATATGATAATTTGTCTACTCAAAATGCGCCCTGCACGGACAAATTGCCCCGCACAAAACGATCCAATTTGAAAAAAATTGAAAGGATTTTCATTTTTTTTCCGTCAGCATCAATGGCGGAGCAACAGAAAGCAACTAAATGGCTCCAACAATTCTTAGCAATAAAAGGTGGTAGTTTTACTCATATTGGAACTGCATTCCAAGATGTTCAAAACTTAAATATTGTTATACAATTACTTACTGACGAGAAGGATGCCAATTATGAAACAATTAACGATGCCCTAGAAGCAATTTTAAATCATAAACTTATGCCAAAATGGGATAGATTGCAAGAAACAGATATTAATCAGTCGAATATGCAAAAAATTGTCCAATTTGTAAATAGACTTGCTGGCCAATATACCATTGACCAAGTCAAGAAAGATAATGCAAACGCGAAACCTTCTGCAAAACCGGCACAAAAATTGCCAAGTCCTAAATCATCAGCTGCAGCTGCCCCAGCGCCAGCCCATAAGCCAAAGCCAGAAAAGACATCTTCAGTTGAAACTACTCATCTGGCAAAGCCTCCTTCGCCAACATCAAATTCGAAGCCTTCACCAGCAGCCCAGTCGAAACCAGCTGAGGAGGATGCAACAATCAGTAGATCCGATTTTGTCTCCCGTCCCATGATGAATAAGCACAGATCAAATACAATAGCACCAAAACGCGCAGCTGAAAGCATTTTAGCAGCTCAGGCCGCTATCGCTGGAAAGCCAATAACTCCTAAAGCCGCTGATACTAACAGTAGACCAATTTCAAGAGGATCTCCAAGAGAAATCTCTCCAAAATCATCAGATTCAGACAAACCAAATTCATTCAAAGCAAGACTTGCCTTTGCACAAAGCAACCTTGCCCATCAAAATGCTCTTAATCCATCAGCAAAGATTTCATGCAATCCTCCTGGACACAGAAATACATCTCCTACAAAACCACAACCTACATTCGCCGAAGAGCCCCCAAAAGAGGAAGAAAAACCAGTTACAAGACCAGCATTACGTCCTGTTCCTAAGGAAGAGCCAAAGAAGGAAGTTGAAGAAGAGAAACTAGTCATAAAACCAGCTCTCAGACCAGTACCAAAGGAAGAACCGAAGAAAAAAGTCGAACCAGAAAAGCCAATTTCGAAACCAGCTCTTAAACCAGTTCCAAAAGAAGAACCAAAGCCAGAACCAAAACCAGTTCCAAAGCCAGAACCGAAGAAAGAAGAGCCAAAGAAGGAAGAAGAGGAAAAGCCAATTTCAAGACCACCATTACGTCCAGTTCCTAAGAAGGAGGAAGAAGAGAAACCAGTCATCAAACCAGCTCTTAAACCAGTTCCTAAAGAAGAACCAAAACCAGAACCGAAGAAAGAGGAAGAAGAGAAGCCAAAGGAAGTAGAGGAAGAAAAGCCAAAGCCAGCATTCAAACCAGAACCGAAGAAAGAAGAGAAACCAAGAGCTTCATTCAACCTTCCAAAGAAAGAGGAAGAAGAGAAGAAAGAAACACCAGAACCAACAAAAGAAGAAGAGGAAAACAAAGAAGCACCAAAACCAACAGAAAACGAAGTACTTCCTCCTCCAAAGCCAGTCTTAACTACCGATGAAGTCTGTGTCAATTCAGACATGCTCAACTTCCCAACAGCATTCCGCCGCACAAGAAGAAACACTGTCTTCGTCAAACGTCCTTCCCTCAAAGACGTTTCTCCAAAGGAACCAGAGCGTCCTAAACCAGCAGAGTCTCCTGTCATGCGTCCAGCCGCAATGGCCGGAATTCCAGACCAATTCTCTTCACCTGTTGCAGGGGGAGGTGGCAGAGCAAGGAGGCCACCAATGCCAGGAATGGGACCAGGAATGCCGATGCCAGGATTGGGCGCAGGAATGCCTAAACTTCGCAAGGTAAATCAGCCAGGAGTTCCTGTTTACACGAAGAATGAAGCTGGAACACCACGTCCAGGCAAAGAAGAGAAGAAGAAGGAAGAAAAGAAGGAGAAGAAAGAGAAAGATCCAAAGCTTAACGAAGTTCCTAAACCATCAGGAGGAGGATTCTTCAAGAAACTCTTCGGAAAAGACAAAGGCAAAGAAGAAAAGACTAAAGAGAAATCACCAAAGTCTTCCGGTAATGATATCAATGGTTGGCTTTCTTTGATGGGCGTTGAAGTTTCAAACATCGCAACAGACTTCAAGGACGGAACAAACTTGATCAAACTCATCAAGAGCATGACAGGTGATGAGATCGAAGTCAAGCCTGTTAAACCAGCACTCTTGAAGTTCCAGAATCCTAATTTGGATGAAGCCATCAAATATTTCGATTCAAAGAATTTGACAGCTGGAAAGAACCACATTTCAAAGGACGACTTCATGAATGGTAATGAGAATAACATCAAGAACTTCTTGGCTGGCTTGATGAGCAAATATCCTAAGCCAAAGAAGTAATTTTTTATTTTTGATTTAAGTAAAAAAATTAAATGGATCCGAGGATTGTATTAAAAAAAGAGATAAAAAACGAATAAAAAACATTTATTTCAATCAAAAAGAAGAAATGAAAAAAACTATTAAAATTAATTTTTGAAAATCTATCATTAATAATAGAATGTCTGAATATTTTTATCGGTATTAGGATTCATGCTTTATCTATTTAGTTTTGCTCCAACTATATAACAAAATTATTTGAAATATAAGAAACTTCGGAAATAGTTTATGAACAATAATTAAGTTTTTAGACATGAGATGAGCTAATGGTAATAGCAAAGCCGAGAGCAATAAGATTTGTAAAAATCTTGCGTATTTAAGGCTATAAGTACATAAATTTTGCACATATAAATAAACCTGCATTCAGGATTGCCATTTGGTGCTCAAGGGCTATAGTAGAGCACTGTATTGAAAATTTTCAAAATATTTTCAAAGAAAACTTTTTTCCCAAGGTAGATATTGAACATTTCATCATTCAAAAAGCAACTTCGGAAGGGTCCATCAAAAGTAATGGATTAATATCTGATTTTGAAGATCTTTCGTAGAAATTTCTTCCTCGAAGAGAAATAGTTTCAGGAGATTCTTCTGGAACTTGCGACATAGTGATTTGAGTCTTGAAATTCTCGGCTGTACACTCTGGAGGTTTAATATTTTTCAAATTGGCAGAATTTATTGATTTGGATGAATTATTTTCTGAACTTGGTGACATGTAACTATATTTGTGATAATGAAGCAAAAAATCTTGAAGGGATTTGTATCCTTTCGGTAATCCATTTTTTGAATTCATAAATTTTGTCACTTTTCTATTAAAAAATAACTACTTTTCTACTTCTTGTATTGAATCGTCTCGTGTCGATATATAAGTAAATTCTGTAGATAATTCGTGGGGATAATATAACTCAAGATTGTATTAGCCGATTTTCTCCAAGCTCAAACATCTACATATATACGCTATGTATAGTCTCTAGCCAGAGTTTCAGGCCATAATTTTGGTTGGAAGGAAGTGACTGTACCTTTACTTTTTTTCGACTTGAATTCAAGAGAATATACAGATCCTAACGATCGAATATATAAAAATTTAGATAGTAACAAACAAAAATATTTTTACTTTGCTATAAGATCATCAATTTTCTTTTGCTTAGCTAAAACTTGTTGTTTTAGTAAAGCACATTGCTGCTGTTTTTGAGCTAATGTTTCTTCTTTTTGAGATAATAATTTCTGCAGCTTCTTTATATTTTCCTGCGCTCTTGCAAGTAAAACTTGCAATTCTCCATTTTTAATAGTCATTTCTTCCATTTGAATTTGCATCTTCCTAACTTTCACAGAATCTTGCTTTTCTTCTTGTAGATCACCTGTTGAACTCATTGACCTTCTTGGCGATTTAAGTTCATCAACAGGTTTTTCAACCAATTCAACACCATAAATATCCATTCTTGTTGATTTCTTTCTTTTCAGTTCCTCATTTTCTTTCTCTAAAGTCTTATGTTTCTCCTCTAAGTTCTTTAGTCTTTCCTTGAGTTTCTTCGCGTATTTCTGGAAATCTGTATTAGGACTTGGTTGTTCTGTTTTAGATTTCATTTCTTCATTTTGGCTTTCTAACTTCCTGACTTGATCACTTAATTCCATGTTTCTTCTTTGCATGTAACGACTGGTTTCTCTGCTTTCTTCCAATGATATTTCAAGCTGTCTCTTATCATTCTTAAGTTGAGTTAACAAACGAGAAACTTCTATCAATTCCTCTGATTTCTTCATTTCAGATCTAAGTTCTTCTTTGTTATCGAATTCTTGAGCTCTCTTCATCTCTCCAACTTGTAATTCCAAGAATCTATCAGTTTCTGTTCTCATCTGAAGCAGTCTTTCTTGGAATTCTTGTCTTTGGTTTGCCAATTCTGTTTTAAGAGTTTCTATTGTATTATTCAAGTTCTGCTGTATTCCTTCTTGGTTCTTAAGTTTATCATTAAGATCCGACATCTTATGTTTCCTTGTACTGGCTTTTCTTTGAAGTTTTTCAACAGTTGCAGCATGATTTAATATTTGCGCTTTATGAATTAAATATTCATCTTTCTTCATAGCACAAACAACATCAGCTTTCTTTGCTTGCATATATTTATGCAATGGATAGTCTATTTCTTCAATTTCACTGTCAAACGAAGAAACAACATTCCATTTCATTGCTTCAATTGTTATTTCGTTTTCAGGTTTAAACATTGTACAAATTTCGGAAGCCAATGTTTTATGTGGTCTTCTTTGGAAAACTTCTCGTGGTAAATCAAACTTAAGATTAATTTGTGGAACATCATAACTTATCCTTCTTCTTGTGTCTTGGAGAGGAATTCTTCCTTGTTCATCATCTTCATTAATAGTATCTAATGGAGTTTGAACAATTCTCTGTTTGCCTCTCTTCTTTATTGGCAAAAGGAACTCTTTACTAAGGTTGTCAACAGCTGTATCTGTTTCACTGACTTCGACAGACATCATTCCTAAGTTATTAGAGCCTTGACTGAGGTCATTATCTGTTAAGTTTTCACCATTGCTTTGATCCAATGTTGACAATCTTTGTGGTGGTAAAGATTTGATTGGTGTTTGCTCGAATTCATCAGGAGTTTCAGCAGTTTTAGATGATGATTTAGTACCTGTTTCGGTTCTATTGGAAGATGATGGAAGTGGTTGTTCAGTTCTATATGAATCAAGTGAAGATTTGTTTTGCTTCAAGTCACTAATGTTTTGCAAGTAAATTTCATTTTGTTTCCTTGCTCTATCCAATTCAGATTTATAAAGATCCAATCTAGCATAGACATCTTTCAATTCTCTTTGCAAAGTGCGTAATTGATCATCATCATTCTCTGACAACGATGATAAATCAGGGGATTCGTGATGAGGAGCAGCTCCATCGAATTGAATTCCAACATCTGAAGTAAGAACATATGTTTTACTTCTCTTACTTCTTGGTGATGATAAATCATCAGATGACATACGCAATGTTGTATCTTTATCAGTGAATTTAGTTGAGAATGAGAACAAAGTCTTTTCATTCTCATTAGGGAATGTAACACCTGTATCCAAAGGAGGTAATGGTTGTGATCTTGTCATTGATTGATTAGAGAATGGCCTTGCAATTATATCTTTTGGAGGTTGCATTGTTGACTCATGATCAACGACAATATTAATTGAAGAATCTTTATTCTGTTGTTTACTGATAGCTTTTCTCATGATTTTAACAGCATTTGCATCTGCAACAGTTGCTTTTTGATCATCAACATCATTGAAAACAGTTTTAGCAAACTTATCAAAATCAAATGAAGAAGGAAGTTCCAATTCCAAAGCAGCAATGATTCTTTCGTAAATACCAATTCGGAAAATGTAATCTGCAATTGCTGCTTGTCTTTGTGAAAGCATTGACTTCAATGCTCTGTTTTCACTTGCTGCTTCTTTAAGACCATATTGTTTTGACTCATATTTAGCCATTTCTTTTTTCAATTCTGATAATTCTTGTCTCTTTGCTTCATATTTCTTTTGGATTTTCTCTCTTTCTTCGGATTCTTCCACAGCATTTCTCTTGTAAAAATCAACTTGTTGATTAAATTGCAAATATTGATCATTTCCTTGAGCGACAAGTTCTTCTATTTGTTCTCTATATCTGTTTATACGCATATCTAGTTCTTTCCTTGAATCTCTGTCTGAAATTAATTCTAATTCTCTTTGATCAAGTTTTTGTTTTGTCAAATTTAATTCTCTGGTCTTACTTTCGAGAGCTGATTGAAGGGCATATGCTCTTTCTGCATCTTTCTTTACTTCTTCAAGACTTGCGTTTAATTGTGCAATTTTATTTCTGGCCTCAATCAATTGCTTCTGTAGCTGAGCAATGTTTGCAGTATTCTTCATAGAGACTTGGTCTTTAGAACGCATTGAGTTATCACTGATATGGCCATTCTTTTCATTTAATTCGTTTTGAAGTAAATCAATTTTAGCTGAATCCTCAGAAACTCTGTTTTCAAGTTGCTGTATGACATTGTTGCGTTGTGCTAATGCATCGCTTAAGTCTTTATTTGCATTCATTAATTCTTTTAAGGCTCTATCGATATCTTCGATATGTGATGAGTATCTTGTTACTGTATCTTGCAATTCGCGCTTTTCAGAAATGAATACAATTTGATCTTGTTGCACCTTAACTTTAAATGCTTCGTAATCTCTGATTTGTTTCTTGTGTTGATCGATCCTTTCATCTTTAATTGCAGCTTCTTTCTCTTTTGCTTGCGTCATGAATTGCTGTCTGTCGTATTGTTGCTCGAGAGTTGATATTTTAGTATTTAACGATTCGTTTTTGCTTTGTAATTCTTGAATTTTGAACATTAAGTCTCTATTTTCATCTTCTAAGAGCTTTACTTTGTCATGTGCTTGCACTAAATTTTCTCTTGGAACATAAGATCCGTCAGTAAGCAAATCTATCTTATCTTTGTATTCTAATATAATCTTTGCTTGCTTATCTATTGTATCTTTCAGTTCTTCATTTTCCATCTTCAGCGATTGGACATCAGGATTCATTTGAAATCCTGATTTGAAAAATATGTTTATTTATCTTCGCACCAACAATGAAAAATTGATTTCTCCAATCTTAGATCAATATTATATCTGAGTTATAATCTAATGCAACATATAAGGACTCCTGCAAAGAACATAACTGATTTTTAATTACTTCGCAATATGAGACTATAAAATTAATACTTCATTGATTTAACATGATGAAATACTGTAATTGCATATAATCTAACTTCTCTATCAGTTATTCTTCACAATATTACTAAATTGAGCTGGAATAATACCAAATTTTTTATATCGTGAAAAGGTATATGGTAATTATACCTCATCGCCGTAAAAGTTCAATACAATAGTACATATAAGGAATACTTAAGTTTGATCAGTTTTGATTTCATATCTGAGCATTTAAGGCATGAAAAACAAATTTCCGATATAAACACCTATATATATATTAAGATAATAAGAAGAATACTAAATTTGATTTTGAGAAGTGTACGTTTAAAATAGATGTCGCGTATCCCGGTGCGCGGTGATCCAGTTAAGAAGAAACATGTCGACAAGAACTTAACAGCCATAGAGATCAAAAAGCTAAGATTTTCTGAAGAAATCAATCGATTATACTCAGATTTATTTGAAGAAAAGAAACAAAGAGTTCTTCAAGAGAGGAAAAATGCAAACCTACCACAGAAAAAAGCTGAAATGCAAAATGATTATGATCAGCTTATTAAAAAAGCAGAAGATTCAAAAAGAGAAATAATGGCAAGAATATCGGATCTCGAATTAGAGAACAATGAACTTCATGATAAGCTAGAAAGACTCTCCCAACAAAAAATGTCACAACTGAAGAAAGATGAAAATCTTGAGATACAAAAAAGGGCTGAAGAAGATTTAGAAACACAATTACATAGTGAAATTGCAGCATTAGAAACTAAAAAGAATGAATATTTACGCTTAGTTAGTCAACAGAGAGAAATCAAATTAGATTTAAAGAAGAAATACAAACGAGTTAAGGACACATATGAAGCATTACTCAAAAAAGTTAAACAGATGGCAATTGATAAAGAAGTTAAAAGAAAACAAAAAGATCTTGAAAAGATCAATGCTGAAATGCAACGAAAGAAGAAAGAAGAGGAAGAGAGGAAGAAAGATCCAATCAATTCTTACAATAACTTCCTATATAATGCAGGATATAGCAACGAACCATATGATATCCCGATAGTTGTTCACGAAATTGATGAGCCTATGGAAATATTGTCAATGTCTGGCGATTCTCTAGAGGAATCTGTCTTTGAAGGAGAACCTAATGTTATTGATGACCAGATTCGACAATTGCTCTCAACTGGCCAATATACAGAGTCGGATCCATTAATTCGAGAGCTGAGAAGTCGTCTGAAGAAAAAGTCGTAATAAGAAAATGATAATTTCTTTATTTTATTAGTTGTTTGTTGCTTACTTAACTTTTATTAAACTATATGTTTGGTTGTTTTTTAATCATTCAATCTGCTTCGGTTATTAACATCAAAGTATCAAATATCTGCAAACAAATGTCAAACTCTAAAGCATTAATAGTGTTCATTAACCTTGTAAAGAGAAAATGTGTGCTATGAAACACGTGAATATGTTAATCTCATTTTCGTGAAATCTCTTATTTAAAATGACCGAAACAGAGAAACAAAGATTTTTTCTGGATGAACTCCGCTCTATTATGCTTGAAGAAATGACCATCTTGAACCTGCTAAATATCTGATCTCTGTTAAAATTAATAAAGGATCAATACATATAAAAGCCGTTCTTAGCAATTTTTATTAGAGATGATAAATTCTCTGTTGGATAACAAAGCCAAAAAGGTATCTGACGATAAATAATATTAGTAAATGCCACAACAGCAATAAAAACATAGATTTTTTAGATATTTTATAGAAAGTCGTTTTATTGAAATCGAAATTAATGCTCATTTCAAAATTAGAACAGAATTTAGTTGAAAGATCATACAATGTAACTGAGTTCATTCTATTTCTTGATTAAAACATGAATGACAAAATTTTTGCGATTTTCTCTTTTCCGATCAAAATTTTTTTAATTTTTTATTTTCGATGGAAACAGAACAACCCAATCAATATAATCCAATTCGTTTTTCATGGAACTCAATTCCAACATCCAAGAGCAGCTTGGATACAACTGGAATTCCATTTGGCTGCGTCTACACGCCATTAAAAGAATTACGTTCTCAAGAACAAATTTTAAACTATCAGCCATGTCTTTGCCCAAATTGCAAGGGTATCATCAACCCATTTTCTACAATTGATCCGCAATCAAAAACATGGATTTGCCCACTTTGCAAACAGAGAGCTCCACTTCCATTAAACTATACAAAAATCGATCAGAACAATGTTCCTGCAGAGCTTTCTCCAGAAAATACAACAGTTGAATATCTAATCGAAGAAAATGAAAATCCAGTTCCTCCTGTTTACTTCTTTGTTGTTGATGTATGCTGCACAGAGAAACAGCATCAACAGTTGAAGAATTTGCTCTTACAAACTCTCGCCTGCATTCCAAATAACGCATTAGTTGGTTTTATTTCATTTGGAACAATTATTTCCGTCCACGAAGTTTACTTTGAGGAAACACCTCACATTTCCATTTTCAATGGCACAAAAGTCTACACAGCCGAAGAATTAAAGAAATTTTTGAAAATTAATCCAATTTCCACAGGCATTCCCAATCGTTTTATTGCACCTCTTAAAGATGCCGAACAGATGCTGAACACAATTATCGACCAACTAAATCCAGATCCATATCCAATTCCGAAAGGAAACAGAGTTAAAAGATGTACAGGCGCTGCTATACATATGGCCGTCGGAATAATCGAAGCAACATTTCCGAAAACAGGTGGCCATGTCATCGTATTCAGTGGTGGCCCAATAACTCATGGTCCAGGCGCAATGGCAGAATTAGAGAGAATTAAAAATGTCAGACAGTTATCAGATATTTCCAAATCAAAGCTTACTGAAGAATCATTGAAGTTCTTCACAGAACTTGGCAATAGAGCCAACAGTTCAAATATTTCCGTAAATTATATCGCGGCTTCATTCGAAGAAACAGGTTTCCACGAAGTAGAACCGTTAGTAACAGCGACAGGTGGCTTCCATACGATCGGCGAAGGTTGGGCTGATGCAGATTTAATTGAAACTGTCGTCAGATACTTCCAGCGTGAAGCTCCGTACTCAGGAAGCGAAGCAATCGTTACTATAAACGGTTCTTCGCATCTGAATGTTACAGGAATGATCGGATGTGGCATTGCCAACCCTCCTGTAAATAATTTCTTCTCAATTAACAACAAAGTCGGACTTAGCGGTACAGATCAATGGAGAATTGTTGGCCTGAGAAGAGGTACTTCCCTTGGCATTTTCTTAGACTCAAAAGGTGGAGTGAACGGTGAAAAATGTTTCATCCAATTATTATGCCGTTACAGATATTTCGTAACAGGAAAAACCCACTTAAGAGTCACAACAGCAGCAGTTTCCTTCGACGACAATCTCTCAAGCCAGCTTACAGGATTCAACCAAGAGGCTGGAATCTCATTACTCGGAAGACTTGCGATGTTTAAGATCAGATCTGAGACTGTTCGCAAGGTAATCGACGAAGTTGATAGCTCTATCGTTGAATTCTGCAAGAAATACGCTCCTGGAGCTAATTTCAATCAAAATACTATCGGAATTCCACAATTAATCTTTTATCTTCGTAGACTTAAAGTATTCACCGGCCAAAATACAACTCCAGATCTTACAGCATCAATAAGATGCACATTTAATATATTAGATCCAAACGACAGCGCATTATTACTTGTTCCAATATTACGTAGGTATTGCCTCGGAAAAGAGGTCGAAGAAATGCCTTTGAGCCAAGATTCCCTCGATCCGCAATGGATTTTAGTACTCACTTGCTTCTCAAGGGTTGTTGTCTGTTGCGGAAGAGATGTCGCTTCCTGGAGAAACCAAAACATTCATGAACAGCCAGGACACGAAGATCTCAAGTTAATTCTCGAGAAATCTCAAGCTGACGCCAAGAATTTTGCCGATTTGAGATTCCCAGCTCCACAATTTATTGTTTGCGACCAAGATTCATCATTATCTCGCTACTTACTTACTGCTGTCAATCCACCACCTCTACAGCTTGAAGCAAAGAAATCTGCAAATTCCCTTGACACAGATTCGGGTGATTACGGTTCATTCGTCGACAGATTACGTCAACTATCTAAATAAATCTTATAAATGTAATCTTTTTTTTTAGATTTTATTTTTTAATTTTTCACAATCATAAGAATTTATAATGACTAGTAGATACTGTTCGCGACAGTACACATCTACTCAAATAAAAATTACTTTACGATAAAAATTATTTGAATTTTTTTTGAATAATGTGCCATTACACTGATCACAATCATCTATATATTGACACATGGAAATTAGGAACCAATATTATATGTAAAAGTCTTTTTAGATGTTATAATTTTTTTTGATTTCATTTTAAATGAATTATCTATCTTGTCAATAGCTACCAATCCACAAACTAATACAATCTGAAGTTGAAATTAGAGATGAAAAATAATAATTAAGTTTTGATTTAAAAAATTAAAGAAAAAAACATATGTAAAAGTTAGTAAAATTAATTTTTACTTAATCATATTAATCACTATCAGGTTTTTCTTTCAAAAGAGTGTCTTTGTACTTTAAATATAGATTATGGAATTGTAAGTTGTAAGTATTACGTAAATATTCGGTAATCGTTTGATTCTTGTTTGCAAAATTCAATCTTACATTTGGATTTGCACCCTTCAGGAGGAGGTATTCGAAAACATCTGCGTTCGGGAAAGGTGAGTTTAAGAAAACCATCAAGAGAGAAGGTATTGATGTGTTATCTTGTGGAGACTCTAGAGGATAACCATTCTTCAAAAGAATATCAATAAAATCAATGATAACCTTATTAAACTTTAAATCACTCAATATTTCACCTATTGGGTATGACTGTTGAGGACTTGGTGTAAAGAATGAGTCTCTCAGTTCTTTATTAAACCTCTCGAAAGCAATTTTTGTTGTTTCAGGGTCTTTAAGCATGCAAATGCTTTGGAAAGACGAATAATATGGTGCAGCAGCAGTTGTTGTCGTACCTTTCGGAGGGTTGATGTATTTGATCTTTCTAATGAGTATTCTTGTGATTTCTGGCTGAACAGTGTAACATGCAGATGTGAATGCATTCTTTCCTTCAGATGTGTAGTAATTGATATCAGAATACTTCATAAGTAGCTTGATCGTATCAATATCTAATCTGTTTATAATTCCAATAATTAATGGAGAGTTATCAGAGTTTTTATCAACTTCTCCAATACAGTTGATGAAGTAAATGAGTGCTTTCACAACTGAATCGCCACAAATCAATAGTTTCTTGCAAATTTGTGTAATAGCGTTTTTATTCGCTTTCTGGAATCTATTGTATTCAAAGCCATATAGAGAGAAAAGTTTGAATGTATCTGATATTCCACTAAATGATGCAGCATAAAGAATTTTCTTCTCAGAATCTGCTGAAGTTTTGTATTCTTCTTCGAAGAGTGCTTTAAGTTTGCCTGTAGATTGATATTTTGATAATAAGTATGATACAATTTCAGTTGATCCATATCTTGCAGCAACGTGTATTGGTTTTATGTTGAACTCGTCTGCTTTGTCAAAATCGAATTTACATATCTCGATGAAGTATATGAAACATTCAAACGCGTTATACTTTGCAGCATGAAAATGAAATTGAATTTTTCTATTATCTAGGAAAAGAAATGATTCTGATTCATTAACAGGGACACGAATATGCTTTTTTAAGAGATCTGCATCATCTTCTTCAATGATAGACATTATTTTCTTTTCATAGTTGCCATTACTCATTTTTATTTTTGATTTCAAATTTGCCAAATATTCGCTCAAATTTTCCAATAATTATTTTCTGATCGTCTTCAAATATTTTTTCCATAAATTTTGATATTCTCATTGAAATTGCTCAGTGCATCATATTTGAATTAAAGTGCTGACTATATATACACATTTTTCAAAGAAATTTAGATATTTTCTATTTGAAATTCCAAATCTTCTCATTATTAATTTCCATTAAACATAAATATATCAAATATAAATGCGCGCGCACACAAAAAAAAAATTAAAAAGTAAGAGAAGCAATAGATTCTTCAAAATCTTGAAGACGAATAAGCTCCGTGAATAGAATTTTATTACCTTTGTCAACTTTAACAAAATAGTTACCTATTTGGCATAGTTCTGTTGAAAGAAGATGAAGTTCAAGTGAAACTTTTTTGTTTTCATAAATTATTACATTATCATTTGGATTATATAATTTTTTTGTATTATCAATATATGAATTAGATACTGTAATTGAACCTCCTGAACTAGAAGCTCCAAACAAATATTGACCATTTTGTTTGTTATTTGCAATGAAACAGTTTTCTAAAGTAGCAGCACACTCATAACATAAAATCATTGAAGGAGTACCAGTAGGAGTAGAAACAGTGTTGTTTATGAAAACAATGCTGTCATATTTTGTTGTTTGTTTGTATCCTGTCCAACAAATTCTGGAGTTTGCATAGTTTTCATCAATAATTGAATATTTTATTGAAGAAGTTCCTTGTCCTGATCCTATTTCAAAAGCTGTATGAGTTTGGCCATAATTTCTTGTGATGTTGTTTTGTAAAAATGAATTATTTCCACAAAATAAAAGAAGTGTATCAGATGATCTTCGATCTCCTCGGTTGCTATATGTTATCGATGAATCATGAACTTCATTGATTTTTGTAGGATCATCTGATAAATAAATAAGGCAAAACGATCCAGTGCCTGTCGATTTAGATCCAAAACTGCAAACTTTTTGAATGGAACTTTAACCTTGTTCGATGTAAATAGATCCACCTTGGCCATTTCGTGATGAGTTTTCGAAGGTATTTGTAGAAATAAGTGACTTAAGATCTGGTGAATTAAGAATAATAACTCCTTCTTCACCAAGTTTGCAAAAATAGACTCTGCAGACATAAAAGTTGCCGGTTTTATTTAAGTATTTTTGGTTTTCAGAATAAATTTCCTGAGAGTATTCCGATTTGTAGACTTCTTCCCATTCATTATTTGACAAATGGAGCAGATTAGATATCTAATAGATTGATCGTTTTGCATAATATTCACGCTCCTATAAAATTTTGTTTTAAAGAATTGACAGAAAATGAAAATAAAATTAAAAAAAAACTTTTTTGAAAAACCTCATCTATCATTAGTTTTTCCATTCATGGGTTATATATATACGGTTTAGGTGAAGACATTGCGGATCTTACTTTGACAGCTTACAGATTATGCTTATTTTTATGATATTTAGAAAAGTTTGATCCAATTCTGTATTAATTGTTCAAGTTTTAAAGGTATTTACTGCAATTAATGATGACAGTCTGATAGCATATACTAATTTTATCAAAGAAACAGAAAAAGATATCAGATTTGTTGAACTATTCTCTAACTTTGATTATAAGAATCGATTACCTAATCAGCAATTAGTGTAAATCACAAATCATATTTCACTCAACTTTGAGTCTACCTGCACGTTGGTTTTAGTACCATTTGATTTGTTGTTTTTATTTTACTCATTGATAACATTTTTTTTCAAATACCAAGCTTAGTTTTATGTGTTTCTAAATTCAAGGAATTTGATTTCGCCGTCCAAACAAATAAAGATTGAGTTATTGCTATCATAATATTAGACATTTTAATAAACAAAAAACAAATATATACAAATTAAAAAATAAAAAATAAATATATATTAAATCATCTTGTTTTCGACGAGAACTGCATAAAGTTTCTCATATGCTGACAATGCTCGCGTGTTTCCTTTATCGGCGGCCATCTTGTAGTAAAATGCTGCTTGGACAAGATCCTTCTTAGTACCTTGACCTTTCTGTGCCATTTGGGCGTAATACATCATCGCGTCTGCATTTCCTTTATCGGCTGAATGTTTAAGATGCTTTGCTGCTTTATCAAGATTCTGGTCAACACCTGTACCATTCTTAAGCATAAGCCCGTACATCAACTCTCCTTTCGCAGAGTCTTTTTGTGTAGCCATTCGGTAGTATTTAGCTGCTTCTTCAAGATTCTGTTTAACAAGTTTTCCGTGTTTGCAGAAACTTGCGAATTGAACAATCGCTTTAACATTTCCTCGGTCGGCCGCCATCTTGATAAGTTGGACTGCTTTCCTTCGGTCACGTTTGATTCCTTCGCCGTTGTAGTACATGGTTGCAAGGTTGTACATAGCATCAACTTCTCCTGAAATGGCTGCTTTCTCGAAGTATTGCGCGGCGGCAACTGGATCTTTATCCATTCCTGTGCCTTTTCGAAGCATCAAACCGATGTTGTTCAATGAGTAAATGTTGCCTTTCTCGGCAGCCATCTTGAAATATTTAGCGGCGGTGTCGTAGTTCCTTCGAACACCAATTCCTGAACAACACATCAATGCGTAGTTGTTCATGCCTAAGGCATTACCTTGATCTGCTGACATCTTGAAATATTTTGCGGCTAAAATAACGTCTTTTTTAACACCTAAGCCGTTTTTCAGAATGATGCCGTAGTTGTTTTGACCTTCTGCATCACCAATGTCGGCACAGAGTTTAGTGTAATATGCCGCACGTTCTAAATCTTTAGCAACACCTTGACCTTTCTGAAGTAACAAACCATAGTTGAACTGTGCTAAAAAGTTACCATTGTCGGCGGCCATTTTATAGTATTTGGCAGCTTCACTGATGTCTTTGTTAACACCATCACCTTCTTCTAACATAACTGCAATGTTATATTGTGCTTCGCTGTTGCCGTTATCGGCGGACATACGCAAATATCGTTCGGCCATCTCGTTGTCTTGTTCCATACCATAACCGTGTTGTGCCATGAAACCAAAGATATATTGTGCATCGATGTCGTTGTCATCATCGGCCAGTTTCCTGAAATATTCTGCTGTTTCTCGCATCGCTTGTTCGTCATCACAATCTTCTTGTGAGAACTTTTTAAGCATGAATTCTGCAGCTTCGTTGTCGTTTTCTGCTGCAATTCGCAACAAATCTAATGCTTCTTGCCGTTCACCACTGTTCAATTTGATAATTGCAAGTTTGACTTGTGCACCAGAATCACCACTATTAGCTGCTCGTCGGTGGACTTTTTCGATTTCCATGGAGCGTGTTTCTGCGGTGATTTCTGGTTGCATGTTGATGTCTTGTGTGATTGATAAGTTTGATGCATCGAAAGAAATGTTTTCGAATGGAGATCCATTTGGATCAATTTCTTCTTCTGCATCATCGGAGTTGTTCGATTTATCTTCCTCTTCTTTCTTCTTTTTATCTTCTTCTTCTTTTTGTTTTTGTTTCTTTTTAGTTTCTTCTTCTTTTTGGTGTCGTTCTGATTCAAGTTTTTCTTCTTGTTCTCGTTTGATTCGTTCTTCTTCTGCTTTCTTTGCTGCTTCTTCATCCGCATGTTTCTTAGCAAGTCGTTGTTCTTCACGCAGTCTTCTTCGTTCTTCACGTGAAAGAGATTGCATTTGTTTCAATCGTTCTTCATCTTCAAGTTTCTGCTCTTCTTCACGTTTCTTAAGATTTGCAATTCGCTCTTCTTCTTTCTTTTTCTCTTCTTCTTCCTTTCGAAGTCGTTCTTCTTCTTTCTTCTTTTGTCGCTCAATTTCATCAAGTTCTTTCTGCTTTTCAAGACGTTTTTTCTCTAATTTGGCTTGTTCTTCTTGTTGTTGCCTGAGTTTTTCGAGTTCTTCCTCTTCTTCTTTCATACGCCTTTCTTGCTCTTTAAGAAGTTCTTGTTCTCGTTCTTTCTCAAGACGAGCCTGTTCTCTGCGTTGTCTTCTTAAATCTCGCTCATAGTTCTTTTTCTCTTCTTCGTCTTTGAATGCTTTCGCCGATTTGTGTGACATCTTTTTAGGCTTCTTCGATTTCTCTGGAGATGTCTTTTCTTCTTGTTCTGGTTGGAAATCGAAATCAACATCTCTTGACTTAACTGTTTCACTTTCTTGGCCTTGATTTCCATCAGAACCTTTTTGAGAATTGGTTTCTTCAGCTTTCAAACGAGCTTCTTCTTCAGCTTTCTTTCTTGCTTCTTCCTCAGCTTTCTTTCTTGCTTCTTCCTCAGCTTTGAGTCTGGCTTCTTCCTCAGCTTTCAAACGAGCTTCTTCTTCGGCCTTTAAACGAGCTTCTTCTTCGGCTTTCTTTCTGGCTTCTTCCTCAGCTTTGATACGAGCTTCTTCCTCAGCTTTGATACGAGCTTCTTCTTCGGCTTTCTTTCTTGCTTCTTCCTCAGCTTTGATACGAGCTTCTTCTTCGGCTTTCTTTCTTGCTTCTTCCTCAGCTTTGATACGAGCTTCTTCTTCGGCTTTCTTTCTTGCTTCTTCCTCAGCTTTGAGTCTGGCTTCTTCTTCGGCTTTGATACGAGCTTCTTTTTCAGCTTTTAATCTGGCTTCTTCTTCAGCCTTCTTTCTGGCTTCTTCTTCAGCTTTCTTTCTTGCTTCTTCTTCAGCTTTGAGCCTTGCTTCTTCTTCGGCTTTCTTTCTTGCTTCTTCTTCGGCCTTTAAACGAGCTTCTTCTTCAGCCTTCTTTCTGGCCTCTTCTTCAGCTTTGATACGAGCTTCTTCTTCAGCTTTGATACGAGCTTCTTCTTCAGCTTTTAATCTGGCTTCTTCTTCAGCCTTGAGTCTGGCTTCTTCTTCAGCTTTCAAACGAGCTTCTTCTTCGGCCTTTAACCGAGCTTCTTCTTCAGCCTTAAGTCTTGCTTCTTCTTCGGCTTTGAGTCTGGCTTCTTCTTCAGCTTTCAAACGAGCTTCTTCCTCAGCTTTCTTTCTTGCTTCTTCCTCAGCTTTGATACGAGCTTCTTCTTCGGCTTTCTTTCTTGCTTCTTCCTCAGCTTTGATACGAGCTTCTTCTTCGGCTTTCTTTCTTGCTTCTTCCTCAGCTTTTAATCTGGCTTCTTCTTCAGCTTTCAAACGAGCTTCTTCTTCGGCCTTTAACCGAGCTTCTTCTTCGGCCTTTAACCGAGCTTCTTCTTCAGCCTTAAGTCTTGCTTCTTCTTCGGCTTTGAGTCTTGCTTCTTCCTCAGCTTTCTTTCTGGCCTCTTCTTCAGCTTTGAGCCTTGCTTCTTCTTCAGCTTTGATACGAGCTTCTTCTTCAGCTTTCTTTCTTGCTTCTTCTTCGGCTTTTAATCTGGCTTCTTCTTCAGCCTTAAGTCTTGCTTCTTCTTCAGCTTTGAGCCTTGCTTCTTCTTCGGCTTTCAAACGAGCTTCTTCTTCAGCCTTAAGTCTTGCTTCTTCCTCAGCCTTTAATCTGGCTTCTTCCTCAGCTTTTAATCTGGCTTCTTCTTCAGCTTTTAATCTGGCTTCTTCTTCAGCTTTTAATCTGGCTTCTTCTTCAGCTTTCTTTCTTGCTTCTTCTTCGGCCTTTAAACGAGCTTCTTCTTCGGCTTTCTTTTTAGCCTCTTCATTTTCTTTCAACTTTGATTCGTCATTATCAGAATAATCATCATAATCAGAATCATTTTCATTCATTTCTTTCTTTGAATCTTCTTGTTTGTTTTGTTCTTCAATTATTACACTTTGACTTTGTTCTTCTTCTTCATTATCACTTTCTTTATTCTCTTCTTTCTTTTCCTTTTGATTTATAACCTTAATATCATTATTATCTTCTTCTTCTGATTCATCGCTTTCTTTATTATTTTGTTGTTTTTCTACATCATTTTCATTGATAACTTTAATTTCATCATTATCTTCTTCTTCTGATTCATCACTTTCTTTCTTACTTGATGATTTTTTTTCAACAACTTTGATTTCATCATTATCTTCTTCATCTTCTTCTTCAGAATCTTTATCTTTATGTAGTTGTTCTTCTTGTTTTTCAGTGATGACTTTGATTTCTTCATTATCTTCTTCGTCTTCTTCTTCATCACTTTTATCCTTCTTTTGTTTTTCTTCTTTATTTTGATTTATGACTTTAATTTCGTTGTTATCTTCTTCATCTTCTTCTTCAGAATCATTATTTTTAGTATTTTCTTTCTTCTTATTTTGTTGTTTTTCGATTTCGTCTTCTTCTTCGTATTCAGTTACTTGTATTTCGTAACTTTCATCACCATATTCTACATCAGTATTCAACAAATCCATTGATTTCGAAGTAGTTTTCTCACTATCAATTTCAGAAAGTCTTTTTACATCATTATCATCATATTCTTCTTCTTCATCGTATTGGCTTTCATTTGATTTCTTGTTATTTTGTTCTATTTTAACAACACGAACATCATTTTCATCTTCTTCCTCTTCTTCTTCGTCTTCTTCTTCATTTTCTTTTTCCTTTTGTTGTAATTTCTTTAGTTTTTCTTGTTCAGCTTTAATTTTTTCTTCTTCCTCTTTTTGTTTTTGTTCTTCAGCCATTTTCTTTCTTAATTCATCGAGTTGTTGAGCAGCTTGTTTCTCCTGTTCTTTCTTCTTTTCCATTTCTTCCTTTTTCTTTTGATCCGCGAGTTTCTTTGCTTCTGCTCTTCTTGCTGCTTCTGCTTTTCTTTGTTCTTCCATGAATTTCTTTTTTTCTAATGCTTCTGCTTGTTTTCTCTTCTTCTCCTCGTCCTGGCGTATCTGCTTCAACAAGGCAATGGCATTTTCATCACCCATATCAGCTGCTTTTTGTAAAAGTTCTTTGGCTTCTTCTTTTTCTTTGTCACTTTTTGCTAAATTGTAAAGTAACTTTCCCAATTCGTAAAAAGCTTCAGGAATATTGTGATCGCAAGCTTCTTTGAGTAATTTAATGGCTTCATCTTTTAGTTCAGGTTTTTCTCTTATTTGGCTTGCATAAAGTTTTCCGAGCATTAATTTCGCCAATACATTTCCAAGGTCACTTAATTTTTGTAAAGCGATTTCGTTGACTTTGTTTTCTTTGTGGCATTCTCTTATTACGTGCAAATGGTCTCTTGCTTCTTCATTTCCATTACCTGCAGCCATCAACACGTATTTTGTTGACTCATCCTGGTCAACTTCGCCACCACATCCTGTATCCATCAACAAACCATACAAAAATTGGGAAATATTGTGTTCTTGATCAGCAGCTTCTTTGAAATAGTACTGGGCTTCTTCGCCATCGAAGTCAACACCTCTTCCTGCATTTAATGCTGATGCAAGTTCGTATTGGCCTTCGATATGATTCAAATTTGCTGCAATTCCGAAATATTTGGCTGCTTCTGGATATTCGCCTTTCTCTTTAAGATACATACCATATTTGTATGCTCCTTCTGCATTTCCTTGGTCTGCTGCTTCTTTGAATAATTTGATTGCTTCTTCTGGTGTCTTTCCTTGGATTTCTCCTGCTTGGCATTGCTTGGCGTACTCAACAATAGCATATTGATTACCAAGTTCGACTGCTTTGAGAAGATATTCTTGAGATTTAATATCTCTCGTCTTGGAAAGCTCGAAGTAAGCTTCTGAATTGTTTCTTGAGCTGGCTTTGAGAAGATATTGCTTACCTTCTTCTTGTCTGCTTGGTTCGTCATCTGTTAATAATAATTTACCGAGAGAAACTTGGCTTTCTGTATCGTCTTGGTCAGCAGCTGTTCTGAAATATTTTTCTGCTTCACTTAAGTCTTGTTCTACGCCTTCTCCTTTCATTATCATATTGGCATATTCTCTGGAAGCCTCTATATGACCATTATCAGCAGCATTCTTCATATATGATGCTGCTTGTGGAAGATCTTGATGTATTTCGCCTTCTTTAAGAGGAATTTCTTCAAATCTAATTTTTCTTTCAGTATTACCAGTATCGTGTGACCATTTGACACCTCTTATGGCTTCTTTCTGTTGTGACAACCCAGGACCAGACGCAAATACACCATGTGAGATGAATCTTGAATCAGCAGATTCATTTACAGCTAACTGAATGTATTCTTCGGCTATCCTTTCATCCTTCGTGCATCCTTCACCGGACTGAAGCATATTACCATACGTAAACCTTGCATCTGCGTTTCCTGAATCAGCTGATAATTTCATGTATCTTGCAGCCTCGTATTTATTCATAGGAATACCAGAACCATTCTTAAATAGTAAGGCGAGATTAAATTCAGCGTCATTATTCCCTGCCGATGCAGATAATTTATAATATTTTGATGCCAAAACTATATCGCGCTCAACTCCTATACCATTATCAAGCATATATCCGTAGTTGTTTTGTGCATATTGATTACCTTGATCCGCTGATTGCTTGAACAGTTGTGCCGCTTCTTCAATATTTTGTTCGACACCAATTCCTGCGCAAAGCATTGTAGCGAGGTTGTTCATGCCGTTTGTGTTCATCTGTTCGGCAGAGAGTTTGTAGTATTCGACAGCTTTCTTTGAATCCTTTTCAATTCCGCAACCATTTTTTAACATCCACGCGTAGTTGTTTTGTCCTTCAGGATTTCCTTGCTCAGCGGCCATTTGGAAGTATTTGGCAGCTAAACGAGCGTTTTTTGGAACTCCATAGCCATTTTTGAGGCAAATACCGTAAGAATTTTGCGCATTAGGTTCGTTTTGATTTGCTGCAAGTAAAAAGTATTTGATTGCTTCTGCTTTGTTCTTTTTCGTGCCTAAACCTTGCTTTAACATCAAAGCATAGTTGTTTTGACTCAATGGATCACCTTTTTCAGCGCCCATCTTATAGTATTTCAAAGCTTCGGGATAATTTTGTTCTACACCGATACCATTTTTCAGCATCATACCAATTTGAAACATAGCTTCTACATTTCCGTTTTCAGCTGATAATCTGTAATAATTTAACGCGAGTTGTTTGTTTTCTTTGAAGTGAATTCCATGTAGAAGTAAATCTGCGTAATCTGGGTAGGCATCTTCGTTGTTTTGTTCTGCTGATTGTTTTATTAATTCGCAGCCTTTTTGTGTTTTCTTTTTAACACCAATTCCTTTCATATATAATAATCCAAGACGATGTTTGGCGTGTGCTTCATTTGCTTTTACACAAATCTTATAATATTTTACAGATTTATCCAAATCTTTTTCGGTATTTTCGTCACCTTCCTCATATTTTCGAGCTAGAAGGTACAATTGATATGGATCTGATGGGATATTTTCTAGATTAGGGTCCCCATCAGACATCTGGAAAATCAATAGTGTAAAATTGAGTCTAAATTTCTGTATTCAATTTTTCAAATCGTTTCTCAGAAGCAGCAAACTTATGATGATAATTTTTTAAACTCAGATGTAAAAATTGCAAAATTTTATCAAAAGTGACATTTATTACATCGTCTAACGGAATTCATTCAAAAGTCGTAATTCTTCTTCACATATCAAGGTTATTCGTTCGGATAATTAATATAATCATGCCATTTAGTATCGAATTTAAAAATTAAGCAATATTGCAAAAGAAATTTCTTCATAATAACATATTTTCGAAATCAGTTGCATCGTTTGCGATCATTAGTCTAAATTTTATAATTATTACGTATGAGTAACCATGGCATCGATAGCCAATCTTTGCAAACTCATCGTCCAAATAACAATTACTTTTTGTCAACATGATAATAGCGCAACCATCATCGTATAATGTCCCATATACGATAAACTAGTATTTTGTGCATATTGTTTGAACTTACCTTTTAATAAAAACACAAAATGAGAATAACTTTTTTATTATCCAATATTGAGTCATTTAATTGGACATTGCCATATTCTGTCATTTATTAACATTTCAACTAGGGATGCGACGGTTTTACGCCATGACCGTTTAAAAATAGAATAATACGCCATTTTTGGGGCCGAATGGCGGGTACGAAGTAGCCGCCATTCGGCCGAATAACAAAACAATACAAAATTATCGCCGTCCTTTTTTTTCTTTCTTTCTCTTTTTTTTTTTTCTCTCTCTCTCTTTCTCTCTTTCTTTTCTCTTTCCTCTTTTTACTCCTCTTTCTCTTTTCATCATTAAACGTAGAAAGATATATTAATATTATTTTGTTCCATATTAAGTTCTGTCAAAATGTAAGCTATTCAATTCTATCGTCGGGGGAAGTATCACAAATCTATCAATTTTTTTGTAAAAGTATACAAAAACATATGGTGTTCAATTAGTTTATAATAATATAAATATTAAGATTATCCAAAATAAGAAAAACTAGGTTTTGAGAACACTTTTGAGATGATAATCAAAATATTTTGATTGAAAAATAATATATTATTTATCAGATATAGAATGGATTTTTTCAAATTTAAAAATTCTGAAAATAAACAGTTTTGTAAAGTAAAAAAAATGAACGAAAACTCGAGACCTCGTATTCCAAATGAATGGGTAAGATATATGTATGAAAAACTTGAAAGTGGTGAGTAAGGATGTCAATTTGGAAGAAAAGTGAGAAAATTTTGATTGTGAACTCATCTCTAATATTTTGGCTCCTTAATATATTTGAATCATGATCTTTGAGAAGAGTTCTCAAAAGTATTCACAAAAGCTATTTTTCCTTGAAATTTAAAAATCCTGTTTATCATATATTACCGAATTCAATTCCCTACATATTTCAAAATATTCTATGAACATTTCAATTTTTGAAAAAAACATATTTTTTCCAAATATATTTATTATCATATTTCTAATAATATTTCCTAAAGCGTCACTTTTTACTTCCTCGATGATTATTTCCCTCTCAAAAAATTCAATAGCTTACATTTTGACAGAACTTAATATGAAACAATTTTAAAATTAAAAAAAAATAAAGAAAGTATAATAAGTAATTATTTAGTTATCGATATATATATGTAAAGTGATAATCTGAGGATAATCTGAGGAGTTTGAGGATAATCTGAGCATAATCTGAGGAGGAGTCTGAGGATTAGACCGATGAGTAGTTTGAGGATAATCTGAGGAGGAGTCTGAGGATTAGACTGAGGAGGAGTCTGAGGATTAGACTGAGGAGTAGTTTGAGGATAATCTGAGGAGGAGTTTGAGGATAATCTGAGGAGGAGTCTGAGGATAATCTGAGGAGGAGTCTGCGGATAATCTGAGGAGTAGTTTCAGGAGTAGTCTGAGGACTAGTCTCAGGACTAGTCTGATGAGGAGGACTCTAAGGAGTAGTCTGAAGAGTAGTCTCAGGAGGAAGATCTGAGGAGGAGTCTTATGAGGAAGATCTGAGGAGTAGTCTGATGAGGAGGGGTCTAAGGAGTAGTCTGAGGATGATGAGTAATCTGATAAGGAGTAGTCTGAGGATGATCTGAGGATAACCTGATGACTAGTCTAGGAGTGGTCTAATAAAAATGTAAAATATTTTCAAAGAAAAAATTCTATGAATTTTATATTTTAATTCTTAGCATTATACTGAATAAAATAAACATAAATATCAAAATTTGAAATTGAATACGCCAAAAAATTGATAATCCACATTCAATATTTTGTAAGTGGCGTACTTTTTGAATACTCGCAATACACCTTGGAGTTCTCAATTTTGAATTCGCCTTTATTTGGGCGACCTCAGAAAAATACGCCATTAAGAAAATATTGTATGAGATTTTAAATTTGAACACGCTCTACCTTAAGGAATTAAATTTATTAAGATATATTTATATATAATAAACGATTACTTAAAAAAAAGTATTTCATCGCTTATGTAAGTGAGTGCGGGACAAATTTGCCAGGTGTCACTTTTTCAATAACCTTAAACTACGCTTTTCTAATTTTTTAAAAAATAACCTTAAATCATATTTGAAGAAATTATGTCTATGATATATGTTTTATGCTAGAATCTTGGAGTTTTCATGCACTACACAAGAGCTCCAAGGTTCCAAGAGTGAATGCTCAATAGCAATTATAGAGATGTACCTTTTCAAAATGACTTTTACTGATTAAATTTAATCAATAGAAGACATTTTGAAAAGGTACCTCTACAATTAGATATACAAGAGATTCAAAGCTTCATTTCAGATAGATTTGAAACTTTGAAACTCTTGGTAGATTTTGAGTGAATGCTGACAATCATCTTTGAGAAGGTTTTCTTTAAGAAAACCTTCTCAAAGAGGTTTCTCAGGAGCCCTGAGGCTCCCTTTCGTAATGATTGGGAGCCTTGGGGCTCCTGAGACGAAGAATGGCTTCGCCGAATCTTTGATCAGCAGAGGCCAAATGAAAAGGCCTCTGCTGATGGATTCTCAGGAGCCCTGAGGCTCCCTTTCGTAATGATTGGGAGCCTTGGGGCTCCTGCAGCAGAGTATCGCTCCGCTCCATTAATTTTTTTAAAAAAGTGCCGTGTGGCAAATTTGTCCTGTTCCCCATCTTTATTATTTTTTTATTCCTTTGAAAAGTGACACTGGATAGTTTGTCCTTTTCTCTATGTAAGTTGCAAAAAAATCACGAAAATAAAAAAATCAAGATTAAGAGTTTCATCGTATAACATCACAAAATTAACCTTATTAGAACTCGAATGAATGGATTATCCGGATTCTAGTTCTCAATATAATAGCCTTAAAAGTGCTTTTCTGAGGGTGGTCTATCGTCTATAGGGCACCCTTAAGATTTTATTTTTAATTTTTGAATTTCTCAAATGGCGAAATTTTTGGGCGAACAAAAAAATGTACGCCCGGTCAAATGGCGTGTTTAACGCATCCCTACATTTCAACAACCTTTTTTAACTCTTATGAGATGTTTATTTTATTTTTCTCAGTTAAGTAATATCTACTTAGGCATTTCTCTTTAAAATTTAATTGAACTATAATAGATATTCTGGAATGCTAATATTACCCTGTCTACATGAGAAAAAATACCGGGTAATAATTTTAAAAGATAAGTAGGTCAAGTTGATTATATTACCCACGCAGATAGTTTAGTGTAAATGATGTGAGATTTGAAGGAGAAAAATTGATATTTGGAAAGGTACTTTCAATAATATTTCATCAGAATGAAGATTATGTATCAAATTAAATCATAGTATCTGGTTGTATACGCATATCAGCGCTGAAAAAGATGATTGATTTTTCATCGATATCAGTGGTTGCCAGAATATTGAAGCGAGACATTGAAAATTTCTCTATTACTTAAACCTGTATCACTGGTAAAAGAATGGAAATCGAAGATGGTTGAAGATGAAAAAATAGTCAAAAAAATCGTTAAAGATTATGAACTAGCGAAGGTTTTATTCGATGAACTATATTGAGTCATTTCTTAGAATATTTTTGCATTATAAAATCCGAAATTAACTGTCAAAATACTCCCTTTTTCAGAGCAAATCATGTAAACCTTTCAAAAATTCGAAAATAATAATAAAAAAAATTTTACTAACACTCAAAAAGAAAAGTTATTAAATACATTAAAATGGGCTGTTTCGGTAGTAAAGTAGAAACAGAGGACCGTTTTATTTGTACTAATAATCCAGAACATAATACTAAGTACCCTGATAACACAGTTGTTAACAGTAAGTACACAGTTTTTACATTTTTGCCTAAGATTTTATGGGCTCACCTTCGCAGATTCATGAACATGTATTTCTTCATCATCGCTATTCTACAGTTATGGTCTGCCGTTACTCCAGTTAATCCTATTACAACTTGGGCACCAATTGTCATTATTTTCGCAGTTGCCTTCGTTCGTGAAGGTTACGATGATATTCAACAACATAAACACGATAAAGTTACAAATGAAAGATTATATAATATTATACGTTCAGAGCGTGAAAAAACTATTCAATCACAATACATTTTACCTGGCGATATTCTGATTTTGAATCGAAATATGGAAGCTCCTTGTGATATATGCTTGCTTTATTCATCAAACGCCGATGGAAAATGCTGTGTTGAAACCGCAAATCTTGATGGAGAAACAAACCTCAAAGAAAAAATTACAGTAAAGCAAACTCAAGAGATGGGTCCAGAAGGACTCCGTACATCTAAAATTTATATAAGATGTGCAGCTCCAAACGCAGATTTGAACAGTTTCGATTCTAGTCTCTTCGTTAACAATCCAGATGGAGAATGCATCCCAATTAATAGCGAGCAGTTCATCCAGCAAGGTGTTTTCCTCAGAAACGTCGATAAAATTTACGGACTCGTATGTTACACAGGAAAGCAAACTAAACTTGGTTTAAACGCTCAGGCACCACCCATCAAATGGACAGAGATTGAAAAGATTCTCAACAAAGTTTCTCTCGGAATTTTCGTTGCCCAACTTATTCTCGCTCTTATTACAGGATCTATCGGTAATTCCTGGAAGAAACATCACAAGGAATCCGAGCCATACCTTTGCTTGAAGGAAGACCATCCAATTGGCGAAAAATTCGATTGGATCGTTTTATACATCCGCTGTTACCTTCTTACATCAATTATGATTCCTGTCTCACTCAAAGTCACCATCGATATCTGTAAATACGTTTACGCCATGTTTATTCGAAATGACAAAAAAATGGTTTATATTAACAAGAACGACCACACAATACAGCAATGTCTTGTTAACAATACATCTGTTATTGAAGATCTCGGCGCAATCCAATACGTATTTACTGATAAAACAGGTACATTAACAGAAAATGAAATGAAATTAACGAAGATTGCAATCGGATCGAGATATTACGGTCACAATGGTCAATCCGAAGATATTCTTGAAGACACTACCCTTACAGAAGCCATCCAATCCCAAGATCATGAAGTTCTTTCCGCAATTTGCAACTTGGCACTTTGCCACACCATCAAAATCATCGATACTGCAAACGGTATCGTCTTTGAAGGTGTTTCCCCAGAAGAAATCTCATTCCACGAGGCATTACAAAAAATTGGTATCATTGTTCGTCAAAATAAGGATGAAACAACCATCAGTTCCGAGAAACTGAATTTTGAGCCATTCAAATTCAGGACTCTCGAGGTTCTTCCTTTCTCATTTACCCGTCGTCGCATGTCCGTCATCGTAGAGAACACTGTTACCAACACAAAGGTGTTATTCATGAAGGGCGCCCACGAAAATGTCGTTGAACATACCGGAGGATCCTATTCCGGCTTCGATTCCCAAGTCGATACATTTTCATCGCTTGGCCTTCGTGTTATGGCACTTTCCATGAAGCAGTTAACAGATCAAGAGTACAACCAGTACAAGGAAGAGATTTTGGCCGCAAGACAGAACCACGATAACAGAATTGCCGAATGCGAGAAGGTTTACGACAAATATGAGCAAGGCCAGAAGTTAATCGGCATCACAGGTATCGAAGATTCCCTTCAGGATGGCGTTCCTCTCACAATCGAAATGCTTCGTGATGCAGGAATCAAAGTTTGGATGGTTACAGGTGATTTAATGAACACAGCCGTCAAAATCGCCCGTTCAACACGTCTTATCTCCAACGATGGCGAAATCATCAAACTTTCAACAGATGCAGCCGGAACAGACTCCAGAACTCTTCTTCAGAAGGTCAGTGAATACGTTGACACCATCAACCATCCATTCTATCTTGTAATCGAAGGATCTGCCTATTGCACGAACGAATTCCTCGGTCCTTTACAGAAAGAATTCGCACAATTGGCTTCAAGAGCTCGTTCTGTCGTTTGCGCGAGAACAATGCCAAAACAAAAGGCTTTTTACGTCGAAGCACTTAAATCTCTTGGCTGCGTGACATGTGCAGTTGGTGATGGTGGTAACGACGTCACGATGCTTAGATCAGCACACATTGGCATTGGTATCATTGGAAAGGAAGGCAGACAAGCAGCTGTTGCAGCTGATTTTGCCATTTCTCAGTTCAGTTACATTCAACGTCTTATTTTAATACACGGCAGATATTCAGCGTACAGGACATCATGGCTTACACAGTTCTGCTTCTACAAATCAATATTACTGGCCTTGATACAAGTTGGATATCTCACAATGAATGGTTATTCAGGATCATCATATATGAACGATTTCAACTTGATGTGTTACAATGCCATTTTCACAATTTTGCCAGTCATCTTCTTCATGTTCGATAAAGATGTTGAAGAGTCAACAATCTACTTGCATCCATTTGTTTACACTGACTCCAGAAAGAGAATGTTTATCAACGCAAGAACAGTTTTCTGGTGGATTATAAGATCAATTTACCAGGCAATTGTTATTTGTGTTATTGCATTCAACGCTTTCGATGTTGAACACATTAACGGTTTGGATGGATCGGCAGCGAACTTGGCTGAATCACAGCAGATTGTTTATTCCAGTTTGATATTGATTGTCGTTGTTACAACAACAATTGATACACAGAACTGGACATCTCTCAACTTCATCTTCATTTGGGGTAACTGGGTTATTTATTTGCTCGCTGCTGTTTGCGCGAACATGATCAATGATTTCTCAATTACTCGTAAGATGTACTTGGTAATGCTAAGGACAATGGCTGATCCTCTTGCTTGGTTCACTGTTGTAACTATCACAGGCGTTGCAACAATCCCTGTTTTGTTCGTTCAAGCTTTGTTCGCTACTTATTTGCCAACAAGAAGCCAGTCACTCAGATTTAACGAAATCATCGTTCAGTGCGAGTATAAACCGGTGTATTTGGTTGATTTGACAGCTAAAGAAAACCAGTTCGTTGTCTCCAACTTGTATGCTGCTCCTCCAGAAACAATTTGGGATCAGTCGCATAATATATTCGCACCAATATTAGCACTTTTCGGATGTTGGAAGTAAAAAATATTAATTTTTATTATTATTATTTGCAAATCTCAAAGATTTTTCTTTTTGAACATAATAGAAATTCATAGAAATAGTTGACCATTGTGCTTCGCATGATAATGCTCTTCAAAATTCATATCCAAGATTGAATATTGTTCATTTTGTTTTGTATACTATATTAATTCTATCTACTATGAATATTATGTAATTAGTTTGATATTAATGCAATATTGGTCGGGTCCCCAATTGTCCCCCAAGCGACATCCTTAATTATGATGATCATACAATTGATTTGTTTTATTGATAAATGATGTCAAAACAATAATTGAGTATTTTTCCATAATTCTGATCCTGCATTATAAACTTTCTCTATTATACCTATTGTGATGGCAAACATTGATAAATTTACAATTACAACACCCAATGTAGACGAAATTGATAAAAAGACCTAAGATTATTCGAAATTGTGATATAATTTTAAACATATGTTTATTGTAGGATTGATTTTTTAGAAAATTTTAATAAAATGAATTTCATGATTTTATAAATTTACGTTACTCAATTTTCAAAATTTTAATGTTTTCTCATCCTAAAAACAGTATCGTCTTAAATGCAGGTGACCCAATTCCTCCTCCACCTGGATGCGAGATAGGCCGTGATAAAAGACCGCCGCCAATGATTTTAACGTATCATAAAGATACGAAAGGATACACTCCTAAACAAGTTAAAGAAATGATTGACGCAAAAAACAAATACAAACAAGAATGCGAAATCGTTGAAGTACAAAGAGAGTTAGCTCGCTTTGAATCTAGAATGAATCCTAGCAAGAAAGGAAAATATCCAATGCCATCTTATCCAGCACCACCAAAAATCGATGATGATCTCGTTAATGCATTCAGTGAGCCTGAAGCAACGAAGTTTTACGATTTTCCAATTCCTCAAAACCCTTTGAAGCAAAAGAAAGAATGTCATCATACAGAAGTACATATGGCTCGTGGTTGCCCGTGCTGCAATCCCGAAAAATATTCCGAAATCAAACCAAGAACAGCAAGATCTCAATTAACAACTACAAGAACAATAGATGTCAATCCAAAGAAAAAGGAGGAAATGCCATATCAAATTGGAAACTCTTACTGGAATGTTCTTGATGAAACATCAGTTCCTGAACGTCCGAAAACCCATAGAAACATCCAAAAAAATCGTCCTCAATTTTCGATGCTTAGAACTGGTCCAAGGCCAGGCGGAATTCCAATTGTTCTTGATGATCTTGCAGCATCAAGGGCTCGCGGTGAGGAAGACTACAGAAGAAGATGCTCTAAACTAGATGACCAAGAAATGCAAAAGAGAGAAGAAGAATTGAGAAAAAGATCAGAAACAAGCAGATTGAAGTCATCAAGAAGAGATCAACAAATGAGGACTATATCCGCATTGAGTGGTCAAGCTTGGGCTACTGGAAAGACTTTATCTAGAACAGGATCAAGAAATGAAACAAAAAGAGAAATTAAAGTTGAAAAAGAGAAATTACCTAAAGATGTTGAAGAAGATCTTAAAAGAGTGGCTGAATATGATGATAAGATATACTATGAACGAAAGAAAGCTCAACAACCAGCTGATGAATTGGAAAGATTAATCATGTTGGCTGGATTGCAAGTTTAAGACTTGTTTTATGCTATTGTTTATTGTTTGTTATAATTGATTCAATATATTGTTAGATATTTGTATTTATAAAATTGAATTTTTGTTAGATAATGACGATTTTTTCATTTGAAATGCTCCATCTTATTCCAGCCAGTCATTATGAGCAATAATCAGACTTCCAATAGTTTATAAAATTTCAAAAAATACGTCCGTTAAAAATGGATCAAATTCTCTCCTTAGAAGAGCTTAAGAAAATATCGAAATCTTCTGAGAAGAACTTCTACGAGTTCGATCTATCAGCAATCTACATTGATTATTGGAATCCTCTTAAATATACGTTAATTCAGAATGGACCTCTAAATATTCAAGGAATAGGATTCAATTATCAAACATTTATTAATTTTCAAGCACAGCTTAAGCAAGCTAAAAAGAATACATCATCAAAAGGCATGTATCACCCACCAATTGAATACGAAGGATCAATTCAAAAGAATTGCAAGGATTTAATACCAGAACTTATTGGTCTTCTTTCTCGTATCATTCCAAAGACTCGTACTATCAGACAATTATCTTTCCGCACGATGCCTTTTGGTTTAAATGAAATTGAAATTTTGTCTCAATCTATTATTCAATGCAACTCATTACGCGTTTTAAAGTTCTCAGATATACCCCTTTATGACAATGGCTTTGCAAAGATTTGCGAGTCTCTTAAACGTCAAGCAGTACAAGAATTACAATGCAAGAACTGCGGATTGTCTGATGCTATTATCCCAGCATTCGTTGATTTGCTTGAAAATCATTGTAGAATCCAGAAAATCGCCGAAAAACATGCAGAACAGAATAAAGATAAGAATCTCGGTCTTGTTTGCCTACATGTCATTGATTTCTCAAATAATAATCTTACAACAAGATTTGTTGATGAAATTCATGAAATATTAGATTCATCTCCTGTTACAAGTTTAGAATTAACTGGAAATGATGATATCGATTTTTCAACAGTCCAATCACCAAAGATTGTTCTTGGAGGCGGTGATGATTCTACAGATAAATCATCTAGCATATCAGCACGTGAAAAAGAACTTGAAAGAGAAAATTTGAGATTAAAACGTGTTGTTTCAAGCTTAGTTCAAGGAAAAGATGTTGTAGCTCTTAGATCAGATATGTATGCAGTTGGTGACAGAGCAAATGAACTTGCAGAGCATGTCCGAATTCTGGATGAATTATGCATGAAATTCGAAAGCGGAGAAATGTCACCACCACGACCAAAGAAGAAACCTGCTAAGAAGAAACGTGCTCAATCTGCTCGTTCCAGATTATTTCCATACTAATTTTTTTATTATGTAATTAATAAGTAAAGTAATGTCGTTTTATTATTATTAATGAACAAAGATGTATAGTTTGAAATCCACTGTACCTGTTTCCCATTTCTCTGTTATTAGTGCTTGATAAGCACATATTTCGTTGGCTCAAAAATTCCTTTTTTCAAGGGCATAGAATTACATGCAATCGATAAAATTATATTCACTATACGTACAAGTCTGTGTTGATACATATTGCTATAGAGAGTTTTCTCTTAAGCTATAAGGATTGCAAGATAGAGATCATGAAAGTCTCCGTAGAGCCTTTATATTGAAAATTTGGATCATTTTCAAGGAAAATGCATTTATCAGCAAGTCAAACATTATTAAAATTCTCTAAATTAAGCTAATAGGAGCTTTGTGTATTGAATTTCGCCATCAATTTTATATTTTGATAATAATTTTAGCATTTTGATTCAAATAATAAGGGATAAATAGTTGTAGTATATAATGTTTTATATTTTTGGTAAAAATGAAAAGATATTTTATATTTTAATTCTAATATTTAACTAAAATAAAAGATGTACAAAAAAACTCGCTGTTAAGAATAAATCATATAACATAACTTGATCTTACTTCTTCTTATTCTTTCCAGCCACCCATGCCTGTCTCATTGAAGCCTCGAGACCTTCAATTCCACCGACAGATCTGAGCATTTCCTTATCCATTGACTTGGCCATCTTCATGACTTGTTCCTTGAACTGTCTTTCATTTGCGAAGTTCGGTTGTTCGGTCTGAGACATCAATGCGAGAGTCTTCTTGTCCATTCTCTTGAACATTGTCTCCCAACGACGCTGCTCGTTGATCACGTACTGTACAAATGGCGGAGGCATTCCAGATCCGGAGCAAAGTCTTGCGATACGAGATTCATCGTTTTTGAAGAGAAGAGGGTTCTCTATTTCGGATGTAGACATCGCATCGATGACGACAAGGATTCTTTTGACGGTATCTTTTGTATGTTCTGGATCATTCTTCATGCCAGGCTTAATTCCTTGGGCAATTGTAATAGAATCGAGCATAGAGTTAAAGTTACCGACATCGAGAACCATCTTGTATTGATTGTAAAGATCTCTGAACGAGAATTGGCCTTTTTGAATATGTTCCGCGATTTCTTTATTTGCTTCCTTATCAATTTCTTCGAGAGTGCGCTGGATGACACCGGGATCTTGAATACCGAGAAGACGGGAAACAAATGAGTTCGGATCGAACCATTCAAGGTCTGTAAATTGTTCACCAGAACCAATGAAGCTGATTGGTGAGTTCGTAGCGGCAACAGCTGATAAGGCACCACCACCTTTAGCGTTGGAATCGAGCTTTGTGATGATGATTGATCCGACACCGACGGCGTTCTTGAAACCAAGGGCTTGGTCGTAAGCGGCTTGACCAATTGTACCATCCATAACGAAAATGATCTCGTGAGGGTTAACAGCGGCTGCTAACGCCTTCATTTCGGCGAAAAGAGCTTCTTCTTGCATGTGACGACCGGATGTATCGATAATGACGATCTCGTACTTGTCCTTCCTGAACTTTTCGATACCTTTCAGGGCGGCCTGAACTGGGTCTTGTTCTGTGAAATCAACGAAATAAGGAATTCTGGCTGTCTGAGCGTTCTGCATGAGCTGTTCACGAGCACCAGCACGGAAAGTATCTGCTGCAATAACGCCTGTTCTCCAGTTACGACGCTTGTAGAAATTTGCAAGTTTTGTGACGGTTGTAGTCTTACCAGCACCTTGCAAACCAACCATCATGAAAATATTGAGCATCTTCTTCTGTGGTTTGTATGCAGGAATGCCAGGATCAATTAATTTAACTAATTCATTGAAAACTGCTTTTTCTATAACACGACGAATTGAAAGACCAGGTGGAATCTCTTTGAAGTTGATGCTGTCCTTCAATCTGCGTGAAAAATCGAAAACGATCTCCTTGGAACAATCGGCCGCGATGAGACTTTTCGCAACTTCGGCCATGAAGGTTACGTAAACTTTCTCATCGATGGTCTTCGACTCGGAGAGCTTCTTAATACTCCCCATAAGCTTCTCACCAAGGTCTTGGAGCATTTTTTATATTTCTGATTTTGTCAAAAAAATAATCGAATTTTGATCTCAGTGTCACTTTTCGTCAGATTTGAATTCTGACACCAATATTCAACCATCAATCATTCGAAAATGTTTCCATTCACATTCATTTCTGAATATTTTGCTTAACGAATGGACAGTATGATGTAAATATCTAAATTGATCAAAGTAAAAATAGATATTTTGGATGAGAAATTGCATTATATCACCAAACTACAACGCATATGGCTTTTCAAAGTAATTCATTGTTTATCTTGGCAATTCGAAAAAAAAAAATATAAGAATATTATCAAAATGGCCATTTTCTAATATATCACAGTGGTGATGTTCTTTGTTAACTATATTATATGAAATCTTGATTAATATGATAGTAAATTATCTTTTTAATCTTTAGACATCTAACTTCCAAAATAAAAAAAAATCTTGCATTCTATGACAATCAATCTATAAAGACATGTAAGTTTTTATTCAAGAAACTGTGCGTGAGCCAAAATTAATATAGATAATAATGAGAGAAAAAGTATTACATCTATAAAATATAAAATCATTAACTGATTTAGGAATATAGTATGGAATAGTGATAATTTCGATAGAGATATAATTAATTACATCAATTGTTGTTTGATCTGCAATTTTAGTGCCTTGATCAAAGTGAACAAAAACTGAAAATCTTCCAAAAAAATCCTTACAGGTCTCTGATAAAACTGTTTGACTTGTAATATATAAATGACTTACTATTGGAAATGTTGTTTTGGGATTAAATGTTATATTAAACCTTCCTAGAATATAAATATTCTTTAAATTTGAATCAACAGCAAATACATTTTCACCAAATGTGAGATTTATGTTGTTTTGAAACGTAATACTTTTTAAATTTGTGCAAGATGCAAAGGCATTTGTATCAATATACGAAACTTTTCCAGGAATTGATATATTCATTAATGAGCTGCATCCAGAAAAAGCACCAAATCCAATTCTTGTAATTTTTTCTGGTATTGAAAAATTTGTTAATGATCTGCACCAATTAAATTCATACATTTCAATCGATGTAATTTTTTCTGGAATTAAAATATTTGATAAATTTATACAATCGGCAAATGCAGATTTTCCAATCCAAGTAATGTTGTTGTGAAGCTTCACTGATGCAATTTTTACCCGATAAAAACAAAAATCGGAAATATTTGTAACATAACTAGGAACTATATATTCACGATCCGGATATGACTCAAGTACTCTATATAATGTAAAATTATCTGTACCTTTATATAGAGACTTAAATTCAAATAGATAATTTTTATTTTCTGGATCAACTGTAATACTTTCTAAATATTTACAATTATTAAATGCTGTTGGATGTATTGTATCTAGATTCTTTGGAATAAAAAATGAAGTAAGTTTTGTTCCATAAAATACCCATATACCTAATTTTTTTAGGTTAGAATTTTTTGAAATTTTAATTGTCGTCAAACTACGCCCTAAAAAACAGAATCAGAAATAGTTTCTACAGAATCTGGTAAGTCAAATGATTGAATAGCAGTATTAGAAAAACAACCACTTTGTATATTTGAAATATTTTTAGGGAGTATAACTAATTTCAAAGAAGAGCATTTTAAAAATAAACATTCCGGAAGTTCAGTAAGTTTATTGCAATTACTGAGATCTGCTGATTCTAATTTTGTTTTATAAAAGCTATACGAACCAATTTTAGTAATTTGACTGTTTTCTTCGAATCTAAGTGATGTTATTGTATTTTTGCAGTTTTCGAAGGCATAATAATATAATGTGCTATAGATTTCTGTGACAATTTCAGGAATGACAACTTCTCCACTTAATTCTTCTGAGCAATTAACAATAACTTGATTCTGTTCATCTTGATATATAAAAAAGTCAGTGCTCGTACTTTTAGAAGATAGAAAGAAAAACAGTATTAAATAAAATTAATAAATGATAAAATTCATTATTAAATTTCCGTCGAAAATTGGTAAATTCGGTAAATTTGAACAACAGGCAGCAATTATGTATTTTCAAAGCTAGTATGCTAAAAAGCATAGTTTTCAAATGCTGGGTTCTTTCGAAATCGGAAATTATGTGGTAAAAATTGGTTATTATTTAGTAAAATCATTAAATTTTATCGATTTGTAATGAATACATCAATATTTTTGATTTCTTTAATGTAATTTTCGAATCATTTTTTAATTTCAATTGTATTTTATGGTTGTAATCTTCATTGAATTCCAGACTTATCATTTTGAAGCATTAATTTGGTAAAAGTGAATGATTAATGATAGGAGATGGAATTAATTCCATTATAAAAATAGAAAATTTAGAATGTTTACATTTGTAAAGTGTCAAATCTCTTATTTCTCATTCATTTTCAAGATAATCACAGTTTTAATTTTCCAATGGGCATAGATCCAACACGTAATATCATTGTATGTCTAAAATTGAATCCGCATGCAAGATTCAAATATTTTGATTCACAAACCCTTTCAAAACTTCGAAATCCGTAGCCTAAGCCCTTATAAATATGGAATTGATTAAAAATGTTTTCACTGAAGAGTCCTTTATTGAGTCTGGAAGAATGTACGTTTAAAAAAATAAATGACTTTCGAGGAAAGATATGAACTTATCATTCAAAATTTCGCATCTCGTAGAAAAGAGATGTTAGAACTAATGAGTAATGTTGTTCCGACTGCAGCAGAAATGCATAGAAGAACTTGGCGTTTGCAACAATTAGATAACGCTATCTACGATATTAAAACGACATTAGCAGCATGTAACCAGCAATTAGATAAGGAGAGAGATCAGTTAGATAAATTATCGACAGAAAATGAAAGACTACTTGCTCAAGAAAGAAAATTAACTGAAGATATTAAGCTTTTAGAAGGAGTTACGGGTATGCAAGCTGTAATTCCGTGTGATGCTCAAACTGGACTCATGGGTGAGATAAACGAAATGGCAGAAGAATTTAGAAATAGTTTTGCAGATTTCTACTTCAATTTACCAAATATCAAGCAAGAACTAAAACCAGACTTAACTCTCGAAAAGGAAGGTAACATTCTTATTGATTCACTCAAAGATTACGTTACTTTACAATTTGATCATCGTGCAGCTGATGCAACTTTATCAAAGATAGCAGAAGAGAGAAGCATAGAAGCAGACAAACTTGAAAAATCACTTGCAGATGATGCAATGAAGATTGAACGCGAAATTGAAGCTCAAAGAAAGGAAATTGAAGATGCAGCAGGAAAAACCAAAGATGAACTTCAAGAACAAACAAAGAAGATTCGTGATGAAGGCAAGAAACAGATTTCCCAGGTCAAGAAGGAGCAGGAAGAGCTGAAGAAGCGAATTGCATCATTCACAGACAAAAAGAGAAGGAAAGAGATGAGATGCAAGAATCTTCAATCTCGAAACACTGCTATCAAAGAAAACTTCAGGAGAAGATCAAAAGAAATCGAATTAGAACTCGACAGACTAGAAAACAGACTTGAGATCATCAAGAGACAGCCAAAGACAGTAGACAAGGCACTTATTAACATTGCTTTAGTATTAACAGAAAAATCTGAGAAGATGAATCAAGCTATTGCTCAGATGAGAAGTGATATTGCTGACTTTAATAATTGGTTGCGCAAATAGAAAAAAAAATTGTTTATTATTTTTTGTTATATTTTTTAAATAAATCAAAAGTTATTGAATCTTATCATGTATTCATAAGCTAGTAGTAAAGTCATCGTTTATGTGCATCTATTATTCTAAATTCTTGTTCATATAATGCATTTTTGTAGCTGGAATTTGGACAGAAAATAAAAATCTAAAAAAGTGACACAGTATACGTTTGGAAATGGCATCAGTGATACCATTAGAGTTATTCTATGCAACATCAATGGACGTTGACCATCCAGCATCAAATGTTGTTGATGCCGATGAAACTACGTTCTGGACTACAACAGGTCTCTTTCCACAAGAATGTGTTCTTAAATTCAAAACACCAGCACAGATTATTCGCGTAACAACAATTACAGGAAAAGTTAAGGCTATATCGCTTTATGCTTCAACAGATGCTGATTTAACACAATGGATTGAAATTGATACATATAATCTTCCAGCTCAACCTATCAAACAACAAGAAACACACCAATTAAACTTACGTAGTACAACATATGGTATTAAAGTTGTTGTTAACCAAGGTTGGGGTCCATTCACAGCTTTATACGTTTTACGCGTAGAAGGTGTACCTGTTCATGAACAACCTAAATAAAGTAGGCCTAAATGTAATTATTTATTTTAAATCTTAGACGTGTTTATTTATATTTACCTTTTATACAAAATTTATAAAATCATTTATATTAATCATATATGAAAATTATAACTTTGAGCCAAACTATTCATTTGTGTGCATTTCTTTTTGAAATATCTCTGATAAATAAAATTGAAATTGAAATTTGTTCTATGAGTTTACAAAAATCAAATACTCTTCATGAGAAAATTCAATTCATCCTACAATCTTTCATTGTTTAGGTATAATTATTTTCATCGAAATTTTATTGAGCATTAATCTGAATTTGAACTTTAAAATCTCAAAAAGCAATGAAAGCTTATGCCAATGGTATAACCCAAATTAGAAATTTTAAATTCTGTCAGAAATGTGACATCGGAATTGTTCAAAAGAAATTTTATAAACAGAGAAACATTTAATGGGGGCCAAATCATATCAACCTCTATTTGCGTTTCTCTATGTAAATTTTGCTGTTATTGCTTTTGTTTTATACAAATTGCTTGTTAATTACACTCCAATTATTCCGAAAACAGAAAATTTATTATGTGATTGGAATTCATCAACAAAAGTTGGTGGAACGAAAAGAGATGTTGTTTTTCTTTTTGCAACTGCATTTGGAAAAGGTTTAACTCTTTGTATCAAATCTTTGCGCTCAACGGGTTCAAAATGCAGAATAATTCTATTTGTTCCAAAATCAATATACGTTCCAGCAGAAGATATTGCTGGAGTTTTGAAATATTCCGTAGAAATCGAATACATAGATCTTCATACTCGAAATAAATTGCAAGTACCTCATATGGACAGATATGAGCATGAGCTTGCATGGCTTAATGCCCACTTCAAAGATGTTGACAGAGTTTTACACACTGACGCTTTCGACGTTTTCTTCCAAGGAGATCCATTTGCTGAGTCATTAAAGAACGATACATTAACCCTAGCGTTAGAACCTCACCAATTCAAGTCTTGCGGCTGGAATCTTGCTTGGTTGAGAGATTGCTACGGTGCTACTGTTCTTAGCCAGCTAAATCATAGGTTTATATTATGTAGTGGCTCTATTGGCGGCTCTGCTTACGATTACGTAAAATTATTGAATTTAATGACGACATCTAAAGAATGGATTACATGCTGGCAATCGAGTATGGACCAACCTATCTTAAATTACTTGGTTTGGACTGGTGCCTTAAAAGAAAACGGAATTAGATACAAAATTACAGGTTGCAATGAAGGTTTCTTCACAATGCAATGGTGTGTGAAGATGAGAGAGATCAGATATAACCAATACGGACAGATTATTTCTCTTGAAGATACTGTTCCATTTTATTTGCATCAATATAATAGATTCCCTGAACTCCAGCATTTACTTTACGAGAAATGCGGTCTAGAATAGAATTCATGTTTGTTTTGTTTAAATTGTAAATATATTAGTTATTAAATTCAATAAATTTTTCTAAATCTAACATACAAAGGTAATTTAATCATATTCAAGTTGGTTGGAGTAAATAATTAGAAGATTTATAGTTGTAATGTTATTATTTTGTGAATAAATTTGAGATGATTTTGAATTTCAAGATTTTAAATAGCTTATTAAGTAAAATATAGTAATTTAATCAATAACAAAACATTTTATTATATATGTGATATAAAAGAATAAACAAATAATATAAAAAAATTAACCTTCGCCATCTAAAGCTGCCAAAGCAAATCCGAAAGCAGATTCTAATGTCCAAGGATCACTATATCTGACAGTGAACATTTCATTAGACATTCTGTAAACCATAATCGAAACTTTGTTTGAATTTGGTTTTCTAATGATGAAATTCTTTATTGAAGGCTTGGGAACGATGCCACCGAAGTTCAAACTAAGAGATCCATCTTTGTTAACGCGAGGAATCATTGTTTCGGAGAAAATAAAATCATTATAATTAATTATTTCTTTTTCTGCTTCATTTTTGTCTTCTTCCTCTTCAAGCTTCTTTCCTTCTTGTGTTGGATTCTTCTTTTTCTCCTTTTCTTTCTGTTTTCGCTTTTCTTCGAGTTCTTTTCCATAATTCATGCAAATTCTTGAAAGATTTTGCTCTTTTGTGGCCGGAAAATTAAGTTTCATGCTCTTCTGGAAGCAAACTCTCATCTGGCGAATGCGAGAAAGAATATCTGAAGAAGTTATGTAACAAAGACCGAAAACTTCACCAAGACTCTCTTCATCTTTGCCTAAATAGAACGTAAATCTCTTTTTCATGTTGTGAAATCGTAAAAATCCGATTAATTCTCCATCACCTGTATTTTTCTTGAAAATTTTGAAGCCTTTTCCGAGTTGGATCTTTTCGTACTTAGTATAATACAAAATTCTATCCGATTCTATTAAACTAAACACAGAATGGCCAAATACTTTTACATTTCGCTTTATTTGAAAGCTTGTTGAGTCCTTTATATCGAGAGGAGATTTTGCTATGCTTTCTCGCTCTTCTGGTGTAAGTTGCGTAGTATTTTCTGTAGTTGAATGACTTTCTCGTCTTTTTGGCTGGATATCTATAGATTCGCGCTTTTTTTCTTGAGCTTTATTGTCAGGTTTGCTCTGTTCTGGCTCTGTATCTAATTCAAACTGTGATTCCGAGTGATCTTCTTGAGTTGGTTTTTCTTCGTTTTCATAAGAGACTTTCTTTCTAACACGCTTAACTCTTTTGCGTGGAGCATTCTCTGTTTCTGTTTTTGGCTCCTCTTCATCAGCCGTTGTTGAAGGAACTTTTCGTTTAATTACTCTTCTTTTTCTCACATTTCTCTGTTCTTGAGTATCATCTTGAGTATTAGATGGCGTAGACTTTATGTTCGAGTTCTTCTCAGGTGAATTCGGTGCTGCCCAACTGATTTGATTTTGTTGCGGTTCATCTTGGTCACTTGAGTAAGTACTTGATGATATATCATCATCAGAAAGCAATACTCGATTGTCTTTTACTGTTTGTATAACTGCAATATGATCAGAAGGATCATTATCACTATCTGATGATTCTTGAGCGAGTTGAATTGTACTTCTTCTTGACTTTTGTTGTGGTATAGGCACATGGTGCACATCTGTTGACATCCTTTTAGGCCGAGCCCTTGCTCTGTTCGACCTAAATTCCACAGGATTAATCATCTAAAGGGGGAGTAAACCCTTTTACATAAAAATATGATCGTAAACAATTTCGCAAATTCAATAGCTAGGAATCTTATGTATAACAATTTAAGACATTTTATGTTGGAATATCTAAAAATTGGGACTGTCAAGTTTGGAATTTAACGAAATTGAATTTGATATCCTATTCTGTCACAAAAGCGACTAAAAACTATTTAAATTTCATGAAATAAGATAAGATACAGATGTTTTAACAAAAAAAATTCACAACAAATATTTTATTCAGGATAAGACATTCCTTTCTTATTCAAAGCTTCTGCCATGTAATGTTTGAGGGCGCTCATTGTTTGATGGTTTAATTTTGTAATTTCAAAATGAATTTCGGCATTTCCTGCATCCAGCTCAGGCTGGTTCTCGTTTAAGATTCTAATCATTTCCTTTTGCTCTTCATCTGATTGAAGTTTCTCTGAAGCTTGAATAAAACATTGAATTTCATGTTCAGACATAACTGGAGTGTTTTGCTTGAGAGATCTACCTGCATTGAGGGATGATGAAAATTGTCTAACCTTTGGTGGTTGATTTGACATTAAATTTGTTATTTTTGTACGTAAATTAAAAACTGCATCGCACCAAGCTCTGACTGGTAATAAATCTGAATCTCTCATTTCTTTGTTAAATAACTGTGTGCAATATGACGCGAGAAATGCTACATGAGAGTTTTCTCCGTTGTAAATTGCAGCATTTTTTGCAATCTGATTTACGTCTTCGATCAATTGAGTTACTGATTTATACTGGTTATTGTAGAGACGATCTTTGATTGTTCCAAAGTCTTGTGGATTCGTTATAATTGTATAATAATTATTTTCTTCCGTATCTGTACCACTAACAACAGGACTTCTGAATAAAGCAGCAGCTGGATGCTCCATTATCTTAAGAATCACACCTGCAGCTTTTGGTTGCCAATCTCCAGACATATTTTTTTCTTTGAAAAAAAATTATTGAACTTGTCACTTTTTATGGTTGTCACTTTTATCAAATAGGAAAATGCGTAGTCTGCATATAAAAATTGTCGGCTTGAAAAGCCATCCATGCAGACGTTCCCCTATGCCTTTCGTTTATGCTGGTGTTCGTCCATCTGAAATTGGAAACTTTCAATTTACATCAAAATCCAACGCTCTGCCACCATTCTGGGACAAAAACTTCGATTTTGTTTTCCAGGATAACCAGGTTAGCAATTTAGACTTTATTGTAGCCGAATCACGCTTAATGATGGTTCATGAAGAACTAGGAAGAGTTTCTATTCCACTTAAATGGCTTCCATACAACTATGTTGTTGCTGAGTGGATTCCAGTTTCTACAAATCGTAATTTTATCGATCCAATATGGATGTTAGTTATGTTCCATTATTGTGACACCAATGTAGCTGCATTTTCACAGGAAAGAGTTCCATTTGCTGCAACACCACCATGGCCACAAACTCCAGTTACAGATCAAGATCTAGAAATTGTTTGGAAACCAATTCAAGCATTTATCCCTCCTGTAGCTCCATCTGAAAGTGGTGAGCTACGTCTACGTCAGCAGGAAATGCAACAAGCTATGTATGGCTCTTTTAAGTTCCAAAATTCAGATATTCCTTTAGTTGATCATTAATTCTCTGATTTTTATTTGTTTTTAATATATACATTTTTCGATATAAAATTTCAGCTATTGTAACTAAGAAATTTATTTCAAATTATTTCTTATAAGTTAAGATTCCATTTTGGTGATTAACAACTCTAAATTATGAATTCCATTTTTGGTAGTCATGAAGCTATAAATAGAATAGTATATAAGAATTTCTATTCAGCAATGAATTTTTGAGATAATCAAAAATAACTAATAATATTTTAATATATATCAAAAATCAAATCATCTTACTGATTTAAAAATCCTATAAAACCCTCTAATGTTTAGAAAAAGATAAAACAAATCTTAATTAAAATAAAATTTCCAAAAATAATCCAGATAAAAAATTTTCATATGAAAAATTATATAGTTTTAGGTCTATTCTATCATTTCTAATAATATTTGGAGATAAATTCGACTCTGTTTCAATGGCAGTTGAATATACATAGCCGACTCTATCCAGAGTCCACACAGAAATTTTTTGATTTCCAAAATTTGATTCCAAAATTTTAGATGGAATCTGAGAGATCAATTTTAACTTTCAACAAATCTTTCCTCACATTTAACATACAGCATGCTCATTAATTCAAAGCTTTAAGCCAAATAATAATTTAAAACTTTCTAAAAATTTACAGTAAGTCTAGAATTTATGTTTAATATCAAATATCATACAGACACGAACAATAAATATCGAAACAATTCGACGCTATCAAATAGAGATTCAATTGTTTCATTTCTACCCAAAAAGAAAAGCTCATATTATAATATAAAAATGAAAATTTACTAATGTAATTCAATTTTTACAACATTACTTCGCTCTTGATGTTGAAAATTACAAGATTTGATCAAGATCTCTCAATACAACCAATAATATTCTTAAAACAAGAATTAGTAAGTCATTTAACTTCGAATAAATCAATAGGGGTGACTGAAAACCATCAATCTCCTCCAAAAATTTCAAAAAATACGAAATTTTATTTGCGTAAAACAAGAAAAGCAAAAGATACTCTAAAAACATGATGATAAATAAACTTCATGCATGTTAATTTTTGACATTTGATAGAAACATAATAATCTTCTTGACAATTGTCAAATGGAAGAAGATGAAGTGGTATTGAAACAACTTTACTTTCTGCGATATTTACATTTTGATATTGATCATATAATAGTTCTGTAGTATCAATATATGAATTAGATACTGTAATTGAACCTGATCCATAAATTCCAAACAAATATTGATTATTTTGTTTGTTATTTGCAATGAAACAGTTTTCTAAAGTAGCATCACACTCATAACATAAAATCATTGAAGGAATGCCATTAGGATTAGAAACAGTGTTGTTTATGAAAACAATGCTGTCATATTTTGTTTGTATGGATGCTGTCCCACAAATTCTGGAGTTTGCATAGTTTTCATCAATAATTGAATATTTTATTGATGAAGTTCCTTGTCCTAATCCTATTGTAAAAGCTGTATGAGTTTGGCCATAGTTTCTTGTGATGTTGTTTTGTAAAAATGAAATATTTCCATTTCTTAAATCAAGCGTAACATCTGAACTTCGATTTCCTCGGTTGCTATATGTTATCGATGAATCATGAACTTCATTGACTTTTGTAGGATCATCTGATAAATAATCATAGCAAAACGATCCAGTGCCTGTCGATTTAGATCCAAAACTGCAAACTTTTCGAATAGAACTTTGGCCTCGTCCGATGTAAATAGATCCACCTTTATCATTTCGAGATGAGTTTTCGAAGGTATTTGTAGAAATAAGTGACTTAACATCTGCAGAATTAAGAATAATAACTCCTTCTTCACCAAGATTGCAAAAATAGACTTTGTAGACATAAAAGTTACCGGTTTGGCCTACGTATTTTTTGTTTTGGGAATAAACTTGATTTGTATATTCCGATTTGTAGACTTCTTTCCATTCATTATTCGAGAAGTGGAGCAGTTCCGAGATAGAAGAGTCTGATTAATTTGCATAATGCTTATTGTCCTATAAAATTTTGTGTTGAGAGTGAGAATTGTTTGAAAAAAAACGAATATAGAAAATGAAAAATAAAAAAATTTAAAATTGATGTCTGAACTTCATCCATCATTAGTCTTTGTTAATAGTGCACGTTCCTGTGGTCTTAACGGTGATTATGATGAATGTCTGAGTGCATATTCTAATGCAAAAAAGGAAGCCGAAAAAGAAATCAGTTTGTGTCGTAACATCATTGAAAAAGGGAAATGGAATTCATTAGTTAAAGACATTGTTCAAGAAGAAGCTGCAATTCGTCGTTTAAAATCTACTATTAGTGAAATTACCTCTTTAATTAACGTTGACGACCAACATCGATTATTCAATCAACAGATCGAGCAAACTACATCTATTGTTAACACACCAAATCGTCAAGAAATGATTAATACTCCTCTTCGACGTCGACCTAAAGCAGGTGAAAAACGACCATCCTTTATCAACAAAGAACGTCGCATATCTCCTAAACGCGAATCACCGCCAACACGTGCAATCAATAATTCACAAATTCCATTTGAAAGTTTCAAACAAGTTCATTTACCAGCCAAGAGCAGCAGTCGCGACAATCTTAAAGACAAAGAACGCCAACAACGTTTATTACAAACCAAGAAAGAAATTCCACAAACGGATAACCCATTGATGCAACAAATCGTTGACATGGGAATTCTTGTTAAAGAACCTAACGTTCAATGGGATTCCATTGCCGGTCTTAGCCAAGTTAAGCGACTGCTTCGACAAAATCTTGTTATTCTTCCTATGCGTCCCGATATTGCTAAAGGTTTATTATCTCCATGGCGTTCTGTTCTTTTTTACGGTCCACCAGGTACCGGTAAGACTTTCCTTGCGAAAGCAGTTGCTACTGAATGCAAACGTACATTCTTTAACATCACATCAGCAACTATCACAAGTCGGTTCCTTGGCGAATCAGAGAAATTAGTTACATACCTTTTCAACATGGCAGAAGAAATGCAACCATCTACTATCTTCTTCGACGAGATCGATTCTATTGCATCACAACGTGGCTCAGAAGGCGAACACGAAGCATCACGTCGAATGAAAGCACAATTACTTACACGTCTTGAAGGCATCGACGGCAGTTGTGAATCCAATGTTTTTGTTATGGCCGCCACCAATTTCCCATGGGATCTTGATGAAGCTCTTCTTCGTCGATTCCAGAAACGTGTTTACATTCCATTACCCGATGAGGAAGGTCGTGAAAGTATTTTGAACATGTATTTAGGTGAATACATTTGTCATGATTTCGACACACAAGGCTTTGTTAAGAAACTTGATGGCTACAGTTGTGCGGACATTGCAAACTTGTGTCGTGATGTTGCACAGATTGTTTTCGACAAACAAACACAACATTTAGACACACAACAATGGCTGAACATGCCCGCCGAAGATGCCAAAGTTTTTGTTACTAACGAAGACTTCGAATCTGCTCTCAAGAAACGAAAGAGTTCAGTTGATAAGAACACAATCAAAAAGTACGAAGAATGGCGTCAACTTAAAGGTGCTGAATAATTTAATCTTTTTTTGTTTGAATAAAATTGAATTTAATACTATCTTTTCTAACTTATTCATTATTTGCTTCGTATTAATAGGCATATGGTATAACATTAACATTATGAATCCTGAAGACATTGAAATTATTATTCACTTCTTGATATACAATACGAACAACACATCATTCACTAAACATTTTTGGCTAGTGCACTTCAAAAATGGGCAGTAATTTTTGAATCAAACAATCATCACAGGAGATAATTCATATTAATCAATCTTAATAGCCAATATTGAAAGTTTGAGTGCTAAATAAGTAGATTATTTTCTATATATATGAAAAAATACAAATGTTTCGTTCGGTATTAAAAGAAATGAAAAGAATTATAAAAAATCTTAAACAATCACCAAGAAAATTGAAAAATCCACAATGGGTTAATATTATTACCAAGTACTGATTTATATTCCTTGTTTAAATCGATGATGATTGCGCCTGAATGTTGCCGTTTATCAATTCAATGTCAACTAAAAGCTCTGAGATTGATTGGAAAGTAAAATATGAATCAATGAAGAAGAGCTTTGAAAAGCTAGATAAACTGAGGCATGGATCTATTCGCGAGGATATCACCGATTTAAAACAAAAAATAGAAGAACATGAACAAATTCATACGATTTCTATTAATGAACTCAAAGCCCAGAATGAGCAAATGCGTCAATCAATAAAAAGAAACAAAGAATTGCAAAATAAAATAGCCAAGAAACAAGAAAGCATATCAAAACTTAAAGCAGATTTAGCTGCTAGGGATTTAGTACTAAAAGAATCGTTTAAAGTTGAAAATTTGCATATAATTGATGCTAAAAAGGACTATTACGAGTTTAATTTTGCGGACAAATTTCAATTCAAATTAAAAAAGCATAACGATAATAAAACATATGAATATATACTTAAATCGCAGAGTGAAGAATTACCAAACTACTTCTGCGGCAATTATATATTCGATTACTCAAATCTATCAAAGTTCTTCAAGAAGTTTGATTCAATGTCTGCATAATTGCATACTTATGTTATTACATGTTTATAATTAAAAAGTGTATAAATTTTAGCTATACTTTGTTGAATTAAAAATAATATTTTGAATTTTGAAAGATTTTTTAAAATTGTACACACTCAGGATTTCATTATTCGATTTTATTGAAACCTAATGTTCTATATATACATAATATATATAGTCTGTATCTTGTATTTTAGGATAATTAATTTTTGGTTACATGCGAGTGTTCATATCTTTAAATTTTTTTTCATGATCTTTAGGGTTACATCTACTCCCGCTTTGTATATATTAGCTTTTAGATATTAAGATACAGTCATAATACCTCTATATAAGTTGGTGATAGTGAATACTATTAAGAATCAAAATCATAATTGCTTTAGTGAAGTGGCTTAGTCAACTCTATCATTAAGGATGTACTTACCACTTCTGACATTCTATCAAATAATTTGAACCTCAAGCTTTATATCCTGATTTTCTTTGATAGAAAAGTTAATATTTTTGATCTGAAAAAAGTTATTACAAATCACTTTCTAGAACCGTAAATATCTGTTTTTAAAATAAAGATATGTCGATATTATAAGAGCATGCCAGTAAGTGGTAAGTACAATAAATTATAGTAATAGACTGATATTAGAAAAAAAATCGCAATTAATTTTAAAATAAATAAATACATAAACATTTAAGAATCTAAAGTCACGCTTACGTCTGCATGGCGCAACATTGAGTATCATGCTATTAGAGTTTAGACGACGTAAGCAGACCATTAAAAACAAGAATATAATAAGTTTGACAGCAGCTTTGATTCATTTCTATTTTCAATGATGTGTTTCTTTGCGTCATCAGTGAGTAGTTGAGAAACGCATGAATCATAGCTTGCCAAGTAGTTGAGGACACAATATTTAATTGAATGTTCTCCATTTTGCAAAACATCCTTTAAATATTGCTCATCAATAATAATATCAAATTTTTTCAATTTTGAAGCATCTGCTTTAAAAAGAGAGAACATGAAGTTATTTGATACTGGCGACTTATCAAGATATGCTTCTAAAGGAGATAACGGTTCATCAGCCAAAACAACATAAATGAATTGATTTACGAAATCAGAATATTCATCTTTCATCAGATCTGATTCCATAATAATATGTTTGTTCAACAATACTTTTATCCTTTGAATTATTTTGGCATTATCATAATCACTTCTATGAAATTCTTTTGTCTTTTTTTTATAATTGCTAATATAATAAGGAAGGTATTTCAGGAAGACTTCTGATGTCTTTACAGGATAAGGAATTTGACTTTCATCTAATATTCGTAAATCTTCATCTAATCCTTGATAAAATGGCATTTTCTCTGGATAAATCTTTTGCAATGAGAAATGTGAAAGTAATTTAGGATCTATATCCTTGCATTTAAGTAATTTCGTTCTAATTTCTTCAGTTCTATAATTGGCCGCATCATTTGCAAAAAGTGACAAATGTAAAATTTGTAAATCGAAATTATCAAATTCAGGCCTTGAAAACAGTAAATTGCCATATTTCTCAACGAAAGGTGAGTAGCAGATAATTCTATAATCAATTCTAGAGAGTATCTTTGCAACAGCATTTCTATTTTTGATTTCGTAGTTGCAAATCTTTTCAGAATTAAACAAATTTTGCCAAAATTCCAGTTTTAATGTTCCTGGAATGTCCGAAAACTTTTCGGAATTTTCATTTATGATGGATATAGCCATTTTAACTTCTGGAGAATTCTTAAATACGAATGCATCAAGAGAATTATTCGATTTTTCATTTAATGAAAATAAGAATCCAGAAAAAGCAATGAAATAATCCGAAATAATCAATGTCATGAATAATGGATGTAATGAAATTTTTTGGAGTTCGTCATCCGAAAGAAATTTTGATGTTTTTCCACAAAATTTTATCCATCCAAAATTTGATCTTTGAAAAGTCACAAATTCACCATTTTCCTTTTGAATTATGTTATTTATCACATAACCTTTGCTATTTGACCTTTCTTGATTGTTTTTAAACATTTTAATTTCAATATCAAATTCATCTTCCAAAGAAAACTTTGCTAATTCAATTCCTTCCGGTATGTTCACAAGTATTGTCCTTGGACGCTTTTGCTGGTATTTTCCAATTGACAAATTAATATTTTCCAAAATTGATTTCGAATTTCCATGAAAATCAAGATAATTCACAGTTTCGGTGTCATCCCCATTTTTACTAAACGTCCATTCAAATACTGATGTGATTTCAGGTGGTAAAATCTTAAAAATTTGTTCAAAATTTGATAAAATGTCACTTTTTTGAAAATTTAATTTTTGAGCAAAATTTTTGATGTTTGTAGACAAATTTAATGAACTTGAGAGACCAAACAAAATATCTTTGAGTTCCTGGATAACATTCTGATCATATTTTTCCAAAGTTTTCCTTTCTCTATACGCTTTCCCGAAAATCTTCAATTTATTAACGAATTCAAACGATTGCGACAAAACAAACAGTGTTTGTGCAGCACAACTATTGATATCAGCATCAATAATCGATGTTGTGGCGTAATCATACTGATCAGATGAAAAATTAATTAAATTAATGGGATAATGTTCAGGAACAAGGTTCACTGACGATAAGAAGTTACTAAAAGCTATTTTGTTCATTAATATCTTTGAATTGCATGCAGTTTTTTCAATAATTTTAATTAAATTTTCAAAATTTTCGTTTTCTCTTGTTCTTTTCTGCAAATAAAGAAAGAAATCAGTTGAATACTTATTATATTCCGATAATGCACAGCAGAATGATGCAAGAATCCCTTCTAATTTAATAGAAAATTGTAATTTTGAAAAAGTGGAAAAAATCATTGGGAAAAATTTTTCTATCAACTTTTTCGAGTCGACATCGAAGTCCAGGGAATTTATTTTTGTTGCCAAATAAGCGTATGCATTAATTACATCATCATTTCCATTCAAAAGTAATTTTTCATGAATTTTTTCCAACAAATTCATTTTGTTTGGAGTTTTACATGAATTTATGAGTTTTATATGCGAATAAAATGGAACTTGGTTGCTTCTGATGAGATGTTCAATGATTGTAATGACTTCTTTGTCGAAATTATTAATCAATGGAATTTCTTTATCGTCAACTATGCAAATCCAGTTCCAGACAATTTGGATACATGTAATGGCATGCTTACCTGAGTTTTTAAGGGCAATTTTGATCATTACGTCCCTTAAAATCTCAATTTTGTAAATTTCGTTGTCATTCCAAATTTTTAGCTCTAATTTGAATTCGCATACATCCCGTTTGACTGACATGAGGTAAAAGTATGTGCCTACCTTATCAGTTCCTAGCTGATTTACGGTTTTGAAAAAATCTAAATTTTTTTTGAAAGAATTATCAATTGTTTCTGCTGTTTCGAGGTTGAACTTTGATGTAATGCTGTCAGCAAGCTTAATAACGTACGGTGTGAAGTAAAATGGTAAAATATAAGGATGTAAATCTGATAAGTCGTTCCAATCAACGTTATAGTCTTTGACAATCATATATTTGTATAGCTGCTCACATGATTTGTTTAGTTCCTCGAGATAGTATTGTTTTACCTTATATTCTTCAGAAACTGAAGTATTATAGGAATTCTTCTTGATAGCACTGTAAAAGTAATTCTTTTGGAAGTTTGGTGGAAATGTATGAATATAGTTGTAGAATTTCTCGCAATCTTGTGCCTTTTCTTCATAATAATTGAAAAATGGGGTATAAATGCCATTGCTGTAAAGTGTGTTGTCAAACTTCGTGAAAAAATCTATTATTTCTTGGTAGTTTGATTTGTAAATGTGGTATATCATTCGACTTACGAAAATATTAATTTGATTTTTCTTTTCGACCGAAAATGTCTTGGGATTTTTGAGTTCTTCGATAGAATTTTGAACTAGTTTAAAGAAGCTGTCAGGAGTTAAATTTTTAGAATGAAATCTTGTGATGATTTCTTCAAATTTGGCGTCCAAAGTATGCTCCCCTTGCGTGTTATCATAAGTCCAGATTGTGGTATAATCTGAGCTCATTCAAAAAAAATTGTAATAAAGTCGGAATTTAGATTCTTAAATGTAAAGCTTTCAAAAAAAATTTGTTCACTCAAAAATATGACATTACAGGTGTGAATATTTACAGTTACAATCTAAAAGAGAATAGATATATGTTTCCAAGATTCTTATCGTCTAAAAAAACTCCACCAAAATTTGAAAAATGTAGAATAATTTGTGATCAAATCCCCTTGACTATATAAGCAGCATAATAGATATTAAAATCCATGAGAAAATCAAATCTCTAAAAATATTTGAATGTTATTGCATATAACGAATATCAAATGTAAAAAATTCTTCTGAATAAAGCTTTTTATATTCAGTATTTGAAATAAATACATTGTGGGAATAATATTGACGTTCATACAAAGATGTGTCCTCCCCCGATGAAAAAATTGATCTCAAGTTTGCCAGAATACCAATATTTGATGAAATTAATTAACTACATTATGGCCACAATCTGAATATACTGGAGAATTGTAATATTATTCATATTCAATTCATCATCACCTCAAAATCCTGAATTTATTCAAAAAATCCACTACATTGAATGTTTATAGTATTTTTCAATGACACATTGATTTCCACACCCATAATTCAACGTGTCAAAAAATCAATAACCGCAGATTTTATAAGTAAATGCGAACTCGAAATCGTACTCCATTGCAATCACTCTGCCTTGATATTCTAGAGCAATTGATTCAGCCGGAGTCATTCGCAAAAAATCAATACCTAGTTTCTCATGTAGATGATAAAAATTGCATAAAAATTTCCAATTTACTTGGTGCAAGGGAATTTTTTAAAGCAAGAGTTGATGCAAGAGAACTAGCATTAGCAATCAAATCGTCTCCAGAGTTTTTAAAGCAATACATTAAAAGTGATTTATTTAAGCTCCCATTCGTTGTTGATACAAAGTCCCTTATATTACAGAAAGTTCCTAACGACTTAACCGTTAACCAAATGAAAATATTTATTTATAATTTAACAGGAACTCAAGAAAAAGTGTGCGAGAAAAAAAATTCAGATATGCATATTACTTTCCCTGATTTTCGGTCATGCATTGCGTTCTGGAGAGCTTTGAATTATTGTATGCTCGAAGGACATCATTTAAGCGCAATTATTTCACTTACGAATGTACCTGATAGATTGAAAACAATGTCTCGTTCTCAATCTATGCAATTCAAGTCTAAGTCGCCAATACCAAGGCCAGAAAAACTTCCTCATTTGCAGATTACTTTAGCTCCTAAGGACACGAATTTCCCAAAGAACGAGTGATAGCTTTCTGTACGTTCGTTGCGCTTTTGTTTTTATATATGTACCCATAAATATTATTTGTTATTCTGAAAATAATTTTAATATTGAAGGTACTTGTTTGTTATTTGATGAGGTCATGTAATTATTCTTATTTTTTGTTCATACGGTTATTTTATTTATTTATATTAGTAAATTTTATATTATTATGAAAATTTTTGTATTCAAATGATAGCTAACGGCTAGTAAAGTAAATATTTATCATAAGTCAATAGAGTTATCATTGTTATTAAGCCAAATGAATTAAAATTGAAAGAAAATTAAAGTAAATAATGATAGCAAAACAAAAAACTTTCAGAACAATGAAGATTCCATATTTTCATATTGATATATTTTCGTGAAAACTATATAAGCTAGAATTCAATCTGATATTATTCGAAAAATCGCAAATTACAACTAAAACTGCATCATAATTATCGATTTTTGCGAGATCGAAAGGATTAAACCATTACAAAGTCGACTTATAGAATCTCCAGATAATTCTGGATTTTGATTTCTCTAATGAAAATTATATGCAATTAGATAATATCTGTATCAGTGCTATCATCAGTTCCATGGTCAAGCATTGAAAATGTTAGAATATGATCTTTCAAATCTTCATTATCAGCAGAATTATCAGGGCAAAGTGGCTCTGCAAGTGTGCTATAATTTCCATAATCATATTCATCTTTCTTTGCAATCTTATTTAGTTCCTTAATTTTTTCTTGCAATTCAAGTGATTTTTGAGCACTGAGCAAATATTCTGGTTTGTCCCAGCTTCTTGATGGCCAAAAATTAGGAACAACTATTGATGAAACTGGTTTTGAATATCCTTCATACCTATCAATTTCATCTGGATCCATTTTTATTCTTCGATGATTTTTACCAATAAAATCATTCTCTGCAAATATAGAAGCATCATATGGATGTGGATCATTTGGTATTTTACCATCAGTAATTCTTGATTCAAATAATTCATTTCGTCTATGGTATTCTAGAACATCAAATTTATCTGTATCCATTATTGTATTAACGATGGGGCTATCATCTTTATCTTGGTTATCTAAAGGAGAATTTGCAGGTTCTTCCATTGAACTAAAATGAAAAATCAAATTAAGCTGCATGTATGATTTTACATCAAATTAATAATTATGAGTATTACAATGCTTATACTGGTAAAGATTACGAAATTTATTTCGAAGTATAAATATTTTCTAACAAGCACAGCTTAAAAAGTATTTGTTCCTCATCAGATGAGGTTCCATTTGGATCATGATCCTATTCTAAAAGAAATCTTATCTGAAAAAATAAAAGCATTTTGTATAACAAATTCATCATAGAACTATTCTATAAAATGTCTTATAGATGCTGTTTATGTGAAATAAAGTATATTATTTCAGAATGGAGACATTTCAAATTAACGATGTTGTTATGGCACCAATGAAAGGTTCTTCATTTCCTGTTCAAGGTGATGTATTAGCTTTAGATCCTTCCAAAAATCTTGCATATGTTCGCTTTAGAAACCAAGATAAAAGATTAGACGATTGGATTCCATACAAACAACTTCAATTCATAAGTCATGGTGCAGCCAAAACCGAAAAGAAACGTAAACGCAATGAAGATGGCGAGGAAAATTTCGAAGAAGAGTCGCCAATTCGAAATCTCGATTCAATTCAATACGGAAAATACAATATCAACTGCTGGTATTATTCTCCATACCTTAGTTTATTTACTGAAAACCGTCATATGTATGTTTGCGATACCTGTTGCTTATATTTCAAATCAAAAGAAGAATTTATGAAGCATGGACATAAAAAAGAGTGTCAGAGGCCTCCTGGACGCGAAATATATAGATGTGGAAACATATCAATGTTCGAAGTTTCAGGAGCTAAACACAAAGTTTTTTGTCAATGCTTATCATTATTATCAAAGTTGTTTTTAGATGATGTTGCGGTATTTTACAACGTTTGTCAATTCAATTTCTTTGTTTTATGCGAATGTGATGAATTTGGTGCGCATGTCGTATCATTTTTCTCAAGAGACTATCAATGGCGTGATAACAATATACTTGCATGCATTCTCGTACTACCTCCATGGCAAAAACATGGATATGGAAGATTAATGATATCAATTGCATATGAAATCGCAAGAAGAAACAGAATTGTTGGTGGCCCTGAGAAGCCACTTTCAGATCTTGGTAAGTTGGCCTTCAAAGCTTACTGGAGAGATACAATTATTAAAACTATGTTTGAATATAAAGATAAAATAAGGAATGTTGATGATTTTCAAGCAATTACAAGTATAGCAAAAGTTGATCTCCTTAAAACCATGAAAGACATGAACCTTCTTTATCATACAAATGAAGGTTGGACAACAACGCTTAATATAGAAGAAATGAAGCATTGGATCGAAAATGGTCCAAAGCCTATACCTTCTAAGTTCGAATTTCAATCGAAGATGTTAACTTGGATAAGAGGCATAGATTAATATTAATTGTTTGTTTTTGTTTTGATATAATATGTTTTGTTATAAATAGTGATGAAATAGACAGTTATTTTTCCTATATTTTATTTAATTTGAAAAAAAATAAATTTATTTAATGAAAAGATTCTCAAGATATCTATGAATGTTATTTCATTTCCTCATAGATTACAATTTATATGCTATTGGCCAATGAATTTCGAAGGAACATTAAATATTGGTTAAATCAGCTTTAATTTTACATAATTATATGAAAAGGAATTGATATATCTTTCTAACAAAAGGTGTATTTTGTTTTTTATGTAGGGATTTGATTTTATGGACCTTCTCACAATGTCAAAATCTCTGGCACATAAAATAAATCATGAAATATCTCTTGATTACATCTGATTTATTCTTGGAAAATAAAGTGCATTGAAATTGCGACTTGAATAATTCCTATCACGTCTCTCAAAAAATTTAAATATGAACCCTCCAGAACAGCTTGATCCTCTGCATCCTTTTTTTAAGGTACCGACAGTCAAGCTGCTATGGAGCGGTGTTGTCCAGAAAATAGAGAAAAACTCAAATGTAGTGCAAAAATTTATGGTGATCGCATCTCCTGGTATCTTTCTTTTCGAAAAATCACTGATAAGCGGATTCAAAATGCATATGTCTATGTCATTCGCATCAATGCGATCGCTGGAATTAGTTGATGACAAGATTGTTTTTCGATCAAATGATTCGGTCATAGAAATCATATCTCAAGCATATGTCGATATAATCAAGTATACAGTTGGTGTGCAGAATAGCCTTTTCGCACCAATTTCTGTTAGTTTGCCAGAAGATGTGAGATTCATGATTAATGATGACTTTTTTGTTTTCGAAACATCTTCTCCGATATGCGATAGATATCTATCATTGTCAATGACGGTGACAACAGAAAGTGAACGCGAAAAGGTTGCAAATTTTTGTTTAATAATTTTATATACAAAAGATACATTTGATTTCACTTACCTCATAACGTCCTGTCCAACTCCATATGCATTGGCCGAAGCTATTATCTTGGATCAGCAAATTCGCACAATCTCATTTTCATCTGTTACATTTTCTCAATTTGCAGAATATCTCAAGGTGATATGCTCTCAAAATAGATATATTTCTAAAATCGACTTCAATTGTATCATTTTCGAATGCGAGCAGAATGAATTGATAAATCTCTTCAAAATTAGCATTGCATCGCCAATCACTAAGCTTTATTTCAATGACTGCGAACTATTTTCGGATAAATTTACCAAATTATTAACAAATTTTGCAAATTTTCAATGTCAAATTGAGCAAATCTCGGCGATAAACTGTTCATTCTCAATGAACGCTTTAGAATCTCTAATGCATTTTGTTTTTAGAACGCAAAACTTCAGGAAACTTCGTGAATTTATTTTGACTGGAGAATGTTTGCCAGCTAATGTCCAAGATCTGATGATAGAGCTCGCAACATCATCTGATACAATTTTCCCTGAAGATTTTGCTACTCTTCAGATTAATTCTACAAAGTTTAATGCATCTCAAATAATTGAAGCGTTTGCTGTATGCAAAACGCCTGTTTTAGTACTTGATGTTAGTAGGTCAAATCTTAAATCCGAATTTTCGGAACAAATCTTCGCATTTTCAAGAATTAGAGAACTTAACATAAGTAATGTTTGGGCGACTGCTGAAGCATTGATTTCTTTGTTTACAGCAATATCTACGTCGTCCAGAAACATTTCTGTTTTAATTGCTGATCATATTCATATGACTGATGCAAATTTCGGCCAATTTTACTCAGTCGCAAAGAATTTGAACTATCCTTCTATTAGAGTTTTCTCATGGGAAAACAACAATATAAAGAATGAAGAATTTCTTTGGGATTTCTTCAGGATGTTGAAAAATATGAGGAATGTCATTGATTTATCAGTGTCGAATACATTGAATGTATCATTCCAATCATCAAAGTTGATGGCTGATTACTTAGAAGTTGCTCATCTCCAGAGATTCATCATGAGAGGTTATGATAAATCTTCTTTCAAAGAAATGTTTATCCCGATACTCAAAGCACTTTCCATGCATGATTCTATTAAGGCACTTGACGTGACTGGCCAGGGATTCGGCGATAAAGGTCTTATAATAATAAATGAAATGCTAAAAATGAATTTGACTTCATTGGCATTCGATGAGCAATACCCACTTAACTGTGATCATCTTTTCACAACTCTTGACCTCATTCTTGAAGATAAAATGGAGTTTGCACTATGGCCATATGAGAATCTCAAAAGATTATGGGCCAAAGTGTCATCTCAACAATTCCAAGAGCTTCTTCCTGTTGTCAGTTCCATTAGGAAACGTTATCTTGATAGATATCGTTCTATTATCAAGAACTGCGAAAACGCTAGAAACAGCTTTTTCGAGTGTTCGCAGATTCCAAGAGATCCGCTTCTAAACAATTACAAACCAACGCAGAAAGTTGACATTGATATTCTTAACCAAGTCACTGTTAATATGATGCAATCAATCATTGATGTGAAAGGCGAGTTTAACGAAGACTTTCTCACGATTGATATTAAGAGGATGATTAAGAAGTATATGCTTAATCTTCTCGTGTAATTCTTTAAGTTCTTTTTTACTGTTTTAAAACTTTTATTCGGTTTATTCTATATTTAACTATTTACATGTTCAGCATATGAATACCTAATCACTAAACACATTCATTTTAAATTCAAGATTATCATTATATGTTTATAAAGCATAATAGATGATTCTATCTCTTGAAAAACACTTTGCAACGAATCGATATTTGTAATATGTGAAAGATGGCATTGTACTGATTTATTGTTCTTATTTCATCTCCTCGATTGATATTTATAGGATTATGGTTGATTAATGATTCAAAAGAAATCTTTCCGAATGAACAAAGTTTCATGGCCGCGTAACATCATATAGGGTGTCCAAAGGTGCGTTTAGCACAGCGCTCTATATGAGACTATTAAAGGAGATATATGCTGATTATAAATATATAATAAAAAATATGAATATATGTATATGATGAGTATGTTGTATTTTGGCGCCATGCCGGGATATAAAATAAATTTTGAGACAAGAGGCGGTTTCGCGGGAAATTTTGGCGGGATTTTTTTCATTTTTTTAATGAATCATAAAGAAAACATCCTCGCTCTTGCAAAAAAATGCAAAGACTGTAAAAAAGTCTACGAGACATTGGTAAAATGCTTCGGTATGGATGCTCCTAGCTATTCCACTGTAACGTATCATGTTAGGATGTATCACTTCATGAACAAAAAGGCGCCCATCATAAAAATTGACAAAAAATCGCCGGATAGTTAGTATGGTTATCTTGGGTACGGCGGCACTGCGTTCCACCTTACCCAACATAACAGTTTGACACTTTACAAAACCGTTAACGTATATTTTACAACACAAACGACAATACTAACTTAACCTTAAATATTTACAAAACCGCCAACCACTTCACCTCACTAACGACTTCACTAACGACTTCACTAATGAAAAATAAACGTTCTCACTAACGTTCCCACTAATGTTCTCATTTACAAAAGTATTGCAGCGCTTCCCATTGCTGTGCTTCACACAATAGTTCATATTCTTCAGTATCGCTGCTGTCACTCCAATCGTCAGAGTCAAAGTCACTGTCAAAATAAATGTTAGTAAGTTTTGACAAAGCTAATGAAACACGCTTACCGTTTGTATCTATTGCTTTTATATATCTCCCATTATGTTTGTTGTCATAAACGCTCAAACTAACTTTACCCTTTCTCCCTCGTATCTGATAGAATGTATTTTCACGAGGAACGAAGAACAAATTCTTGAACTCATGACCGTTGTAGTTTGTTATCTCAATAGTTTTCGTCATTTATATAAAAATAAAATAAAAATAATTTTAAAAATAAACTTAAAATTAATGATATCACCACTCCCACACGTATGAAAACATCCATTTAAATTTAGGTGAAGTGGTGAGATCTCACCTGTTTTTTCACCTCTTTTTTCACCCTGTTGAATTCATTGCTTTATAACTCTCTTCCTTGGTTTCTTTTTAGTTGCTTTCTTTACGTCCGTCTCCAACTTGACTGTCTTTCTTCTTCGTCCGTAATGATACCAGTTACTTCCACCAGTCAATGGGTCAAATGGTCTTTCGTAAGGGTTTCCATACATTCCATAGGGACCATACGGAAGAACTACTGGTGGAGAAGAAACATTTTCTTTAGTTCCATCGAATCTATTTAAATGCATTGTTTCACCTTTCATCTGGTCATTAAAGTCTTTTGCGTGTTTTGCAAACTCATCGTCCTTTCCTAAAGCATTTTCTGACTCAGTCGCAACCAAATTAGATGCTTTATTTATGAGCCCTATTTTATTTAATCTTAACTTCTTTGCAACCCAGCCTCCAATCTTCCCTTTATTTGCATCTAATGTCTTCGAAACCCTTCCTCCACTCATTTTATTTACTGCGTCATAAGCTCCAAGTGCTTTTGCTCCAAATGCTAATGCTTTTGTTCCCATTGCGCCTAAAGCTGCCCAAGCTACCATTTACACCATATTAAAATCATCTCTCTTCAATATTATCTCATAAAAGTTCTCGTTACTGGAGAAAGTCAATGAAACATAAGCGTTCTCACGGGCTTCGCCCTCACCGCTTTGCGGTCTATCTAACTTATTTCTTATCTCATCTATACGCTTCAAAATGTCTGAACAATTGCTAACATCTTCTACAACAGTTATTTCATCATGAATGACCTTCAAGAACAAGCTCATTTAATATGCTATTAAAATCATCTCAATAATGAGTCCATCCTTTCCATCTTTAGGTAGCACAACATCTTTCATTGAAGAAGGTTCGACAAGTCTTATGTTAAACTTACTGACAAAGTTTGTTATACTATAATGCTTCGGCGGCGAATACATGTAGTTTGAAAGACATAATATAGATTCTTCAGCAAATTCACTTATACTGGATTTTATAACAATGTTTTCACGAGACCAAATGCCACCAATTGACAATCTTGTAAGCAATCCTGCTGAACCTTCTACTGTAAACGTCGATGGTAACATTCCACGAAGGTCATCTATTGACATCGTTGAGTCACTGTATTTAAATATTTTCTTAAAGCAATCGTCATTATCTAACCATGCAATAGCTTTGAAGTTTTCATTCGAATATACATCTGCTTCATTAAATGTAAATCCTGACTTCTTTGCAGAGATGACTTTAAAATCTATTGAGTTTGTTTCAAAATTATATGCTATGGTAACTTCTGAAGGTAATGGATGCCCTTCCGCAGTCAGTTGTTCTCTCACTACCGTTTGAAGCTTTGTGTTAAAAACTTTCATGTCATCTCCTGTGTCTAGGTTCACATACACAGCAACAGGAAAACTATCTTGCTTCTTTGTTTCATCATTATACCTCAAAACATTAAAGTTCTTCAATAATATTGTTCTTCCTGCTGGAATACTTCTAACTTGTCTTATTTCAATAGCTTTCTCACCTCCTATATACTCTACCCAGTGTCTTGGATATTCATAAGTATACTGACTTTCTTGAATTTTGGTAGGTTTCATCATAACGTGTTCATAGTATATCTTTATACTCTTGTCAGTTAGACTCGGTGCTATGTTCTGAATATTTCTGACTTGCATTTTTAATGGAGATAAAATGAAGCATTTAATACATGACGTAGATGAAGACATGAATGAAACTACAGACAAACTTAACTCTTCTCTTATTCTTCCTTTCAGCAAAGATTATGAGTTCTGTTCAAATGGTGTTTATTTCTATTGTGGAAAGATGGGGTCAGGAAAGACATTTAACCTCATTCGTCATATACTCATAACAGAGCGTTTAGGAAACGACTCTTACTATGACCAAATCATTATATCAGCAACTTCAGATTCTATGGACTCAACAGCGAAAACATTTATGTCAAAAGTTCAAGCCTCTGTCGTTAAAGTTCCAGACAGTGAACTCATTGAATTTCTTCAACGTTACATTCGACGTAAGAGGAAATATTATGCCATCGTTGAATTTATACAGTCAGGAATGCAAAAGACTTCTGAGGAGATGGAAAGAATTATTGACAAACACCACTTACGTCAATACTCAGGAGTTTACGATATGAAACGACTTACAAACTACATTCTGTCAAAACTTTCAAAATACCCCTTCAAAAAATATCCATCAAACACTCTGCTCGTTTGTGACGACTTCGCCGGAAAAGGTTTAGTTTCAAAACCAGACTCACCATTAGCTAACATCATAATTAAAGTTAGACATTACCATTTAACTGTAGCAATACTTATGCAAACATGGAGGTTTTTAGCTTTAAACATAAAACGTCTCATAACTGACTTCGTTATCTTTCAAGGTTTCTCACGCTATGATATTGAACTCATTTGGAAACAGTCAGGTATAACATTACCTTTTGAAGAAATTTGGGAAGCATATAAGTCTCTCATCTCTCCTCGTTCATACCTTGAGATTCATATCATGACTAATACCATTAAAGTCAAAAATATTCCATGGGAACGACCAACATTATTTTAAAGCTTAACCTTCAATTGACTGATGGTAAACAAATTCCATGCATCTCTGTCGCCATTTCTGTTAATATTTTTGCTGTCATTCATATCATCCACTTCCCCATCCGTTAGCTTTTGAGGATATGCGTTAGAATAGCTGTTCTTAAATGAAGGCTTTTCACCTTTGAGAGCATAAACTCTATAACTTTCTGCATACTTTATGTTTGAACCTCCTGAGCCATCATTGACATAAATTTTTATAGGCTTCCACCCTTTGTTCATGTTCCTGCTTCTTCCCTTTGCTCTTTTGTTCAGTAGTTCTACATCTTTATACACAGCACCTGTCTCAGTGAATTCAACAATATTTTCATTCGTTAGCTTTACATTCAAACCCTTGTCGAGTATATTGTTCATTTCATACATATAAAAGGTTTTTATTCTATATGAAATGAGAAGCAAATCCATCTTAGCTGGTGCCGTTAATGTTCCAATTGAACCAACATCAAATGTTGACTCACGAACGACAAACAATATTGTCATAAAGAACTATAGTTCAGAGTGTTTGAAAGAAAAAGAACCAGAACTGAAATCCGTGAATTTAAACTCAGCTTCAAACGCTAACGCTACATCAGATGTTAAGTTAGAGTATCCACCACTGGACCAAATTCTATCAAGAGAAGCCAACGACAACCCTTACACAAATGTTCAAACAAATCCTTCAGATAACGTAGACCATTACCTTCTTCAGTTATACCAAACAATTTTACTCAAAGACGATAAGAAGCTTTTGACAAATCTTATAAGCAAGAACCAAATAATTCTAACAAAGGAGGACCCTGAAAATGTTATCTCACGAATAACAGGGAAACAATGTGTCATTGACTATCTCGACCCTGAAATCGAATGCTGTGGTCAAACTCCACTATTCATGAAAATAGGTAACATCCGCATCATTGAAACACCAGGAACTACAGGAGTTGAGTTTAAGTATAAATATTCGAACGAGTATACAAAACTTTCAACAGAATATAAACTTTGCTTGAAATATGTTTTAGTAAATTAAAGCAATTTGTAATATCTATCCAAAACTTCTTCAACAGTATCGAACTCATCTTCATAATGCAAACCTAATCTTATTGACTTGGTGCAGTTTTCACTAACACAATATTTTTCTGTTCTCTTGACTGACATAACTAACTCATTTGTTTCATCAAACAGCAACAACCAAAGTTCATGACCTAATACATAACATTCATACTTTATATTTTTAGCTCTGAGTTCTCTTGTAAGCTGTTGCATTTAATATTTTCTAAAAAGTCAACTTCAACAGTCATTCGCACTGGTGCCTTCAGTTCTACAGGCTCTCCTTGAAAGTCAACAAGTCTGAATTGCATGTCTTTCAAATTATGAGGACTAATGCGAACCCATTTACCTAAATGAGTTGCTATGACAGGAACGTTTGGAATGAACATTGAATTGACTGCATAACAGAAGGATTTATATTCTACTGAACCTTTACTATTAACTCCTGAAATGCCTGTGACATTAGCTATTTTAGACTCAATGTATAAACAATTACCATAACATACGTATGGAACAGATTTCATCTCAATCGTTTTGTCAACACTTTTCAAAGGAAATGTCATATGGTATGCTCCTAAAAGAAGTTGAACTCTATGACTCATTCGTGTTATCTTGAACTCTTTCTTGCTACTGAACTTCAATGTTCCCTCAGAAGAGAGTTCGACATCTATGTTGTCAATAGTTTCTTCATTTATGAGAGCATTTAACACTCCAGCAATTTTATCTATTCTATACCCAACTCTGTTAGGAAATGTTATAACACTTCTTTTGTCATCTATTTCAAACTCCATGAAATCTGTTTCGTCAGTTATAACGAATGAAGCAATAGTATTAAAGTCAACAACTCTGAAAGCAAGCGCTTCATTCTGAAGACCTAAGTTTGTTTGTAGCTTTACTGTCCCGTATTCGTTTGGGTCTGTACTTTGCAAATAGAACAACATTTTATTCTCATTAAAATATGACTATTGCTGCATATGCGTATGAAACAAATGAAGCAAGAAGAGCACATGAACTAGTAAACGAAAACTCAACTTTAACCATTGAAGGCAATGATTTAGTCATTGACGATGGAAAAACTAAAAAAGTCATTGATTTCGATACTTTTAACACTTATGACCCATTCATTACAACAAGCAAGGTTCCCATCATAAATGATGGAACGGTGCAATATATAAATTCTACAGTAGATGCCTCATTAGTGAAAGTATTAAATGTTCTCATTGAATTGTTAAAGAGCTTTCGATTTGACGACAACATTAAATGCCTAAAGAATTTAGTCATGAATGAGAAACAAATTCTCGGCGTTGCTGGTAGCAGTAATGATGTACACCTTATGACATTAGAATATTATAACGAACATAAAGATGAACTGAAAGGAGAGAAGGGTGACACCGGACCTCAAGGACCACAAGGAATACAAGGAATACAAGGAATACAAGGACCTCAAGGCGAGAACGGTTTGGATGGAAAGGATGGAAAAAATGGAAAAACTGCTAAATCATGGATATGGGACCTTATAAATACTGGTTTAACAGCTGCTTCATATGGAGTTCTTCAATACCAAATCGGAAAGATATGGGCAGTACTTGGTGAAGAAGTTTTAGATGACGTTAAAAATGCTTTGAACTTCATTTCAAATGGTTCGGATACTATTAAAACTTTATCTGGTTGGATGCAAGAAACAAGGAGTCAAATAGATACTGTAAGACGTATAGCAAACAATGCACGTACGGGATTGGATACTTTACGAGAAGCACAAAATACACTAAAGGAAGCAAATGATATTCTTGGCTCAGTATCAGACATGCATGAAGATTGGCTTAAAGGTATTGACAAATCTTTAAAAAATCACAGTCAGTCTATTGCTGACTACAAGAAAAGTATAGATTTTTTACATAGTGCTATGGACGTACATGATGGAAGCATAAGGAACTTACTTAATGCTAACAATAACTTACCAGGAACTATTAAAGCATTTATAAAGTCCTTTGTAAAACCCGGTGCTCTAACATTTAGGTCTTTGAGAGCAAGAGCATTGAAGTCAAGAGATGCAGAAACTCCAACAGAACCTACAGAAGGAACTGAAACAGCAGAAACTCCAGAAGAACCACCAAAACCAACAGCTAATGAAATATTGTTCGAATATTTTCCAAGGTACTCTGTTCTCATTGCATACATTCAAGAAATACTTAAGAAAGCAGACTTGACTTTAGGAGATGATGAAAGTTCTGTATATCTTTCGTTCCAGTTTCAAATAGCAGAACTTTTGAGACAGATATGCTTAATGTATGACAACATCTCTGATTTCACAAGATATGATGACGACCATGACCCCGAACATGGTGAAGAAGAAGTTTTACAAACATCCATTAAGACAGGAAAGGTTTTAACTCAAAGTCTCATTATTGACACCAAAGATGGCGAAGTGGACGTTCTTCAAGAGCTGAAGAAAAATACTTCTTCGGGAGGTGGTGGTAGGCATGAACTTGAAATAAATGAGATAGAAGAGAAATTAGCCGAAAAAGCAGATAAAGAACATAAACACAATATCTCCGATATAAATGAACTTCAAGCTACATTAAATAGTAAAGCGGACAAGAACCACGTTCATTATATAACTTCAGACGAACAGATTATAACGGACTACCATGGATATTTAACACGAAGTGATGAAGCGAAGACAAAAAATGTTAATGAAAGAAGATATAAATACATTCGTGCTAAAGGTTATGACATAAGCTGTACTGTACAGTATGACACGGGTAAAGCACCAGAAGCATTTGGTTATACCGGTGAAATTTATGCCTCTACTTTCAATGTTAACGGTGTATTAGTTGAACCAAGATTTACTTTGAGAGTTAAGTCAAAAATAACGTTTGAAGATGCTATTAAAAGTAAAGCTGACAAAGTTGAACTTGAAGCAACGAACAAAGTTTTGAAATCTCATAAACACAACATCTCCGATATAAATGAACTTCAAGCTACATTAGACAGTAAAGCTGACAAGAACCATACACATAAATCCTTCACTACTGTTAGAGCAGACGACATAATATTGAACTTTGACCTTGGTTCAAGTGCACCTTTAGAGAATCCGAGTACAAGCGTAAAAGATACTCTTAACAATTTAGATAAGAGTTGCAGGAATATTGAAAGTCATGCCAGAAACTTTGAAGCATATGAACTACCAACAATGTTAGATAAGAAAGCTGACAAGAACCATACACATAAATCCTTCACTACTGTTGCTATAGAAAGTATTGAAGGAACGGTTGAAGAAACTGGTGGGGATGCATTATATTGTAAACCTCCTAACTTTCCACAAGGTTTAACATCGGATGACGACATAACGACGATGAGAAACATTAGATGTAAAGATGTTTATGTCATGAAGGATGAACATAATATTAAATTCACTGCTCAAGATTTATATGACAAGAAAGCAGACAAAACAGAGCTTCAAACATTAAAGACTCAGATTCTTGAAACATTATATCCTATAGGCTCTATTTATACGTCAATGAACTCAACAAATCCAGCAACAGTTTTAGGTTTTGGTACATGGCAGCAGATTGTAGACAAATTCTTATACTGTGCTAACTCTTCAAAGCAAACAGGAGGTTCGAAGAAAATTACTGAAGCAAACTTACCTGCGCACACTCATACAGGAACTACAAACACAACAGGTAGTCATTCACATTCAATAACAAAAAGAGGTTATACAAATCTTGCAGCAGGTTCGGATAGACAGGGAATGAATAGATATGATATTTCAAGCGACCCAGTAGATTCAAGCGCAGGTATTTTCTGTGGAACCGCAGGAAATCATTCACACACTTTCACAACAAATCCAACAGGCTTGGGTAAAGATTATATGCCACCATTTATGACTGTATTTGCATGGTATAGAGTTCAATGAACGCGCTTGAGCCTAGAATAAAATCTTTAACTTTACATAAATGAGCTTGAAAGAAGTATTCGAACAACATCCATGGAGGTCTTTTAAGAAATTCAATGAAGCTGCAAAGAGTTGGGATTTACTAACAGAGCTGAAGTGAAAAGGTTCTTTGACAAAAATGTTGTACATCAAACAAAAATAAACCCTTACGACTACTTTTTACCAATTTACTCCAACACTCCTGACGCATACCAATTTGACACTCTCATTCAAAGCAGAAAAGGAGGACATAAACCATTCCTCATCTTCATTAATGTTAACACTCGTAAAGCATATGCGTATATAATGAAAAATAAAGGAACTCGTGAAGTGTTAAGAGTTTTACAAAAGTTTGTAGCAGAACATAGCCCAAGTACTTTAACATCAGACCAAGACAGTGCATACCTCAGCAATGAAATCACAGAATTTCTCATTAAGCATAACATAACTCACTACACTACTGAAGACCATAACCATAACATACTCGGCATCATAAACCGCTTCATAAGGACTCTCAGAGATTTAAACCAAGAGCGAGACTTTACCGAAGAAACAATGAAACATTTTCTCGAAGTATATAATTCCTCAACACATTCTACAACAGGACATACACCAAATTCAATGACACAACAACAAGAAGAAAAGTATATACAAAAGAAACGAAGTCAAACACAAAATATCAGAAATTCAACACAATTTACCCTCATTCCTGGTACAAAAGTTCGTGTAGTTCTTGACGACAAACCGTTGACAAAGAAACGTTTAAGGTTAAGTAGAAACTATTATATCGTAGACTCTACGCAAGGTAATGGATATCTTATAAAAGCTGCTGACGACTCCATAGCATTTTATCCTCGTCATAAATTAGTCGAAAGTAGTAATGGCAAACTTGCTGAAACCATTGACGAAGCAAAGCGAGGAGTGGTTATTGAAATACTTGACTATAACATAAACGATGACACTTATAAAGTAAGATATGAAGGAGGCGTTGAAGATGTTATACCATCTAAGAACTTGAGAGAGTCAAAGCCAACACATCTGGGACCATTAGAGCGGGAGTATTGGAAAGACAAAAACATGCCAGAAAGAATAAGAAAATTCTTCTAAACTTTTTCATTAGATGTAAATCAGACATGAATGAGAACAGTCATGATATCATTAATGGTACCATTTATTTTTGTCATAAATTTACACCAAAAAATATAATTTAGGTGAAGAGGTTAGATCTCACCTGTTTTCTCACCTGTTTTCTCACCCTCGTGAATTTTCATGAATTTCCTTAAGATAGAAAAATAAAGTTAGTTTTAAAATTATTTTTATTTTTTATTTTGTATGTAAAGACAATAATGTCAGTCGAAGCAAAAACATTCACGAACAAATCTAATGGTGAAACATTCACAAAAGGCACTTATAACGGTATTGAAGTCTTACGTAGAGACAAGGATGGTTACATTAATGCAACAAAGATGGCAAGAGAAGCAGGAAAGTTAAACCATTTAAACAGATTTCTCAATAGTGCTAAAATGCAGGAAATTCTTGAGTTTTGGTTGAAAGAATACGGTCGAGCCAAAAGTGGCTCAACCTCAAAACAAGCATTTTATGAGCTTACTAAGGGTGTTATAAATGAATTCAAAGGTATTTACATACATCCTGACCTCGTTCATTTTGTTGCTGAATGGTGCTCTGTAAAGTATGCATTTTATGTCAAAGATATTATGGACTCCATAGACAAGAAAGTTCATGAGAAGTTAGATGAAGAAGAACTCGAAGATACAGTGGAGAATGCTAAACCTTTGTTCGAAGAAGAAGTTGGAAAAATGTGTGAAAAACAATTAGAACATGAACGTGAGATATATTATGGTTATAGAGATTCTCCATACGAACTAGACCAATGGGAACAAGAAGATTTAAAGAGAGAATTTAGAGAATATGAACTCGCTAAGATAGCATTTGAAGCTGCAGAAAAGAAGTTAAAAGTTTGGGGTCGTTTTGTAAAAAAATATTGTGAGTAAATGAACCATTTATTTTTATTGAATTCACCAAAAAATATAATTTACGTGAAGTGGTGAGATCTCACCTGTTTTTTCACCTGTTTTCTCACCTCTTGAATTTTCATGAATTTTATATATTAATGTTTTCGTTATGCCACTTTGTGCCGTCAGTCAGTCAGTCAGTCAGTCAGTTTAGGAAATTTACACCAAAAAATAATGTTTAGGGTAGATGGTTAGATCTCACCTGTTTTTTTCACCTCTTTTTTCACCTCTTGAATTTTCATGAATTTTCCCGAAATAAAAAATAACGCTAATTTTATTTTTTTTTATTTTTTTATTTTGTATGTAAAGACAGATATGTCACACATTGAGTTTGAAACAGTTAGAAAGATTGACAATGACACCAAAGTGGTTAGAATCGGTGATTTAAACGTAAGATACTCAAAGAAATACAACAAATATTCTTTGTCAGACATTCTGACACCATCTGAAAAGAAACCGAAGGACTGGGTTAGAATTGCTTCTACTCAGAAAATTTTGACAAGAAATCCTGAGCTTATGATATCAGTAGCATTTCATGGAACAAGAGCATATCTCATCGACAAAAGTCTTATACCAATAGTTTTGTTATGGATTGACCCAGTTGTTGGATATAACTTCATAACATATGGTTCATTCGATACGGAACGTTGCAGTGAAGGCTTACTTTACATCGTTCAGAAACCGAAGGACTTCAACACAAAAAGATATAAGATAGGAAGGACATATAATATAACTCTAAGATATGACTCTACAGTCAATAGAGTCAAGGTTGTGTTCGTTAATGATATGAGAGCCGCAGAAACAGAACTACTCGAAAAGTTTGAGAAAATGTATGGTGCTCCCATAAAAGGTAAAGAAACGTTTGAAGTAGATGAGATAGATAAAGCTATAAAATTATTTGACGAAGTTGCTGAAAAATACATGTAAAGCGTTTATTTTTGGTCTTTTGTGAAAGTCAGAAAATAACGCTAATTTTTTCCTAACAATTTTTTTATTTTGTATAAAAGATATGATTTCAGGGATTTTTTTGACGAAGTGTTAATGTTCACTTCGTCAAAAATAACAGTTATATAATGAAAAAGTGAAAGTTATTCTTCATTTTTTTGTATGTAAGATATGATTTCAGGGATTTTTTTGACGAAGTGTTAATGTTCACTTCGTCAAAAATAACAGTTATATAATGAAAAAGTGAAAGTTATTCTTCATTTTTTTGTATGTAAGATATGATTTCAGGGATTTTTTTGACGAAGTGTTAATGTTCACTTCGTCAAAAATAACAGTTATATAATGAAAAAGTGAAAGTTATTCTTCATTTTTTTTGTATTTGACGAGAATGTCGGGTAGATGGTTAGATCTCACCTGTTTTTTCACCTCTTTTTTCACCCTCGTGAATTTTCATGAATTTCCTTAAGATAGAAAAAAAATAAAGTTAGTTTTATTTTTATTTATTTTTTTTTATTTTGTATAAAAGATATGATTTCAACAATCGGCACAACAACAATTCAAACAACTACAGCACCAAACTCGCTAGTCATGAATCCTACGTCAATGTTGGTAGAGATGAAAAGCTTTATTCCTCCTTCATATACTTTTGAAACAGAAATCCAGAAGATAAAGCAAGAACTTTTAACAAGTAATTTAGACTGTAGTGCGAAAGATGAAACAAATGAACAGTATCTTTATGAAATGGAGGACCTCATCGACCATTTACCTAAACTACCTGAAATTCAGCATCAAAAACTAACTATTCCTGAATTCGACGAAATTGAAGTCAAAGCAACTGACTCAGTAGAAATTAAGAAATTCATACGTAAAGTAAATTATGAATTCCTTGGTTTTCATTGCAACCATAAAGTTATGGACAAAGATTGCGACATGGTTTATAAAAATATTTCTGACCTTTACAAATCTGAAGAATTTAAGACCTACGACAACTTTGTTTCGTTAGTTGCAGAATGTGTATGGCAGATAAGAGATAAAGATAGAAGAGGTAAGGTATGGAATGAACAACTAAGACCCGCTATGTTTGAGATGAAGAGAGCAATTGACGCCTTAGTTGTTCTAGCAGGTCAAATTTCAATGTATAACGCAAAAATGAACCCGCAATGTTCTAAATGTAAAGCAGCAATAAGAAAATATAACTACTCCGTCAAAGAGATAGAACGTATGAGAAACGACTATGCAGACTTAAAGAAAGAAGCAGAAAAGCCAGCAGAAGATAAAATGGACATGTTGACATTTCTTAATAAAAATTATCCAACTGCTGACGATTTCCTATTATCTGACGTCAAGAAGAAGTATAAAGAAACTTTCGGTATCGTTAAAACTTTTGACATACTGACAGAAGAAATAGAAGCTACAAAACTGTTTAGGATTTCAAATATACATCGTACAATTCATGTAAAACGCTTGTGAAAAAAGAGGTGAGAAAAGAGGTTAGATCTAACCTTCTACCCTAAACATTATTTTTGTCTGATTTACGCTCATTACGATGAAGAAGTCTTGACAAAACATGTACGAAGAAGTTTTGACAAAACATGTACGATGAAATCATGAAAATTCATGAGGTGAGAAAACAGGTGAGAAAACAGGTGAGATCTCACCACTTCACCTAAACATTATTTTTGTCTGATTTACGCTCATTACGAAGAAGTCTTGACAAAACATTTACGCTCATTACGAAGAAGTCTTGACAAAACATTTACGTTCATGTTTGACAAAACATTTACGTTCATGTTTGACAAAACATTTACGTTCATGTTTGACAAAACATTTACGAAGAAGTCTTGACAAAACATGTACGAAGAAGTCTTGACAAAACATGTACGAAGAAGTCTTGACAAAACATTTACGAAGAAGTCTTGACAAAACATGTACGAAGAAGTTTTGACAAAACATGTACGATGAAATCATGAAAATTCATGAGGTGAGAAAACAGGTGAGAAAACAGGTGAGATCTCACCACTTCACCTAAACATTATTTTTGATGAAAAATGACCAAATTTCATGAATTTCCTTAAGATAGAAAAAATAAAGTTAGTTTTATTTTTATTTATTTTTTTATTTTGTATGTAAAGACAGTAATGTCAACATCAGAGAACACAACAACTGCTATCGTTCATGAAGCCATAAATGAAGAATACGAATACATACAGTATAACAAACAATTGAGACTCATTCGTTCAGTCAAAGATGACATGTACCAAATGCAAAGTATAATGAATGCTCTTAGTTCTACAAAGCAAGCATATCATTGGTTTGAAAACCAACAGGCAAAAGAACTTTTAGAAGAATTTCCTCATATGATTGTTTCCCTCGGAAAACCGAGGGAAGAGATTCCATTCGAAAATCGCAAGAATTTGGCTCCTGGTTTGAAAGGTTATTATGTTCATAGACTTTTAGTAAATGCTGTAGCAATGTGGGCTTCACCTCGTTATGCTTGTTATATTTTCATGATGTTAGATGAACTATATAAAGCAGAACGTGGAGAGATGGAAAAGAAACTTCAAGCAAAAGATGAAGTCATTGAATCCAAAGACAAAAGCATACAGAAAAGAATACCACGTTCAGTACCAAAAGGAAAGGAAAAGAGTTATAAGTATATGATTTACGCTGAAGAGTTGGAGAAAGAAGAAGATAGAGATATGGTTATGTTGCATTTAGTCAGAAGAAACAACAAAAGCTTTTACGACCTTGCTAAGATTTACAAATCTGACAGAAACTGGTTCTATCGTGAAAACTTACCGATTTCAATGACACCGAATGAGCAAATAAAGGAAATTGTCAAAAATACTCTTCCTCAAACACACTATGACATCAAAGGTTGCACAATACTTACATTCAAAGAAGACTTACCGCTACTGAAGGAAAAGATAACAGAATATTTCGACAACTTCAAAGAGGAAGAATAAAAAAAATCTAAGCTAATTTTATTTTTTTATAAAATTTTATCTCATATGAAAGAACATGAATTTAGAATATTCGGAACTCATGACAGAAGAAGAGAACGAACAACATGTAAAAGATTATGCAAAATTTCTGAAGACATACAAAGCATTTAAACAATATCTAAATGCTTCTAAAGATTATGCAAAATTTCTGAAGGTATATAAAGCTTATGAAAAAGCGTATGAAAAGTTTATACATTGGGGAATTGTTGTAAAATATCGATATGAAGACTAACCAAAAATATATTTTTGCTTAAATAGCTTCAGGGTCTATTTCTTCAACCATTTCACTTCCTTCGTCAATGTCAATAGAAGCTTCTTCAACCTTTGGTAAGAATTTCTGTATAACATCTTTGTTCGTTATTGTCTTCAGAGATGAAGGATAATATTTCACATTTGTTTCACCCTTCTTATATTCTTTCTGTTCGGAATGATTTAAAGCAATACTGAAGAAGTCAATGTTAGAGTTCTTTATGACAGTATAATGAGTATCTTTGACATTCACGAAGAAACTCTTTTGTTTCAAAACTACTGCTAACTCTTGTGAAGTATAACGTTTGCGGTCAATGACAATAGCTAATGGTCTGACATACTGACCAAACTTAGATTCTTTCACAAACTTCTTGTTAAAGATAACATTAACGTTTGAAGCACCATTGAACTCATTCTTGATGGCAGTAGCGAGAGCATTGTATGAAAAGAACTTGCAATCTTGCATGTGTTTCATTAAAATAAAAATATTAAATTATTTTGAAAAATAACTTAAAAAAATCTAATCTAATTTTTTCAAAAAATATTTTTTTATTTCCTACTAAAGATGTATCGGAAGTTGTCTAAGTTAGAACACTCGGAAATAAAACAACTTCTTACAGAAGCTAACATAGATGTTGCAAAACATTACGCGACAAACAAAAAAGCACTCGCTGACATCCTCAATGACTATAATGGTGCAATAAGTTATGATAGAATTCATGAGTTCATAAATGCAAGAGCATTTCCTTTAAATGACGTTGCTATTGACTTATATCATAG